CCCTCCGCTCCTTCGACCGGCTGAACGACCCTCCAGGCGACAGATGCATGTTGGCACTCGCAATTATGCACAACCGGTGGGATGTAAGGCGGCGCGCAAACTCAAAGGAGGCCAAAGCTGGTTCTTGCGAACGTTCGGATAAGTCGACGAGCAGCGCCCGCCGAGGCGGGCGTGCAAGCAGTCGGCGTGTCAGGGGATGCCGCGCCTCTTTGCGGAGGAGCAAACGTCGAGGCGTGAAGCGTCACCGGTTCGCGTAAAGGAGAAGAAGCGAGAGCGCGAGACGGCGCGAAGTCTATTCGCTTTCGCAATACAAACTCGGGCTAATGAGCGATTACAAACCGCTCGCCGAGACGACGTTGGCGGAAGCTGGTAAGCAAGAAAGGGTAACAATTTGTGCGAGAGCCTCCTGCAAGCAAGGCCGGGTCGCAGAAAGCCTGTCGCTCTTGGTCGCTCTCGTCCTTCCTCGGGTCGCTTCAACTCGCATCAAGCGCGGCGGAGTCGTTGCAAGCGACAATCTCGTTTCATTACGTGCAGTCGTAGTGGCGCGTCCACAGCAGCCATCTCGGGATCCTCCCCTCCTTCTCCCGCTCTTCGCCCGTCAACTCGCGCTTCTTCGGCCATCGAGAAGCCGCAGATGGCTGAGTACGGCGGACCGTCATGGTCGTCGTTGAGTAGTGGTCGACTTTGAGTTGCGAGAAGGTCGCAAACAGGCGACGGAAGCGAGCGTGCGCGTCCGGAGGTAGCTGAAAGACGCGTGGGTCGATGTCGATCATGCTGTGCGCCTCCTCGCCGCCACCGTTGTGAGCCGTCTCGGAAGATGCTGAGGGATAATCGGCGCTCTCCTCCGCCACGTATGGAATCGCTACCGCGCAGGAGACTTCGAAGTCGAAATAAACAGAACCCGGCTCGTTCCGATGAGTAAGGAGTTCAGGCGCTGCAAGGGCGAGTCCGAAGTGTCGCAGCACAGCTTGAATACTCTGTGCACAGTCAAGCATCAGCGTTGCTTCGCCTCTTCCTCATCCCCAGCGACGCACGTTCTCCTGCCCTTCGTACAAGTCATGCAAGCCACCCGCGTCCATGAATGCATCGTAGCATCCTTCACAGCTAGCTAGGTGCCAGACGTCATCCAATCTCTGGGCGTGCGCGAGACAGATGCTGCAATCGCATTCCTCCTCCTCGCCGTGATAGCCTCGAACGAAGCTGTTCACCTCTTCGACGAAGAAATTGCTCGACAGCTCGGCCTTGACCGTCTCCCAGATCTCGTCCGGCAAATCAGCAACCGTCTTGCGTCCCGGCGAGGCGACCGCTCGCAAGTCGCCCCTCCTTCTCCTCTCGCTCGGATCAAGTCGATGGCGAGACAGACGGGCGCAATCTTCGGCCAGGCCCGAGCGGCGACTACGAGAGGGAGAACCTTGATGCAGACGCCGTAGAAGAGCGTCGCGCTCGAGCCGCACATCGTACGAAAGTCGCTTGAACTCGGAAGGGTGATGAGGATGGACAGGGTCGAGGCGGGCGTCGCGAGGGTTCGTGGCAGCTTGGACAGGTCTCAGAAGTCGACTCAAAGCAATGGCAACGTTTACGACCCTGCTCAGCGGGGACCGGCGAAAGCGAGTGAAGGGTTGGGGGAAGGAGATTGGCGACGAGCGCAGGATGCCGGCTACTGGCTCCCGTGGGCCTCGTCCTGTGTATGAGCGCTATTTGCTGACACAAGCGAGGTCGGTGCGGCCCACGCATCCGACCATTCGTCGTTCTCGCAGGAAGCACCGTTTCAATGGCTCACATCTCAGCGAGACGGCACGCCATCGTACCAAACAGCGTTGCCGTAACTCATGCGCACTCGTACGCACGGGTCCACAATAGCCACCTCGGAACCCTCCCTTTCCTGTTCCCCTCCAACCTCTTCTGCCGCGACGGATCGACGGCCCTAACGTTCTTGTCCGACGGAGTCGGCGGCGGCGGGGGCTGACGCGAGACGGTCATAGTCGGGTAGTAGTCGGCCTCGAGTTGTGGGAATGTGGTGAACAGGCGGTGGAAGCGAGCGCGTGCGTCGTGAGGAAGCTCGAAGATGTGCTCGTCGAAGTCAATCATGGCGTGAGATTCGCCGCCGCCTCCTCCGTCGTCGATCGTTTCGCACTCTGTAGAGGGGTAGTCGCTTCCTGCATGCGAGGAGAGCGGGATCGCAATGGCGCAGGAAACGTCGAGATCAAACCATGCACCTCCGGAGTCTTTCTTGCGACTGACGAGTTCAGGTGCTGCGAGGGTGAGCCTGAATGGACGCAATACGACTTCGATACTCTGCTGGGTCCCGTAACGCGTCAGCAATGAGGCTAGACCTGCTTCCCACGTGAGAACGCACCTCCTTCTCCTTCGCGTACCAATCACGCAGCCCGCCAGAGTGCAGGAAGTCGTCGATGCAGGCGTCGCAGCCAGCGAGATACCAGATATCAAGTACCCCTGAGCTGGCAGCGAGACAGCTCCGACAGTCACAGTCCGGGTCCCGGTGATAGCTCCGAACGAAGCTGTCCGCCGCCTCAACGAAGATGTCGCTCGACAGTTCGACCTTGACCGCCTCCCATATTTCGTCCGGCAAGTCGGCGACAGTTTTGGTTCCTGCCGAGACCTCGACTCGCAAGTCTCCCCGCCTCCTCCTCGCTCGGATCAGGTCGACGGCGAGGTAAACAGGTTCGATGTCGGGCCAGGCGCGGGCAGCGACAAGGAGAGACATCGCTTTGACGCAGACGCCGTAGAAGAGAGTCGCGCTCGAGGTGCACATCGTGGCAGAGTGGGTTGAAGTGGGAGGAGCTGATGAAGTTGGAGTGGGTCGAGGCGGGCGTCGTGGGAGACTGGCGCAGCTCGAGATCGACGTGAAGTGATGTGGAATCGTGTAGCAATGCGTTGCGAGCTTCTCAAGCGATGAGCCGTACAAGCGAGCGAAGCGTTGGGAGGAGGGGGCGCGCGAGAGGACGACGAGTAGCACTTTCCACGAGAGCAGCTCGCTGACCTCCATACCGGCGTCCTTCGTTCGCACAGTCACCGTCTATCGCGTCCTTGAGCGGTACACGCTTGTGCCCTTCTATCAGCATTACTCGCAACGCTCACTCGTACAATTCTGCCAGCCCAGGACGGGGCGAAGCAGGATCGCTTGTGAAATGCTGCTGCGTTGCGAGTGTACGAAGGGAAATAGACTGAATGGGCGTGAGGCGGCTGACGCTCATCGGAAGAGCGAGGAGAGGGATGGTCGGCCGGTGGACGCGTGCAATGTCCGCAATGACTCCAAGACACAGCTGCGAGCAGTACAATCGAGTCAGCGGCTTGTAGGAGATGTGCCACATCACGCGCCTAGGCGAGAGCTGGCGCAAATTCGCGTATCAAGGAGGAGAGACGCACCCGGATCCCGCCTGACTCGCATTCGCAACCGTGCTGTACGCCCTCCGCTCGAGCCTGTTGAGCCTCTTCGCCGTCTTGGCGTTCGGGTGGCTCTTCTGTCCGCGCACGGGCAAGCGCATCGCGTGCCGCAGGCCCCTCCAGGTGCCGATGTTGTACAAGTGTGCGATGTCGGCGCGGTACTTTCGCAGCAAGTCTTCCTCGATCATCAAGTTGACGAGCGGGTCCCTCTCTGCGGCCGGCGGGTCTCGCGGGATGAGCTTGTCGGCTGGAGGGGGAGAGACGGCGGAGAAGGGTCTGAGAGGAGTTGAAGGGCGAGGGTGTGCGGAAGGGGCGGAGAGGAGGGCGGAGAGAGCGTTGAGTTGGCGTTCGCTGAGCTCGCGGACAAGCAGCTGATCGTGGAACTGCAGCCGTGCCATGATGCGCTCCGCGATGACGGGTCCGACGCCGTAGAACCCGCGGATGGCGATCTGTGTAGCGAGCAGCGGGACGTATCAGCGATGCTCCTCATGGCACGGTTACGCCGCCTCGCAACGTGGCGCACCTTGACCAGCTTGTTGTCCTGGAGCGTCTTGCCGAGCAAGTTGACCACTGTACATCACGACGCGGGAGTCAGCGGGTGAGACGGACTGATATGAGAGTACCTAGCGCACTGCTGGGTAGTCTCGGCGGTCGTCAGAAGGTGTGGATGAGGAGGGTTACTTGGGTTGTCCTGGTAAGGAGATGAGGGTGAGCGGCACGACCGCAACACCTCGCGCGCGTGTGCAAAGTACGCACCTGGGTCAAGTAAGGGGTTCTCGAGACTTCAAGCTGGTCAAAGCGCCAGCAAACAGCAGTGAAAGCGAGGGGAGCGGTTGGTCGACCCTCGGAAGCTTTGGCCGGGACAGCTCGACCTCGACACCCACCGCGACATCGCTCTGCTGCTCTGCTCGTGTCTGCGATGGACAGTGGCACTGGACTAGATCAACCTGCGCATGCCTCGCTGAACGGCGCGGTTGTCAGCGACGAGCTTGCCACCGTTCGCTCGCTTCTCGGAGAGATCAAGTCGGGCGTACAGGCGGTCAAGGACTCGGCAGACGGCTGGAAGCAGCGGTGCGTAGACTAGGAAAGGGTCCAACAGGGCTTGCAGCTGACCAGAAGCTTTTCCACGCAGCCTCACCTCGACGTCGGATCTCGCCTACCCCTCTGGCATCTCGCTCCTCTCGCTCAAGAACCACCTTCTCCTCTCGTACATCCAGCACCTCCTCGCCCTCTTTGCCGTCAAGCTGCAGGGCCGCTCGCTCGCCTCGACCGAAGGCCCGGCGGACGTTGTCGCCCAGCTCGTCAAGCTTCGCGTTGTCCTCGAGAAGATGGGACCGCTTGAGCAGCGGCTGAAGTACCAGGTCGAGAAGCTTGTACGCAAGGCGGACCAGTTTGACGAGGAGGGCGCACAAAACGAGGAGGATGTTCTGAACGGTGCGTTTCGCTCCCTCTCACTCTGAAAGGCTGTACTGACAGTTCTGCTTGTAGACCCGCTCGCGTTCCGGCCGAACCCGTCGAACCTTGTGCTGGATCGTACGGTGTCGGAAGGAGAGGAGGAGGAGGAGGCAGAGGAGCGGTCAGGCGTGTACCGACCGCCTCGACTGGCTGCGATGCCTTATGTCGAGGGTCCTGCCAAGGGTGCGTTCGTGACCTCTCCCTCTCCGTGTGAGTCTGCTCACAGTCTTGTTCACTTACAGGCAAGAAAAAGAAGCGCGAGGCAACAATGCCGTCGCACCTCATCAACGACATGTCGCTCGCGATGACCTCGTCGACTCCCTACGCCGAAGCCACCTCCGGCTTGTCCGTCTCGTACGACCCATCGCTCAAGTCAGGCGCCAAAGCACGTCTCGACAAAATCCTCGACTACGAGACGTCCAACTTCCGCCGTCTCGGGAAGAGCAAGAAGGACGAGCGCGACCGGCGCAGGATGGAGGAGGAGGTTGCGTTTGGCGGACTGGGCGCAGGAAAGGGCGGCAAGCGACGTCTCGGCGGATTCGGCGCCGAGTTCGACGATCTCTTGGGCGACCACCGTGGCGGCGAGAAGCGCAAAGCGGCGGCTTATGAGCAGATGTCGGGCTTCAAGCGGCCCAAGGTGGCGGCGCGGCAGAGGGACGAGGACGGTGCGGGTACGAGCGGGTTGTCAGGTGCTGGCGGGAAGCGCAAGAAGTCGGCGTTCGACAAGGCGGTCAAGCGGGCGAACTCGAAGCGGTGAGGCGGATGTTGTGTTGGGCTGCTGTCGTAGTGAGGCTGGCAGCAACGGGCACTCATATGCGCCCTGGACACTCCTCGAAGCACTGCCGGAAGCGGAGAGCGAGGAGTTTGCTCGTGTCCTCGACCTAGGAATGTGGCGAAGTGCGCGAAAATGGGATGTGCAGTAACAGAGAGTGTGTCACAACATGTGCAAACTAACGTCTAGGTACAATTGTGAGAGAGCGTCCGTGTATAGCGTTCAGTCCTCATCCTCGTCCTCCTCCCGCAAGGCTGCGAGTCCACGCTCGTCATCGCTGTATTCGCCATCCTCAACCTCCTCGTCCTGCGCATCGTAGCCTCCCTCCTCGGGTCCGGCGTAACCCTGGTCCTCATCGTATTCCTCCCGGTCATTCTCCTCCGGCTCCTCGAGGATCACGCCCGGCGCTCCAGGCTGTCCCGACTCGCCTTCCGGCCCATACGACGACGGCGTGATCGAGTACGCGCCCGAGCTACCGCTGCTGCGGAAGCTGCTCGTCGGGCCCGACTCCTCCTCGTAGGCTGCCTGGATCTGCTCAGTCGCCTCCTGGATCCACGGGTGGACCATCAGCTCCTCCGCCGATGGACGCTTGTCCGGGTCGATGGTGAGGCACTGGCGGATAAAGTCGATGCCGAGCTCCGACAACTGATGCGGCTCGGGAAGAGGCGGGTGCTGGACAGCGATGCCAATGTGGAACATGATGGCCCTGCGGACAAAGAGCGTGAGCGGGACGGCAGCCGGCGGAACGAGCTGGAATACGTACCACTCGTTGTCGAGGTTGCTCCACGGGCGCCTGCCAGTCGCGCACTCGAGGATGACGCAGCCGACGGCCCAGACGTCCATCGCGCCCTTCTTTCCCCTCCGCTCGCCCTTGACCGTTTCGGGCGACAGGTACATGGGTGTCCCTGTGAGCGAGTTGGCGTCCGCCGGGGCCGCTGCGGGGTCGAGAGCGACGGGCGCGCCGATGCGGGACCGAGAGGCGAGCGTCTTCTGGTTCTTCGCGAGGACCTTGGCCGCGCCAAAGTCGACGAACTTGATGGTGCCGTTCCCGTCGAGGAGAATGTCTGCGAAGGTTGGAGTGAGCCCAGGTCAGAAGGTGATGAAGAGGAAGACGCACTGTCGGGCTTGATGTCGCGATGCACGACGTTTTGGGAGTGCAGGTAGACGAGGCCGGAGAGCATCTGCAAGGCGTAGATCTGGATGATGATCTCGTCCTCGATGCGGCCGTGCTCGAGGAGGTTCGCGAGACTGCCGCCGGGGCAGTACTCCTCGAAGATGTAGACCTTGTCGCGGTGGACTTCGATGCCGTAGTACTGGACGATGTTGTCGTGTCGCAGCATCTCCATGACCTTCATCTCGTCGCGGATCGTCTTGACGAGGTGAGGAGCCGACTGCAAATCCTGGAAGCGGATCTCCTTGACGGCGAGCTCCTCGCCCGAGTCGAGGTTGACAGCGAGGTAGACGTTGCCGAACGTGCCTCCGCCGATGAACTTGCCTTGCTGCCAGCGGAGCGAGATGTTCGAGAGAGACGATGAGGCGAGGAAGGCGAGAGAGCGGTCTTCGGCGAGGTTGTGGTCGAGGACGCGTCCAACCGCTCGGTTGCCCGCCTCGACTGCCCGCCGCGAGTCCTCGACCGCCTTCAACGCCTCCATGCGCTGCTCCCACGCCATCGCAAGCGAGCCGACGCTCGACTGGCTGTCCTCGTCCTCGCCCTGCTGCCGCGTTGCCCTGAGCGCCGCAAGCCGCGCTGCCAGCTGCTCTTTCGTCGCCAATCGCGCTGCGTCGATGCGCTCCTGCTCCTTTTTCGCCTCGTAGCTCGACCTCGCGCCGAGGATGTCGAAGTGGGAGATGAGGAGCGTCATGCAGCTCGCAACCTTTGAGCGGAGCAAGGCGAACTCGCCCTCGCTGAACTGGAGGATGTTGTCGTTCTTCGTCATGCTCATGGCGAATTCGAGCGCAGCGACGGCCCACTTGAACGTTCGAGGGTCGGTCGGCACGCAGTCGTCGCAGATGAACGCAACCCACTTGATCGAGAACTTCATGAGGACGAGGAGGAACCTGCTGCGCAGGGCGGGCTCAATGTACCGCAGACTGCGCGTGCCGAGGTCGGCGGCGAAGGTGAAGTACGAGCCGAGAAGTTCCTGCGCCTGGCCCGGTCGTCGCTGCGAGACGGCTTTGACGCGCTCGTATGCGCCCAAGACGGTCTCGGCGAGTCGATAGATCGCTCGGCTAATCTTGCGCGTCTCGCGATTGACGCTCGCAAGATGCGCCTTGTGCTCGACGACGGTGTTGCGCTTGAAGGCGGGGAAGAGGTCGAGGAAGGTCTGCTTCGAGCGTGCGAGGCGGGCAGCGGGACCATCCGAAACCAGTCGGACGCGGCGTTCTCGGAGATCGTAATCGACCTTGCCGCCCAAGTTGAGATCCATGACGCGGCCGGTCCAGACGAACGGGTCGCGAGGCGAGAGGAGGAGGACGTAGTGCATCGGGTGCTCGGGGTGCTCGGGCGCGTCGTTCTGCGTCTCGTTCGAGAAGCAGCGGACGAGAATTTGTCGCACGAGCTCGGGGTGCTCGTGCAGGGAAGGATCGGCGACAATGTATGTTGCTTCGGCTTCGTAGACGTCGGTGTAAACGAGGAAGTGATCGGAGTCGACCAGCGACTCGATGAAGGTGCCAAGGTCGATCCCGTCGAGCGAGTACTCGGCTGCGTTCTCGAACCGGAGGAGCATGCTCCTGTAGCCGTAAACTTGGTGAGCCGGGCACAGTGGGGCAAGGCTGTCAAGCGCACCTGCCGAATCGCAAAAGCTTGCGATGCCGTGCGCGGACGTTGTCGAGCGTCTGGCTGAACCACCGCGAGGTCTCCTGAGCCGTCATGTCGCGCGTCTCGAGCACCTGGAGCTGCGTCTCGAAGTAGCTCATGACGCGGACGAGAAGGCGATGGGTGAGGGTGCTGCGCAGTGGTAAGTCGTCAGCGAAAGATCCGCGAAGAAACGCGTCGAAGGCGCACCTGAAGTGCTCGCCCACAAGCAAGTCTCCGCCGTCAATCTCCTCGGTCACGGTCGACAAAAAGCCCCACTCGTTCTCGACGATCTCGGTCTCTTTGAAGTAGATCGCCTTGCTCGGGCTCTTCAGCTTCCAGTGAAGGAGCTTGAAGAAGAACCGAAGCGTCGCAAGGAGCGTCTCCTCGTACCCGTCGACTCGCTCGGGAAGAGCCCAGCCCGTGACGGGTTCAGGCGTCGCAAGCTCGGTGTATTGTCGCTTGATCTGACACGCGACCTCGAGACCCTTGCGAAGGTCGTTCGTGAGCTGGTCGATGAGGATGACGGAGGGGTCGTGGATGTTGGAGACGGAGTCGAGGGTGGTTCGGAGCGCTTCTTGTGCAAGACGGGAGGGGAAGATGGCGAGTCGGAAGAGGTCGTCGGTGAAGCCGGGCAGGTTCATCTCGGCGAAGAGGGGCTGGAGGTCGATGACGGCGGCCTTGGCGGTATCGACGAGCGAGAAGAGGTCGGTCAAGATGCGCTTCTCGAACGTCTTGGCGAGACTGTCCTCGCGCACGATGACGGCGACGAAGCCGCGGTCGGCCGCTGGAGGGCCGTTCGGACCTGCGCCGTTTGGCGTCACCGTGCCAGACTGTCCCGGCTGACCAGTCGGCGTCTTGCCGTCGTCCCCAGAGAACGCCAGCTGGCTGAGCTTCTCCCAGTCACCTCCAGTCCACTTCTGCAAGATCCCGACCGTCACCTTCAATCGCCGAGTGATCTGCTGCCATGTCCGCAACGCATCGAGGCGCTGGACAACCTCGTCCGACGTGAAGCCCTCCTTCTCCAGCGACAGCGCCTTCCTCGAGGGATACAGCGTCTCGCACCAGTCGACCCGCTTAAGCAGACTACCGACCTGATCCGCCGCGTTTCGTTGCCGAATGGTCGAGTCGATCTCGATTCCTCCTTCCTCCTGCTGGAGGTCCGTCACCCGGAACTTCGAGACCTCCTCCAGCACGTCGTCGACCTTGGACCGCGCCTCTTCGAGAAAGCGCGACTCCTCATCCGCTGTCCGCCCTCGCACTTTTGCCCGCAACAGCAGCCATATCGCATATGCGCGCTGCCTCCTCCCGCTAGAGAAGCCGTCAACGAAGCCGTTCTTGAGCGACTTGGTGCCGGACAGCGAGGCGGTCGATAACCGTGTCTTCTCACTCTTGAGGACATTGCCCGAGAGAACGTTATTGAGCATGTGCTGCCATTCGAAGCGCGCTTTGACCTCTGGCGAGTCGTCCTCGACTTCGGAGGGTGTCTCCTCGCTCGAGAGGGTGTGGCCTTGACCGGGCATCAGGTTGTACGAGACGGATGGTCGTCGGTAGGTCGACAGTTCGGAGGGTCCTGCCCGGCCGGACTGCTCGTCGTCGTCGCCCTCGCCGTCGTCGTGCTCGTCCTGTGGACACCTCAGGGTCAATCAACGGGCTTGGGATGAGGCTCAAGCGTGCGCACCTCGCTCAGCACCCATCCGAGATCGCCCTCGCCGAGGACGTCGCTGTCCTCGTCCGCCGAGTCCTCGTCGCTGTCGAGCCTGCCGAGTCCGCGCGAGTAGTACAACCTATCTGGGTCGTCCTCTGCGTCGTACATCGCGCCATGGCTGTTTGTGAAACCGATGCAGTCATGCGGGGAGCCACTCGCCGAAATCAGCGCGACTCGACGTCGACAGCGACAATGAGAGGTGTACGCACACTGGACCGCCATCTCCACCCCTGCTGATGCCGATGAACGACCTGCCCGTCGCCCTCCTGCGCGAGATGGCGTGCGACGCGGCCAGGGAGGACTCGCGGGCACTCTTTGCGTGAGCCTTTGCGAGCGAGGCCTGCGAGGCGGACGGCGGCGGTCGCGAGGGCATCCTGCCACGAGTCTCGCCCAGTCAGAGCAGTCCAGACAGCACCAGCAGCGAGAGCGAGAGTTGGTCGTTCGACAAGCTCGAGGAGGAGAGGGTCTCGCGGTGACCATCCGCTGCGAGGCTGCCGTGCGCCCTGGCTGGTGCGCTGAAGCTGCTGTTGACCATGGCCGAGCACCAGGTCAAGCTCGCGTCGACCGTCCTCAAGCATCCCGCCGTCGTCGCCTCCTCCTCATCTCACCCACCCTCTCTCAAGCGGAAACTCGCAGATGGCACCCACTCGGGCTCGGACGGCGAAAGCGAGGCGGCTCAGGGCGTTGCAGGGGAGGGCTCAAAGGTACTGTCGAAGCTGGAGAAGGGGAAAGCCAAGAAGCGACGGAAGGAGGAGCAGCGAGCAATGGCGCGTGAACTCGCAGATCGTGGCCTTCTATGCATGCTGACGAGTGTTGTGACGCAGGAGAACCCGCCGAGCTTTGCTTTCGACACTCGGGGCTTCAAGGGCGGACGGATGGTCAAGGTCACGGTGAGGACTGCCCTTCTTCGCCCCTTGGCATGCCCACACTGACAGACTCGCGAACAGGACGTTCGAGACCTCGTCCTGCACCTGATGGCGAACGACAAGGCGCAGTCCTGGCTCCTCGTCAAGGCGAGTCCGATCATCCACTTTCAGGTTCTCCACCTGCTGACTTGCTATTCCTCACAGAACAAGTCCAACTTGCGACGAGTAGTCTGCGTCATGGCGCCCGGCATCCTCACCACCGACCTTGGCATTCCCCAGCCTCCGCTCTCGACGAACTTGCCCTTCCCTCTCGCACCCTCAGCCGACCTCGCCTCGAAACTGCCCGTCTTCCAGAACCTCTTCTCGCATGCGTGCCCGACCAAGGCACCTGGCGAGAAGAACCGCATGCATAGCCCGTACCAGCATTTCACGACTTGCCCGATGACGGGCGCAGAGAAGGACCGGCGGCAGAAGGCGCGGAAAGAGCGTGAGTCGTCGTCACAGAGCAGATCCCTGTCTCTCTGCCATGGCTGACCTTTCGCCTCGTCTACGTTTCCAGGCGGACAGCAGCAGAAGACGTCCGACCCCTCAATCTACCTCCTCTCGCCTTACGACATGGCCGAGCAGGCCTACCCGACTCCCTCTCCTCTTCCTTCGCCCTTGCCGACCGAACCGAACCCCTCCTTCAGCTTTGAAGACTGGCAGAAGGCAGATGGGTGGGTTGAGGCGCCTTACCAGCCGGAAAGGGAGGGGCCGAAGCGGGTGCTCGGCATGGATTGCGAGATGGTGCGCCTCACACCCATCCCAAACTCACGAGTTGACGCGCTGACCTGCTTATGTTTCACAGTGCTTGACGGACGACGGCTCGGAGCTCACGCGCCTCTCGGTTGTCGACATGGACGGCAAGTCGGTTTACGACAAGCTCGTTAAGCCGGACAAGCCCATTCGCGACTACTTGACTCGGTCAGTTGCCTTGTCTGCGCTCTACCAGAGCGCTCAATAGAATCACGCTAACGTTCCCCCTTCGCCTCTTCCTCTACAGCTTCTCCGGCATGACGGCCGAGAAACTCGAGGGCGTGACGACCCGCCTCGTCGACGTGCAGCGGGACTTGACACAGCTTATGGATTACAACACGATTCTCGTTGGGCATTCGCTCGAGTGCGATCTCAAGGTGCTCAAGGTACGCTCTGCTTCGCCGTCTCATTCATTCATTCCGTTTCTAATCCTCCTTGCGCTCCAGCTCATCCACTCAAAAGTCATCGACACCTCGGTTCTCTACCAACATCCCCGCGGACCGCCCTTCAAGGCGTCCCTCAAATGGCTCGCGCAGAAGTGGCTCAAGAAGGAGATCCAGGTGCAGGGGAACGGCGCGGATGGTCAGCCTGTCCTTGGACACGACTCGCAGGAGGATGCGCGAACGGCGATCGAGCTGCTGAAGCTGAAGATGGAAAAGGGTGTGTACAGCTTTTCGCGCTCGCTTGAAGGTTTCCGCTCACCTTTTCCGTCGGCGCAGGTCCCGGTTTCGGCGAGATGACGCTCGACCAGGAGACGATCTTTGAGCGGATCGGGCGTGGGCAGGACGCGAAGACATCGGCGGTCGTCGACCACGGAACGCCCAATCAGTGGATCGGTGCGAAGGCGACGACTGCCGTCGCGTGCAAGAACGACGACGAGGTGCGCTCCTTGTCCCTTTCTCGCCCCTCTCCGCCCTAGGCTAACTGCTCTTGCGACGCAGGTCCTGCAAGGACTCCTCGACTCGGTCGAGCAGCACGACTTGACGATCGGCCGCTTCATGGATCTCTCCCACACTCTCGGCTGTGCGGCTGCTCTGTCACACCTCTGGTTGCGTGCGGTACTGACGTCGCTCGCGAATATACAGGGACTCAGCCGTGGACCCAGCGCGGCCAGAACGCAGGCGAAGGCGACGCTTCCAACGGCGACAGCACGTCCCGCACCTCTGCCTCCCCTACCGACATCGACACCGCATACGCCGCACTCAACAAGCGCCTGCAAGCGCTGCACGCTGCCCTCCCTCCGCTCACCGCCCTCATCGTCTTCACCGGCAACTCGAACCCGCTCGAAATGATGCGCCTCGCCGCCAAGAAGGCCAAGTTCGACCGGCTGTGGAAGACGATCAAGCAGAGCGAGATCAAAGACGAGGATAGGTGGATGGAGCACGATGATCGCCAGTTGCTTGAGGAGGTCGAGAAGGCGCGATGGGGGTTGAGCTTTTTCTGCGTCAAGTAGTCGTCGTCGAGCGGTTTGCTCTGTAAGATGGCCTCTTCACGATACGCCATAGCTTGTTTTCAAAGAGAGGCAGCTTGCCGAGTGCAGCGAGAAGCTCGCGGTTGACCGCACAAGCGTCCCTGAGGTCTCGAGTCATAGGGGTGAAGACGAGGTACGAATGCAACAAATCTACTGAGGACTGCAGGAGGGATAGGTACAGATGGGGCCGCTAGAGCTCAGCTCAAGCTCACGGCAGTCAAGCCGTCGGCGACGTCGTCGACCGCGTCCTGCGCGGACGACTTTGCCTTCTCCTCCTCATCGGGCAGCACCTCGAACGCATCAACGAAGCCCGAGTCCTTCCGTCCCAACCACCCACTGTCGTCTTCACTGCTGCTGTCCGAATCGCTCTCGTCCGCCTCGACCGGCAGAGGCGGCAACACCTTGACTTCGGCGATAGACATCGGTCGGATGTACGGATTCGAGCCGGGGACCTTTTCGGCGGATTGGACGGAGGCGACTTGGACGACGACTTCGGAGGCGACGGAGAAGCGAGTTTGGGAGTTGCGGGGTGAGTCGGCGTAGGCGTCGTGGCGGCGAGACCAGCTGAGCGGATAGACAGACGTAAGCGAACGAGCGGGATGACAAACGAAGAACGAACGCACCGCCATTTCGGTCTCGGGATCCGCTCCGCCTTCTCAAGCTCCCACGGCTCGACACCTTCCGCTCCTTCAAGCAACGGCTTCGTCGCCCACTCCCGCTCATACCGTCTCATCCGCTCCAGGTCGACTCCTACTTCCACCTTCTCCGCGTCCGAGAGAGACGAGTACGACTCGGGGTTTCGAGGGTTCCGAAGGCGAGCTTTGGAAGAATTGAAGAGCTTCGAGACGGTTTCGAGGGCGGAGGAGAAGGCGGGAGGAGTGTAGGTGGGCAGGGAGGTAGGGAGGTGGCGCCGGAGGAAGGTGGAGAGGTGGTAGGTTACTGGCTCATGAGCGGTGATAAAACACATGTGCGGAGAGTCTGCGGAATGACAGCGTCAGTGAGAAGCGATACGCTCGCACGCGAGGCAGACTCACCAGGGATGACATGCGCCTCAACAGACTTGGCGCCAGTCAGCATCCGTCGCCAGTCGCCGACCACGCTCGCGTCGTTGTACTTGTCCTTCTCGCCCTGCGAGCGGCGTCGTCAGTATAGCTCCACCTGTTCGAAGGGGATTGGACTCACATGGAGGATCAGGACGGGTTGACGGATCCCAGCGAGCGCTTCGGGCGTGAGGTTGACGCTCTGCGCGATGGGAAGGTCAGCCTCGACTCGCAGGCGAGGAGCTCGCAGAAACGCACAAGGTACGAGATGCGGCAGAGCTCGTAGCTTCGCATCGCCATGCGAGGGTTTTGCCGCTGCGATGGATGAGGATGGTCAGCATCGCGCCGGCCTCTGTGAAGGGAGGATGTGACGAACCCGCAGGAGGAGGTTGATGAACGCGTCGAACTCGTCGGTCGTCAAATGGTCGCCCCACAAGGAGTAAGCTGAACCGTCGCAAGCCGGTCAGCGCGAAGTCGTGCAGGAGGGAAACCGTCTCGCCGACTCACACAATTCGGCGAGCGTCTCGTGCAGATCCTCGGCCTCTTCCGGGTTGAACATGGCCGAGTCGAGCGTCTTGAACCCTGCTGTCGAAGTCTTCGCCTCTCTCCCCGAGATGCCGACCAGCGCTAGGGCGGTGACGAGATCGGGAAAGAGGACAGTAAAGGCGACTCCGATACGTCCGCAGATCGAGCCTGGCGCGTAAAGCTGACTCGGAGGGAGCTGGAGCGCCTCGAAGGCGAATGCGAGGTCGGCGGCTGAGACGAATGGGTCGTGCGAGGGTTTCGACTCGGAAACGGTCCGGCCGTGCGAGCGGGGCGAGAAGGCGATGATGTTGTGTGTTGCATGGAGGGGAGAGGTCGGGCACAGCTGGGGTATGTCGCTGGCTTGAGGCACGCAGAAGGGGACGAGGGAGACGAGAGTCGGTTTGGACGGGTCGAGGAGGGAGGGAGTGGGCGAGGTAGACGGCGCGGCCGCTGATGCGTCAGTGAGGATCTCGTAGTGCATGCGCACTCCGCCGGGCAAGCTGAGGAACGGCATGGCGGCGGTTGACGGTTGCGACCGCAGTCGGTGATGCGAAAGGAGAGGGTCGCCGGACACACGCTCAGGAGTCGGGTTCAGACACAGCGCGAGCGCTCCAGGCGTAAGCGGTGAAGCACGAGCGGGACCAGCCAGCAGGTGTGCGTGAAAGGAGGGGCCAAGGGCAGCGGAAGAGGAGGAGGGGAGGAAAGAGCGAGGACTCGTCGCCTGCCTGCTCGGCAGACGGGCCCTGTGAGCGTTCGTGGAATCTTGCGAGCCTGGTCGACGAGCATGGGAGATCAGGGGCAGGCCGACGTCCTTCATCACGCAGAGACGAAGCTCCAAATGCGAGCGAGACGGGGTCGACGCCCTCAAGCGCTGCTGGGAGTGCTGGCGGCAGGCGGCGAGACAGAGGGATCGACGGAGATACAGAGCCTTGCGTCCTCGGCCTGAGCGAGCGGACCGGGGCCGCGACGTCGCGGAACTTGCCAGCGTCGCCGTCGCAGCGATTGACCTGCCTGAACCGGCGCGAGGAGGAGGAGCGGAGGAGGCTGGCCGTCTCCCTCGGCGGCTGGCCTGGCTGCGTGCAGTACGATTACTGCTCGATGGGATCGGCAGGGCGACAGGCGTGCGCCCAACGCGTGCAGCGGTGTAGAGAGACAGTCCATCAGCACTCGGTCTCAAGGGCTTCGACCCGGCACGCCTGAAGCTTGTGTAGCGCCGTTTAGAGCACGGCCGGTGTCCCCGTGTCGGAGTCTGACGTCCTTGACGGTCCTCGCTCGGCATCCTTGGAAGTGCGAGGTGGACGAGAGGAAGAGGGGGTCGAGGAGGAGAAGGTGTCCCGCACAACCTCGCAGGTGCTGTCCAGAGTAGTGGACAATTCTATCCATGCTGTCAGACTTCACTTTCGGCTTGTCTCACCCTACCACGCTGCGTTGCTGTCGTCGAGCTTGGGACTTCACCTTGAACGAGGCGGTGCGAGTGTCCCTCCCTTCCAGCTCACTCTGCCGTGCTGTTTCCTGCTGATGCCGGCACCCAAACGCTACTTTGACAACGACAGCTCGGCGGGCCCTTCGCCAGCCAAGCGCTCGCGCGGAGACGGGCCTTCGCAGCGAGGAGGACGCGGGCGAGGTCGAGGAGGAGGCGGACGCGGCGGCGGCAGGGGCGGGCACGGCGGGCAGCGTGGTCCACCGCGTGAGAAGAAGGAGCCGTTCAAGCCCAAGGACGGATTCATCTCGGCGGGTCTCAAGGCGTAGTGCGTCCTCCCCCATCCTCATCGAGCTCGAGGGAGAGGAAGGCGAATTGACACTCGCATCGACCGTCGTGCAGCACGGACGCAGCGGCAGAGGCAAAGGAAAAGTCCGACGATGCCGCAGGCGCCGATGCCGCATCGCACCAGACGACCCTCTACCTCACCCACCTCCCTCCGTCGCTCACTTCTCCTCAACTCACCCTCATCTTCTCCTCCTACGCTCCTCTCCGCGCCGCCTTTGTCGTCTCTTCCAACTCTTCGTCCGACTCGGCACCGGTACCCGACTTTGGCGGCTCCTCAGCGAACGCCATCTCGCTCAAAGCGGGCCGCGACCGCACGGGCAAGTCGACTTCTCGCGGGTTCGGCTACGTTCGTTTCGTACTCCGCTCTGATGCGGAATCGTGTCTCGCTGAATGGGGCACGAAGGAGGGCATCCCGCGGAGTCTTGTGAACGAGCTCGCAGGGCAGGAGGGACTGGCTGGCGTCGAGTGGGACAAGATCTGCGGGCCGGGTGGGATCAAGGTGCAGTGGGCTAAGAAGAAGCTCAAGGAGGGAGAGAAGCCCGAGGGCGCGGACAAGAACTGGAAGGTCAAGGGAAAGGCGCCTGCGCCCGCTCCTCAGCCCAAGGAGGAGGACGAGGTCGCACAGGAGGAGACCAAAACCAAGTGGCGACCGGGCGTCTGGGACCACAACGCCTCGCGTACCGTTGTCGTGCTCGGCTTGCCTATGCCTGGCGAGGCCGGCTCAACCGAGGAGGCGGAGGAGGGAGACGAGCAGGACGGCGACGAGGAGAAGATGGACGTCGATGCGCAGGCCGAGTCGTCGACTGCTCCTTCGGCGGCGAAGAAGGGGAAGCAGATCGACTGGAAGAAGGCGCTCAAGCAGCGAGCCAAGAAGATTGGAGATGTCGAGGACATCCTCTTCCCCGTCGAGATGGCTTCAGGCGAGCAGGCTGGTGCGTCGCAATTCCCTTTCAAGCCTCCTTCACTCGTACTGACGTGCGGAGCTTCCGGCAGCCCTCGTCATCATGTACACACCCCGCCACGCGCACGACCTCATGAGCAAGCTGAACAACCACGTCTTCCGCGGCGTGCTCGTCTCGGCAGCGGTCAAGAGCTCGTGGGACCTGTGTCAGCGTCTCGGGCGGTCAAAGGGCGGAGGACGGTTGCTTGTTCGCAACTTGGGCTTTGACGTGCGTTTGCTGCGTCTCCTTCCCGAAGTTCGCTTAGGGCTGACTCGCCGCCTGCGCAGATTACCACCGCCGACCTCCGCGCCGCCTTCGCCCGCTTCGGCCCGATCCACTCCATCACCCTCCCCATCAACCCCTCAACCTCCAAACCCCGCGGCTTCGCCTTCGTCTACTTCGTCACGCGCTCTCACGCCGAAGCCGCGATGAAAGCCGTGAACGGTGCGCGTATCTATGCGGGTATGGCGGCGGAACGGATTGCGAGTGAGGGAGGGAAGGAGGGGAAGAAGAAGGAGGTTCGGGAGAAGAAGAAGAAGGAGAAGGAGAGCAGTGGAGGAGGAGGAGGGGAGAAGGGACGTGTTGTCGCGGTGGATTGGGCGCTCAGTAAGGAGGAGTGGCAGAAGGCGCAGGAGGCGGAGGCCGGCGGCGAGGCGGCTGAGGGCTCGGCTTCCGAAGGTGAGGACGAGGACGAGTCGGAGGGCAGCGATGAGGAGGACGAAGACGAGGACGAGGACAGCGACATGTCGCCTGTTCCGGAGGACCTCGAGCAGGACTCGGACATGTCGCCCCAGCCGGTCGGCGCAGGCGACCGCGACGAGGAGGGCGAGGAGGAGGAGGACGAGAAGGATTCACAGGAGGACCAGCAGAACGCCACGCTCTTCGTCCGCAACATGTCGTTCGAGGCGACCGAAGCCGAGCTGTACGACCTGTGCGTGCGGATTTTACCTTCTTCCTGCAGTACAATGCTGACAGTCCTCTTCGCGCAGCTTCAAACAGGTCGGCCCGGTCCGCTACGCTCGTATCGTCTTTGACCCGGTCACGAAGCGCTCGCGCGGCACGGCTTTCGTTTGCTTCTGGAACAAGGAGCACGCGCAGGCTGTTCTCGCCGAGTCCGAGGCACTGAACAAGGGTGTCTTTGGCGAAGTGCGTTCGTTCGTTCTCTTTCGCTCGCGCAGAGACTGACTCGTCTCTCGCGCAGACCTCGACGAAGAAGACGACGCTCCTGATGGCCGACCCCGGCTCATCCTCCGCCTCGCGCCTCACCCTCCACGGCCGTGTCCTCGCCGCCGTCCCCGCCGTCTCGAAGGGCCAGGCCGACAAGCTCCGCGAAGACCGCGACAAGAAGGGCGGCGCAAAGACGGACCGTCGCAACCTGTACCTCATGCGCGAGGGCGTCATCTTCCCTACCTGGGCTATCGCCAAGACGCTCTCTGCAGCGGACATGGACGCGCGCCAGTCCTCCTTCGACGCGCGCAAGGGTCTCCTCCGCTCGAACCCGTCGCTCTACATCTCCCGCACGCGTCTCTCGATCCGCCAGATCCCCCTCTACGTCTCGGACGGGATGCTCAAGCGACTTGCGAACCATGCGATTCGCGAATTTGAGCGAGACGTCAAGGCCGGGTTGCAGAAACCCTTGACGGAGGAGGAATTGGTCACGTTCGTGGCGGACGCGAGTGGCGCGAAGGAACCGACTTGGAACAAGGTCGAGCGGAAGAAGGGAATTCCGCTCGGCAAGGTCCGCCAGTCGAAGATCCTGCGGCAGAACGACCGCGTCGATGCCTTGACGGGACTTGGCCGGTCGAAGGGCTACGGATTCCTCGAGCTCGGCACGCACGCGGACGCGCTGCGTGTCCTGCGCTGGGCGAACGCGAACAAGGAGGTGAACCGGCTGTTCAGGGTGTGGTGGCGCGAAGAGCTGGACAAGATGGTCGACTCGGTCGAGAAGGGCGAGGGCAAGCTCGGGAAGGGGTTGAAGGCGGGCGAGAAGGAGGACCGGTTGAAGCGGTTGCAGGAGAAGAGGAAGGAGCTCGAGGAGGAGGAGAACCTCGCGAAGGAGAAGGACGCCAAGCGCGAGGCGCAGGGCAAGTCACTCACGGGCGAGGCGGGTCGCAGCTCCAAATGCCTCATCATCGAGTGTGCGTGCAGCTTCGCTCTCTCACGATGTCCCGGACTCTACTGACCCTGCCGTGCGCACGCAGTCTCGATCGAGAACGCCGTGACGACCAAGCGGCGCGCTGAGAAGGCTGAGCGGGCGAGGGAGAAGGCGCGACGAGCCAAGGCGCGTTCCGTTCGTCCTCTTCATCCTTTCGAGCTCCACTGACGCTTCTTGACGAGCAGGAGCGCGGCGGCGAGATGAGCGAGGACGAGGAGGATGAGGAGGCGGATGGCGACGAGGAGGCCTCGAACGCCTCGCCAAAGAAGAAGGACGGCAAGCGTGCGAAGGGCAAGAAGGGCGGCAAGAAGCGCAAGGCGGACGACGGCGATGAGGCTGCGTCTGCGTCGCCGAGCAAGAAGCGCGCAAAGGCGGACGCGGGCGGAGACGAGGACAAGCCTGCGAAGGAGGGAGCGCGGATTGGCAGCCTGATTGGGCGCAAGCGCAAGATGAAGAAGGGCAGGAAGTAGACGACGCTGCATCTGTTGTTTGCTCCCTGAGACCCTCGCTGGCACCTCGTGTGCGCGTCATTCAGCCGTCCGGACAAGCCGGCGAGAAGAGCGGTCCTTGGCTCCTCTCATTTCCTCTCTCTCTTTCTCCTTCTACATTGCTTGTTGGACTTGGCGCGCAGCTGGTCGTCGTGTACGCACACCCCTGTCCTCGCCCAGCTCGCAGCAACACCCCTTGCACCGCCTCACTCGACTTGCCCTTGGGTCCGCCGACATCGCTTGCACTCCGCCACAACGCCATCGCAGGACTCGCTGACACGCACACGCGACTCACAGCGTCCAATCAACTCATTCTAGCACATCGAAACCACCCAATTCTGCCCCCCGACCATGCTCGGATTCCACCACTTTGGGACGTTCCTCCTCTTCGCAGCGACCATCCTCCTGCTTGTATCCACCATCACCTCGCCCGTCGTAGACAGGATGGCCATCGCAAAGGTGTGCACGATCCCTCGTCTCACCGCGACGCCGCTGACTTTGTTCCCGCAGGCCTCGCTGCGCGGGAACAGTGCCACGGTCAACTTTGGCGCTCTCGGGTACTGCATAAGGGTCGCTGGGTGCGTGCGGCTCCCTCGACATGTGGGAGGCGGCTCTGACCGCCTTGCAACGCCGGACAGCGCCTCGGACGCCTGCACAAAGGCCCAAGTCGGATACCAGTTCCCGCAGGCGCTCTTCAACCTCGCCGAATCGACAGGCGTCCTCTCCAACACCGCAGAGAACGCCATCGAAGCGACGACCAAGGCATTGGTCCTCCACCCTATCGCATGCGGCGTCTCCTTCCTTGCGTTCCTCATCGCAGCACTCAGCGACCGCCTTGGCTTCATTTGCGCCGCCCTTATCGCCTTCGTTGCCATGCTGTGCGCGGCAGTCGCAATGATACTCGACATCGTCCTGTTCTACGTCCTCAAGGCGTACCTCAGGAAAAACAATATTGGCCAGCTCGTCTCGGTCTCGTACAGTGTCGGTACCTGGACGTGCGTTCCCTCTCTCATCGCTCCCTCGCACTATGGCGCTGATACTGCTTGAGTTCTGTGTGAACAGCACGGTTGCCGCCTTCTGCTGCCTCTTCATCGGCATGTTCTTCACCCTCTGCGCCTGCATCACCGACCGTCGCCGTCGCCGCCGTGGCGAGAAGTACTAGTCGTACAATTAGACCAGCCCTTTCCCCTCTTCCCTGCACAGACACTATCCGTTCCCCTAGCTTGATACCTACCCAGCAGCTCCTCTGTGTCGCGATTCTCTTCGTTATACGTCACCCGCGGCTCCCCTGACGACCTAGCACATCCGCAATACAATAACGTAACGATCTATTGCTCCTGCACTTCTACGCGCAGCCTAGCGACTCCGCGCGCGCTCTATTGCTGCGGTGGCGGACCATGCACGTCCCGCACTCTCTTCTCAAACTTTTCCACCATCAACCCGCTCACTTTGTCCCATACAGATTGGATCGCGGCGGCGTGTAAAGGGGAGGTGAACGCGTAGGCGAGGTAGAGGTCGACTTTTGTCTGAGGAGCCGAAGAGGGCGTCGAGGGAGAGGGAGAGGGCGAGGGGGAGAAGGACCAGATTGTCGAGAGGTGGCGGAACATGGTGGCGTCTTTGGCGGTGGCCTGCGCGAGCGAAGGTGAGCGAGAAAGCCGAGAGACGAAAAGGAAGGAAAGGAAACGCACCTTGACCCACTTGTCCTTCTCCATCTCGACAAGGCTGACATACCCCTCGTCAAACCCCATCGCACCTATCCGCAACTCTCCATCCATCTTCCACCGCTCTCCCTGCGTTCCTCTCAGCCAACCCTTGTCCGCAACAGGCTGGGGTAGTCTCCGTCCGTCCGGTCCGAGGCGGGCGGCGGTGAGGACGCGGGAGGAGGTCGTGAAAGGTAGGAAGGACTGGTACGAGTCTACGTCGGCGATGACGGAGAACAGCTGCGATGGCGAGTAGCTGTTTCGCGAGAAGGTCAACTCGAGAATCGTTGTCGAGCGAAACGAGGGACGCACGGCATAACCTTCTCCTCCCTGTACACCCACACGCCGTTCTCCTTCTGCAGTGTCCCTTTTCGCTCAGGTGAGGAGGTCGAGGGCGATGAGGAGGAGCCGAATGGCGAGGGGAAGTTGAAGAACGGGCGGGCGAGTCTGAGACTCGGTCGGCGTGGCAGAGCAGTCACTGCGCGCTTCGTAGCAGCTGTAGCCATCCTCCCAGTCAGAGCAAAGTGGCACGTCGAAGCGAGAGTCGCTCGTTGACCTCAGACGAACACCTCGACCGGCTCGACTCGGCTTGCTGGAAGGCTCGGACAGTCATGGACGACCTGCTCGACCTCGACTTTGCATCGGCGGGCAAGTCGCAGCCCCAGCAGCCCGCGAACCAGAACCCGCAGGCGCGATATGGCGGCGGACGGAGCGCGTTTGACTACCTCGCCGCATCTGGACAGTCGAGCGCGCCACCTGCACGAACTCCGACGCCTCAGCAAGCTCGGGCGCCTACACCGCAGGCGCAGGCGGGCGGAGGGGACGCGTTCGCAGGCCTCTTCGGCACGTCTTCCAACTCGACTGGTGCGGGAACGAACGGGTTGAGCATGGCGGAGCGCCTGCACAAGGAGAGCGCGGCGAAGATTGGAGGGTACGGCGGAGCGAACGGGCTTGCTGCTGGGATCAACTCGTTCGGGAGGTCGAGTCCCGTCAGTGCAGGAGCAGGCGCCTCGAGGTCAGGGTGCGTTCGCGGGGCTTCATTACATTTGACCAGGTATCGCTAACGCCCTGCTACATCGCGCATAGGTCGCCTGCTCTCCAGCCATCGATGCGGGTGGCCTCGCCCTCCTCCTCTCTCAACCCCACTTCCCGAACAGCTTCGCCAGCCGCTCAACCAGCTGCGAAGTCGCCCGACCCGTGGGACTTTGACCTTCTGTCGACAGCAGTGCCGGCGAAACCCGTTTCCCCAGCTCCCACCGTTTCACCTGCTCCGACTGTTCATGCTTCCGTTCCTTCCGCACCGGCAGACGACCCATTCGACCTTAGGTTCGACTCGCTGCCGGCAGCTTCTAGCTCGAAAAAGACCCCTGGACCCGCTGCGAGCGCCGCAACAGACGATTTTGACCTCCTCGACGCCTTCGCCGCACCACCCGCCTCTCTCCCTCTCCGTTCATCCCCTTCGCCCGCTCCCTCCCCAGCACCTACACCCCAACCTACGTCTTCATCACGACCTTCGTCCGATTCGCCTCCTCCCCATGTCCTCGGCCAGCTCGTCGAGATGGGCTTCTCACCCTCGTCTGCCTCGGCCGCTCTTTCCGCAACGCGCGGTCCCGCAGGCGACTGGGACATCGATGCGGCCGTTGACGCGCTAGCGGAGGAGCAGAAAGCGAAGGAGGCGAGAAGAAGGAAGCAGAAGGAGCTGGATGAGTGGGGGGATGAGGATAATGTAAGGGTTGGACGGAGGAGGAGCTGGGAATTTGAGGACGAGGATGAGCGGGGAGAGGCGGAGGCTCGGCAGCGGCGAGCACAGCAGGCTGAGCAGGAGCAGCGGCCACGGCAGCGAGCGAAGAAGCCGGGTGAAGCGCAGGCGAACGGTCGCGAGGCAGGCTCGTCTCGCGCACAGCAAGACGCGGCTGCCGCTGCTCGTGAGCAGGCCAAGGTCCTCCAGGAACAGGCGACCGAGATGCTTGCGCAGGCGCAGAAGATTGGCTTCAGCATGTTCAAGAGCGCCAATGCGTATTGGGGCGAGGGGAAGAAGGTGCTGCAGAAGAAGATCGAGGAGCAGCGGAGCGCGATGAAGGCTGCGCCGGGTGCGGAGCGAGCGGACGGACGGCCGAAGTGGTGGAGAGAGGGGATGGACGAGGAAGGAGCGGAGGCCAGCGCGGATGGGCCAGGAGCGGGACGTGCGCGGGAAAAGGCGGCGACGTTCAAGGACAGCGACGACGACGAGGAGCGACCAGAGTCGGTGCTCTCTCAAGGACCACGACAGGCCCAGCAACAGGCACCGCCTCGACGACCTGAACCAGCCGCGCCCGCGTCAAGCGAGTACCGCTCGCCCTTCCGACGGGCAAAGCCTGCCGCCACTCCGCCACCTCCAGGCGAAGCCGACCTCCTCTTCGGCCATGCACCCGCAACTTCTTCACCTGCTCCCGCCGTCGCCCGCTCGACACCTTCTCCCCGTCCTCGCTCGACGCCTTCGCCTGCTCCGCGCCGACGTGCCGTCACCCGCCCTCACGTCGCCATTTCGCCCTCCGCTCTCACTTCCGCCTCGAAGCACAAGACCACTGGAAACGACCACTTCAAGCTCGGCCGGTTCGGCGACGCGACAGCCGCGTACTCGCTCGCGCTCGACTCGCTGCCCGAAGGCTGGCTCGGTCGCGTTCCTCTCCTCAACAACCGCGCACAAGCGCGTCTACGCAGTGGCGAGGAGAAGGCTGCGGCTGCCGATTGCACCGAAGCGTTCGGGATCCTCGTCGCAGTCACGAGCGGCGAAATCGACCTCTCCTCCCTCGACTCCGAAGCCGCTTCTCTTCCAGCCGAAGTCACGCAGCTGTACGCTGGCGGAGCAGCAGTCGACCTGAAAGACCAGCTCGGCAAGGCGCTCGGGCGACGAGCGAAGGCACTCGAGGCGGACGAGAAGTGGAAGAAGGCGCGCGAGGACTGGGAGACGATCCTCAAGCTCGGCGACGAGTCCGTCACTCGGGGCGCAGGAGGCGTCAAGATGGTCAGCGACGGCGTTGCGCGGTGCAGGAAGATGATCGAGGGTCCCTCTGCTCCTTCGAGTGCGCCGCCTACTTCCCGCTCTTCCCCTGCTCCCGCCGCGGCCCGACCAAAACCTCGGTCGCCCGCTCCGCCTGTCGAAGGCTCCGGCGAAGCTGTCAAGGCGCTGCAGGCTCAGCAAGCTGCCGCCGCTGCCGAGGACGACATGCGCCTCGAGCTGAAGGACCAGGTCGACGCGAGGATCGCGGCGTGGAAGGGCGGCAAAGAGACGAACCTGCGAGCGCTCATCGCGAGTCTCGATTCGGTGCTTTGGCCAGAGCTAGGGTGGAAGACGGTCGGGATGCACGAACTTATCAGCGACAACCAGCTCAAGGTGCGATACGTTCGGGCCATCTCGAAGGTCCACCCGGACAAGGTGCGTTCTCTTCCCTCTACATCCCCGGCCTTAGCGCTTACGCTTTCTTCGCGCAGCTCAACGCCAGCAACACGACTCTCGAGCAGCGCATGATCGCTGCGCTTGTCTTTGCCTCCCTCAATGACGCCTGGAACGGCATGAAGTAGACTCTCCCGCTTTCCGCAGCATTTTGCATGGCTGTACTCATTCCTTGGTCCCTTACTCAGGAGAGTAAGCGAGTTGATTGGCAGGTAGATGTACGACAACACGGGAGGACACTACTTCAAGTCGGGTCGATACTGAAAGGAGTGATTAGGAGAGCGCCTGCAGAGACGAACGTCAGCTGTGGATCACTCTAAAAGGGGAGCGTCCGCGCACCTTCGGGAAGCGGCCCACCAGTCGGGCGTCTCACAGGCCCGCGCCCATCGTCGCTGTGCAAAACCCGTGGTCCCCTTCTCCGCCTCAGTCGCGCCTTCATCCGGTCGAGCAAGCCGTACTCGTCGTGCTCATCAGTAGCGCTCTCTGCCGAAAAGTCGTTCGTGACCGTCTCGCCGTTTAACCTGCGGAACAGGTCGACCGCGCGCGCGAGGACCGCTCCCGCGCTGTTGCCGTTCGACGAGACGTGCGAGGAGCGCAGTGCTTGGCGTGACTGCGTATGCGCACGTGAGAGGATAGTAGCGAGGGCGGAAAGCGGGAGAGGGAGGTAGGGTCGCATGTCGAGCGTGAGCCGGATCGACGGATTGACTGGTTCGAGAGAGGCGGGAGCGACTGGCGTGACGGAGGCGGTGTCGTGCGAGTTAGGGGAATCTTGCGAGGGAGGCTGAAGGGTGATGCGAACGCGGACTCGAGGCGGACGGACCGAGACTGCGGAGGAGGGGTTCGAGGCGGGAGAACGGAAGAAGTCGACTGCAATCGCGACGCGCAGTCCACGGCCGGACTTTTCGCCCTGTAAATCTGCAGGCGCAGCTTCCAGGCGAGAGTTGCCGTGCCCTGTGTTGTCGCGAATGTCAGCTGCGAAGCAGACGACGAGGAATACGCGCACGCACACATGAGGTAGACGAGCAAACCCTGCCAAGTCCTCGCCTCCACCGCAAACGACCGGTACAGCTGCCTGCCGTCCTCTTCCATGCCGAGCGACAGCTGCGCGCCGCGAGGGAAATCGCCTTCATGTTCCAAGCTGGAATACCGCCCGCTCTTGCTCTGCGCCTCGTTGACAAAGCCCCATCGCACGTCGCGGAGGATGTGCTCGTCGGCGAATGCGGCGGGAGAGGTCGCATCTTCGACGAAGCCACCGAACGACGGATCTGAGCGGAAGGAGGCTGCGGGTGATGCGGGCGCGGAGGCTGGCGTTGGACCAATCGTAGGCGGCGTGAGCAGCGGTTGTGCGAGGGGAGGTGTCGTTGGGGCAGACGCGGGAGGAACAGGCGGAGAAGGTATAGGCAGCGATGTGACGGTGGTCGGCGTGACCTGCTGCCCCTCGAGCGCCTCGTTTGTCGAAGTCAGCGGCGGAAGAAGAGACAAGTCCTCGCCGCGATCGTGGTCGGCGTGGGGTCCTGCGACCGCAAGATGCAGTTCCGGCGGCCCGTTGGCTCGGATCGTCGCCCGTCGCGCGAGGACGGCCGCAAAGAGGTCCTTCATCTGGCCCTCCTGCGACGACGCAGCAGACGGCGCCTCCGAAACAGCGACGCTGCTGTACCCGCTCTCGACATCCTCCCCGTCGCTCGCTTCGAAGCGGTCGTCGAACGGGTCGTCGCCTCCCTCAGCTGCACCAGCTTCGTCCGCATGTCGCGCGCTCCCGCTCAAGTCGCTGAACGAGCCGGCGGTCGCTGCGAGCGAGTCGTAGCCGTTTGAGCTGGCCGAGTCGTGTCGCAAGGCGGGCGGATGCGGTGAGTAGGTAGAGTATGCGGACGAGGAAATTTCGATCGGGGGGATAGGCAGTGGACCGCGCGCAGCTGGCGGTATCGAAACAGTATCGACATAGCTGTTCGGCGGCCCGGGCGGTGCAACCGGCAGTGGTCGACCAGGTCCGAGGATGACATCCGTAGGAAGGTCGAACTCGGGAGCGTATGCGGGATACTCGTAGGCGGGCGGAAGGTCATCGGGTTCCGAGTCGATCGCGACGAGGTCGAGAGGCGCGGATGGGTGTGCAGGGTGAGCGTCGGACGAAGTCGAGGGCAGACTGTACCGCTCGAAAGCCTGCGCGCTCGTCTCGGTTCGACCACTGCCGTACGCCGCTCGACGACCCGTTTCCTCCAAGCTCAGCTGCATCGCCAGCTCGAGCGCCTCCCTTTCCCGCCTTGATACCTCGTCTTCAACCTCCGCAGTCGAAGCCCTTCCTTTTCCCTTGTCCGTCCGACTCGCCTGAATCGCGCGCTGGACCTCCTTCTCTTCCTCGAGACGCCGTCGCCGCTCCTCCCTCCCTCGCTCCTCCTCTTCGATCCTACTTCGCTCGAGCGCTTCACGCAAGAGACGCTCTTCTTCCTCCGCTTGCAGGCGGTCGAGTTCGGCTTGTTCGTGCGCTGACGAGTCGAGTGTCGAGAGGAGCTGGTTGGTCTGCGACTGCAAGGCTGCGAGACGGGCTTGCTCGGACTCGAGAGACTCGCGACGAATGCGATTGAGCTGCGGAGTCAGTGTTGGTGAGCGCACTGAGCGAAGACCCAAGATCAGCGAGCGACTGACCTGTTCTGCCTCGAACTCTTCAGGGGTCCGGGGCGACGAGATCGGTAAATGCGGCAGAGATGCGGTCGACGGGTAAGCTGGATAGGCAGGGGTATGAGGCGAGATAGGCGAGGCCGGGAGAGAAGTAGGCTGGTGCGGAGATACAGGCGGATAGGTAGAGGAATACGGGAGGCGGTCGGGATAGTAGGAGGAAGGCGAGTAGCTGGCGTAATGCGCGGACGGTATTGCTGGTGGCTGAGGACGCGGCGGAATCGGAGGATAAGGCGACGCCGAAGGCGGAGAAGGCGCGGTGCCCGGCACGGACGTCCGCTTTCTGAACAGCTTCTTCGTACCTCCTTCACCCCTCGGCAAGCTGGACGAGCCGGACGCCGCCCTCGATGAGTCGGCGAAACTGCCTGGCCCGCTGTTCGCTCGGGCGCTCCCGCCTCCCCCTAGCTGCTGCGCCCTGATCGTCCGTTCCCGGTTCAGTGCAACCGCTTCTTGTAGCGGGATCAAGCCATTCGACTGGCGAAATGTAGTGGAAGACACTGCGGGAAAGCCGGCGGAGGGTCCGACTTGGGCGTAAGGATGCGTCCCCTCCGAGTTGTGGTGGAGGAAAGGTGGCGCTGGGCTCGGAGGTGCAGTTGGCTGAGGTACGTAGGTCGCTGAACGGGAGAGAGGGGGAGGATAGGGCGAAGGAGGAGGTTCCCTCAGGAGACCGTGTGCGACCGAGTGCCGGTGCTGGAGCGTTCGAGGCGGCAGTTGCGTTGGCGTATGCATCCCTGGGCCGTCCAAGCGACTCTCTGACCTCCGGCAGACCTTCCCGTGCCGTTGTCACGATGCTAATCCGAGTTCGAACCGGGAGAGGAGGCGATGCAAGAACAGCGAGTGGAACGATGGGCTCGGTGTGGACGCTGTCGAGTATGCTGCAGGAGGAAGCTAGATTCACACAAGCTGAGCGGGACTCTTTTCAAGCGGTACGAAGCTGAGCAGCCGTGTTGGCAGAGGGAGAGCCGCTCGATGAACAGCTCGCTCGCTCACACTCTGCTCGACTCGGCTCTATTGGCTTGGAGCTGGCTTAGATCGATTGCTACAGCTTGTCTCGGTCGTACTCTAGCCTCGCCTCAACTCACAGCGTGTTGTTGCGACCCGGTGCGTTGCTTTCCTCATCTTTGGCCGATGAGGTCGACGTGCGGAAGGAAGGCAGCATGAGCCTGTGCGACGGTCTCGAGGGCTTTGAAAGTATCCAAAACGAAGACGGCCGCGCTGACCAACGCCGTTCGTCCCGTCTGACGACAGTCGAGTCCGACTTCTCTCCTCACCCTCGAGTCGACTCCGTGTGTCGACACCAGCCCGCTTTACTGCTTGATCGGCCAGATTCGCCCTTCCCTTCTCTCATCTTAAAGCGACCACCGCATCCGCCATGTCCACCGCACCAGGCGCCATCCCAGCTGACCGCACTCGCAACCTGTGCATTGTCGCTCATGTCGAGTGCGTAGCCGTCCTTCCATCTCCCGCTCTTCCCGCAAGTTGACCTTGTTTCTCTCTGGCAGCCACGGCAAAGTTCGTCCGCCTCGTCGTTGTCCTCCTCTGCTTCGCTGACCTGTCCTTCCTTCAGTCCTCCTTCGCCGACTCACTCCTTGCCGCCAACGGCATCATCTCCTCTCGCCTCGCCGGCACGATCCGCTACCTCGATAGCCGAGAAGATGAGCAAGAGCGAGGAATCACAATGGAGAGTTCGGCTGTCAGTCTGCGATGGAGGATTCCCAGGCCTGCGGCAGAAGGTGCGAACCCGATCCATGCGCGTCTTTCTGTAAGGTACCCTGCTGACAAAGGCGTATGCAGGCCAACAACCGGTCTTGGAGGATTACAAGATCAACCTCATCGACACGCCCGGCCACGTTGACTTTTCGAGCGAGGTTTCAACGGCTTCACGATTGTGCGATGGCGCGCTAGTCCTCGTCGATGCAGTCGAAGGCGTCTGCACGCAAGTGAGTCTCCCTATGCCTCTCACCCTGTATGTACGCTCACGCTCCCTTTCGCAGACCATCACTGTCCTCCGAACAGTCTACCTTTCGCACCTCCGCCCGATCCTCGTCATCAACAAGCTCGATCGCCTCATCACTGAGCTGAAGCTCACCCCGACCGAAGCCTACCACTCGCTGAACCGCATCATCGAGGACGTCAACGCCGTCGTCGGGTCTTTCTACTCGTCCGAGCGGATGGAGGAGGACTTGCGGCGACGAGAGCGGGCGGAGGCGGCGAAGGCTCGCGCGGTCGGTGCTAACGGCGACGGGACTGAGTCGCCTGTGCAGGCTGGCGAGGAGGAAGAGCCGTTCGAAGAGCGCGACGACTCGGCGCTCTACTTCGACCCGGCGCAGGGGAATGTCCTTTTCTCCTCGGCCATCGACGGCTGGGCGTTCCGCATCTCGCGCTTTGCTCAGTTGTACGCCGAGAAGCTCGGCATCAGCGAGAAGAACCTCGAGAAGGTGCTCTGGGGCGAATGGTACCTCGACCCGAAGACGAAGCGTGTCATCAGCAGGAAAAAGATGGAGGCGTCGGGCAAGAAACTCAAGCCGTTATTCGTTCAATTCGTCCTCGACAACGTGTGGGCCGTCTACGACTCAGTCTCGCTCAACAAGTGCGCGCCTCTCTGGCCACCCAAGCTTGTTCCGCATCTGACATTCGCCTCCCCAGCAACCCGGCCAAGGTCGACAAAATCATCGCCTCGCTTGGCGTCAAGGTCCGACCGCAAGACCTGCGATCGAAAGACACCCGCAACCTCCTCCTCTCCATCTTCTCGCAGTGGCTTCCCCTCGCTCCCTCCGCCTTCCGTGCCATCATCGACCGTATCCCTCCTCCCGCCGCCGCTCAGTCCTTCCGCATCCCGCGCATGCTCCATCCCGAACTCGGGCACCTCGACGAGTCGATCGCGCCTCGCAACAAGCTCGAGTCGGACCTGTACTCCGGTACGAACGCGACTGACGCCTACTCTGTCGCCTATGTCAGCAAGATGTTTGCGGTCAAGGTCGAAGACTTGCCGGAGAACCAGCGGAAGCAGTTGACAGCGGACGACATGCGGGCGAAGGCGAAGCGGCTCAAGGAGGCGAAGGAGAAGCGGGATCTGTTGTTGGCCGAAGGCAAGAATGAGGAAGCCGAGGCGGTCATGGCGGAGCTCGAGCAGACGGAGAAGCAGCACGGCGAAGCTGGAGCGAAGGGCGAGCAGCGGAACAAGCAGGAGGCGCTGATCGGCTTCGCGCGGCTGTACTCCGGCACCATCACGCTCGGTCAATCCCTCTACGCTGTTCTCCCGCGGTATAACTCCGACCTCCCGCCCTCACACCCGCAAAACGCCAAGCACATCCAGCCGGTCAAGGTCGAACAGCTCTACATGATGATGGGCCGCGAACTGCTCGCGGTCAAGGAGGTGCAGGCGGGCAACTTGTTTGCGATCGGTGGACTCGAGGGAATCGTCGTCCGGAATGCGACGCTTTGCGGGATGGGCAGCGGGAGGGAGGCGAAGGAGGGAAGCGCGCGAGACGAGGACCGCGACTGCATCGTCAACCTCGCAGGCGTCTCCAACACGGTGCGTTGCGCTTTCTCTCGAGGTTCGCGCCGTCGATCTGCTGCTGAATCGGGACCATTCTCTTAGGCCGCGCCTATCGTCCGCGTCGCTCTCGAGCCGCAGGATCCGTCCGAGATGTCGAAACTCGTTGAAGGTCTGCGACTGCTCAGACAGGCTGATCCCTGCGTCGAGACGCTTGTTCAGGCGACTGGCGAGCATGTCATCTTGACGGCCGGAGAACTGCATCTCGAGGTGCGTCAAATGGTTTCGATCTGCGAGTCGTAGCCTGACTTTCTCTCTTGCGCAGCGATGCCTCAAGGACCTACGCGACCGTTTCGCACGCATCGAGATCACCGTTTCGCCGCCCATCGTTCCCTTCCGAGAGACTGCCGTCGCAGCACCAGGTTTGTCGCGGTCCGTTTAGGCTTCCCCGTCCGCCGCTGACGCTAGTCTCCGCGCAGAAATGGCACCGCCAAAGACGCCCAACCAGCCCCGCGGTACAATTCTCGGAACAGTCCAGTCTGGCCTCGTTACCTTCACGCTTCGCGCCGTCCCTCTTCCTTCCGACATCACTGACTTCCTGAACGCCAACATGAGCACGCTCAAGCGCCTTCAGCAAGACCGACGTAGTGGGAAGACGGAGGAGGAAGGCGACACGGCTGCGACTGATGCGCCCGGCGGTGCAGAAGTCGTCTCGCCGGAGGAGTTCTGGCCGAGGTTTGAGGAGGTGCTGAGCAAGGCCGGAAGGGAATGGGCGGGACTGGCGGACAAGGTGTGGGCTTTCGGGCCGCGTCGGGTAGGACCCAACATGCTCGTCGACCGGACCGAAGGCTCGCCTCGCTCGTGGGCTCTCCATCTCGTTCCTCTCATTCTGACGAACATTGACGAGCTTGGGTGACCAGCCTTCGCCGACGCCTCGAACGCCAAGCCGCCCTGCCCTCCGACCTGCAAACTCCTGGTCCGAACTCGGCACTTACGCCGCCGAAGTCGCCCATCGTCGCGCCTTCAGACCCTGCGCTCGGTCGCGAGTTTGTCTCATCGGAGTTTGCTGCCGGCGAGCTCGACGTCTCGTCACTCAAAGCGTCCTTGACGGAAGTCGACATGTCGGCCGAGGCGATGGAGCACATGCCTGACGTACGCGAACTCGACGAAAACTTCGACACCGCCTTCCAGCTTGCGACGAACCGAGGACCGCTGTGCGCCGAGCCTGTCGTCGGTATGGCGTACTTTTTCGAGCAGGTCGAGCTGCATCCGCAGGAGATGGACGTTTCGACAGGTGCGTCTACCCCGTGCTTTGTAGTCTTCACCGATGCTTGCTAACGGTTTCGATCCTGGCAGTCCGATCAAAGTGGTCGAACGCGCGCGGCCAGCTGATCTCGGCGGGTCAAGACGCCTTCCGCAATGGCCTCCTCGACTGGTCGCCTCGCCTCCAGCTCGCCATGTACTCGTGCGACATTCAGGCTACGGGCGAGGTGCTCGGAAAGGTCTACGGCGTCGTTGCCAAGCGCAAGGGTCGGATTGTCTCGGAGGAGATGAAGGAAGGGACAGCCTTCTTCACCGTCTCGGCGCTCCTTCCTATCGTCGAGAGTTTCGGGTTTGCAGATGGTGCGTCTCGCTAGCTTGTCAGCGTTGGACCCGCTGACGAGGAGATCGCTCTCGCAGAGATCCGGACCCGTACATCTGGCGCTGCTTCCCCTCAGCTGGTCTTCTACGGCTACGAGACGCTTGATCAGGATCCGTTCTGGGTGCCGACGACCGAGGAGGAATTGGAGGACCTCGGGGAGAAGGCGGACCGTGAGAATATTGCGAAGAAGTACATGGATGCTGTGCGGCGGAGGAAGGTGCGTTGCTTTCGGTCTCGTCACCGTCTCAGGATCCTCACAATCGAGTCCTGCGCAGGGCATGGCTGTCAACCGAGCGGTCGTCGCGGCAGCAGAGAAGCAGCGGACGCTCAAGTCGAACTAGATGGCGTGCAACGGTCGCCAGCGTGGCCTCGAGCTCGCTATCCCACTCTTCAGTCGAGCACGCTCTCCGGACCGAGCTCGGCGCTTGAGAGTACGTGGAAGTTCAACGATGGAGCGACAAAGGCATGTTCTCGAGGCGTTAGGCTGTCCAGGTCAGAGTGAACAAGTACCACTCGGGGCGGGATCGGTCGGCGGCAAGAACACTGCCTCTTGCGCCCATGACAGACCTTCGAGCTCGTTCGGGAGGAAAGTGGGCGTCGGAGAAGGGCTGGTGAGCACGCCTTCCTGCTTCTTTCCCGCCTCCTTGCCCGTTTTGCTGCCGTTGCCGACCTGTCCATAGCTCGCCTGAACCGAAGGAATGTCGAAGTCGAGGAGGAAACGCTTGAATCGCTTGAGTGCATCCGTTGGGACGTCGAGGACGATCTGGCTCAAATCCGCCTCCTTCCAGCGCTTGCGTGGCCATGCGTCGTCGTCCTCGGCCGATACACAGCGGGAAGAGTAGTGACTCGCGAGGCACAGTGGCACCACGTACGCCTCGGGCGAAGTGCGTGAGTAAGTCCGACGCAGGGGAAGAGGCCGGCCTATAACCTCCAAGCCGTACTCTTGCAGGAGGAGCGTGTTGTGCTGTGGGCAGCTTGCTTGTGAGTATGCTCAAGCGAGAAGGATGAGCACGGAAGACGCACGCTGGAGTCGAAGTCTCCTATATCTAGCCAGAACTCCTCCATGTTGGACTGGAGGCAGATGCATTCCTTCTCCTTCAGCCAGCGCAGGCGTACGCCAAAGAAGTTGTCGGTCGTGAGGACCCGCTTAGCCTCCCAGTCGCGAGACAAGACCTCGTCGCGTTGCTTGTCCCCGTGAATCTCACACCACGGATCGGTATAGCCTTCCGCAAGTATGATGTCGAGGAGCTCCGTCTCGGCTTGCTGCCTCGCGCAGATGAGGAGGTGGGAACGGAGAAGCTGGAGGAGTTCAGGTGGCAGGTCGAGGAGGCAGATGGCTGAGGAGCGGTCCCGTTGGAACGAGTATCCGGCAGCAACGTCCTCGAGGAGTTCGCGAGCATAGGTCGTCTTCTCCCACGCTATGCCAGCGGCGAAGAGATGCGCGCTGAGCACGCTGATCCCGTAGAAAACGGAGGCGGTGGCAGCCGCGCCGCTCATCGTGGGCAGGCGGCGGAGGGGAGGGATGCGATCGGACGAGCAGTCGAGAGAGTCTACGCCAGGCGACAGTCTAAGCGTAGGAAGAGCCGAGACGAATGTAAGTACCAGAAGGGAGCGAGCAATGAAAGGGTGGACGGTCGAAACTCAAGCGACGTGTCCTCGTGCGGTCATTCGCTCCACCGCTGCTCATCGAATTCAAGTTAGCCTCCTCGCTCAACTGTGGCGCGCGAAGCGCCTGCGAGTGAGTCGTACCGCCGCTTGTCGCGAGTTGGGAAGGCCAGCGAGAGAGCTTGCGCTTGGTTACCCACAGCAACTTGAAGGGCGGGAACGAATGCATTTGGCGGAAGAGGTGGACTCGCTGGCCGCGAGGCAGTTTTCTTCAGGAGGGAAGATGGGAGAAGCTTTCGACCCGTCCACCAGCGAAGTCTTGACCGGCGTTGCGTTACTGGGACGCTCAGATAGGCCTTAGCCGCCTCACCTGCGACACGGCAACGCCAACTGACCGGGACGCATCAAATATCGAAAGGCGGGTGCAATTGCAGGGCACGCGGGGCGGATCAGCTGCTCGTTACCAATCCGTGACGAGGTCAGTGAGCATCAGCCACTTTGGTTGCGCCTCGTTCACTGGAAGTACCGTGAATGTTCGTTGGCGAAGCACGATCTCGTTCTGTCCGCCCGAAGCCAGCTTCTTCGACACCATCGTCTCGATTTGGAGCGGCTCGAGGTGCAGAAGGCGGATCAACCGCAGAAATCGCTGGCGAGCACCTCGAGCAGTCTTTCGCATCATCTTGAAATCGATCTGCGTCACCCTCTGCTCGTCAGGCCCGTCGTAGCCGCAATTGGTCTCGAGCGTAATGCACGCTCCTTTGGGCGTGAGAAGCGCGACGTAGGTGGCGGATTGGAGGTCCATCAAGCTTTCATCACGCCGCAGGACTGGTCGATCGGTCGGGACGCAGAGCTTGAACGTCTTGAGCAACGTCTCGAGTCGCTGTGCGATGGCGACCAGGTAAGCCCATAACCCGCTGAAACTGAGCGTAACGCATACCTTCAATCGCTTATCAGACCAGATATCACATGCCCACGACAACAGATCGTCCATGCACATGTCGCAGGGTTCAGCTTCGCCGCAAATGTCGGTCCAGAATGGCGGAAGAGCGGAACCTGCGAGCGATTTGCCAGGTCTGCGCAGACCCGAGCCCCAGCAGCTCCAGTCGTTGACGCCGATATCGCGCATGAACTGATCATTGGCGTCCTGTAGCTCGAGGTCTACGAGCTTGTGCTTGACGACGTCCCAGACCTCGATCGGAACCCGCTCGACTGCAGAAGGCCCGGCGTCTTCCTTCCTCGGAGCCCGGAGGGTCCCGTTGAAGATGCGCAACGTGATCAAGTCGAAAAAGGGGAGCGTCTTGACGAGCTTCGGCCAGGCGTCTGCGGCGGGGACGAGCGACCAGGTGCGGATGGGCAAGCCGAAGAAGATGTGGGTCGCTGCGTGGCACATCCTGCGTGCGAAAGCGAGTCAGCCACGCTTCAAGACGACCCAAGAAGTCGCTGCGAGCGTACCTGTGCGTGCGGGTCCGGCGAGCAGAAGAAGGAGGCGCGAGAACTGATGAAGACGAGCGAGGCGGCGTCGAGGCGTCGAGAGCGAGCGCGACGCAGAGCAGTCAGAGCGGTAGCTGTACAAAGCAGACGACGGGTGTGCGCAACACTCTGCGGCGAACTGAGTGATGCGGCGGAAGAAAGGAGCGCGAGAATGGTATACCTGAACGCCTGAACGCCTCTACGCTTTCGCTCTGACCTGGGAAGGTGACGCGGCTGCGCTGCTATCTCTCTCGCAGCAGCAGCGGTCAAGAAAGAGGCGGCTTCGAAAACCCGGGCGAAAAGAGTAGCACTGCACAAGACTGGACGACCGCGACGCGTACAAGGGCTCGACAGATGCGAATGATCGCTGCTCAGAACCATTCCCCCAAACACGTTGTGAAGAGGCGCCATGCGGGGCACAGCCTGCCGCGACGGAAGACCCTCGAGCCACCCTCGTCGAGAACGACATGTTTGCTCGATCTGCCGACGCGGTTATTCTTCCTCGGGCGGAATGGCTTGTCAAAGATTTCGACGGGCTCGAGGTGGAAGCGTGAGACAAATGCAGCAAAACGCGCATCAGCGTCGGCTGGCGGAAGCATCGGTTCGAGGTCCACGATGCTCTGCTGATAGTTGGCGTTCTCATCGCCGTCGAAATCCTCGCACACGGAGGTGCAAGGGGTGTCGGATATGCTGCCGGTTGTGATCCAGATGGCTGTCTCGGGATCTTGGGCGATAATAGCTAGTGGTCTGTCGAAGTCGTTGTGAACTGGAATGTCCGTCGGCATGCGTAAGCGAAACTGGGGAAGCATGCATTCGACGACGGTCTGTCGAGGCAAGAGTGAGCAGATCGCAACTTGGGCGAACTGGCAAGAGTCACCGACGTTGTAAATCGAGGCTTCCTGGATGCCATCGTAATCCACCGCCAGGTCATAGCAGTCATCGCAAAATTCGTCTCCCATCCGTATCTCCCACGTCAGCTTGCGCGTAGGACTCGTCTTCTGCCTGTCTTCCAGACAGCCTGCGCAGATCACCCTCGCACCAATAAGACGCTCCGCCTCCTCCTGCTCGAGCTTGATTAGCTCGTAGCGGATTCCATCCCACACCTCGAGTGGCACGCATTCGAGAGTATCCGGCACGGCAGGGTCGGTACGCAAAGTCCCGCGCCGGATGCGTAGCGAGACGAGGTCGAGGAAGCGAAGAGGCGCTTCGAGCTTCGGGTAGGCTTCGGCTGCGAAGACGAGCGACTTGGTCGTGACGGCGATGCAGTAGCTAAGGCAGGTGACGGCGCGGCACATGGCGGGAGTGCAGGCTGTTTGGGCGACGCTTGAGAGGTGAGGTCAAGGTGAGGCGGGAGAAGCTGGGTCTGCGGTCGAGCTGCGGGACGAGCGGGTCAGCTATCGTTCTTGGGCACTGTATAGTTGGTAGCGCGCACCTGCAAGACCGTTCCGGCGAGCAGAAGAAGGGGAAAAGCGCTTCGAATCCGGGTCGACTGATGAAGACGAGGAGGGGAACAACCGACGTGGGAGCACGGCGTGGCGGTCTGGCGTGACTGGTCGCAGTACTGAACAAACCTGGCAAGCGTTCTGAACCGTTTTGAGCGTGTCGAGCGGTGTGGTCGAGGCGGATGAACTTCCCCTCCTCCCCTCCGACGTGAACAGCTGCCCTTGTCTCGCTTGAACGCGCTCGAAGCGGGCAGTGAACGCTCGCCATGGTACGTACAACCGTTACTCACTGTCCTCGCGCGCTCACCGAACCCTTGCGTTGCAGAGCGCAACCTACATCCTCTCTGCGACGAGTGAACCCTCGCCGTCCTCCTCGACCCTCCCGCCCCGCACGACCAGCCCGCCAAGCACGCCAGGAGGAGAACAGGGACATTCGGATGCGATTTGGTGTGCGAAATGGGCGCGGGCGGCGGGAGGGGGAGAGGTGGTTGTTACGGCGGGTGCGGATCACTCGGTCAAGATCTGGTGCGTCGGCTTGTTCGTTCCCGCAGACCAAATCGTGCTTACCACTGTGTGTGATGCAGGAACCCTGCGCAGACAGCCGCGCCAACACGCACGATCCGACCGCCCAAATCGCTCGGAATCGTCGGCCTCGACGTCGACAAAGCAGAGACGGGCGCGTCTTTCCTCGTTGCGAGCTCGCTTGATTCCGTCATCACGCGGTGGAGCATCGAGGGCGAGTCGGAGGGACGAGTCGAGTTGGGTCCTGGTGCGTTTGCCTTCCTCTCGCCTCCATAAACTACAGACGGACGTCTTACCTTCTCGCGCTTGACAGCCGCGTCGTGGGACGTCTCGCTGCATCCTGGCGCACCGCAGTTCGCGACAGCAGGAGGCGAGGGAAAAGTCAAGATCATGTCGTCGGCGACGGAGACGTTCGGTCAGGATTTGGCGGCGCTCGAGGCGACGGGCAAGTTTGGGATGGCTGTCGAATACGTGCGTTGGCTCGACGGAGTCGTATGGGCTGTAGTGCTGATGGACTGGACGCCCGCAGAGTCAGGGAGGGAACCTCCTCGCTGTTTCGAGCGATACGGGCTACGTGACCCTCTTCGACGCCGAGACAGGCGCCCTGGTCTCTTCCTTCCCAGGTCAGTTCGCCTCAACCCCCGACAGAGCGAACACCGCTGACTCTCCCCTCTCACACAGCCCACTCCGCCCCGATCCGCTCAATGTCCTTCACCTCCAACCTCCTCATAACCGGCTCGGACGACAAGCGCATCAACGTTTTCGACTTGCGCGCACTGACGTCTCATAGCGGTGCTGCGGGCGGAGGGGGACGGAGAGGACAGGTTGCGAGTATGGGAGGACATGAGGGTTGGGTTGTGACGGTTGCGGCGAGGAATGAGAGGTTGTTGGCGAGCGGGTGCGTGACGGCGTCTCCATCCTCGCGTCTCTGCACAATCGACGGCTGTTGACACGCTACGCACGCAGCTCGTCGGACGGGACGATCAAGCTCTTCGACCTGTCCTCTCCGTCGACTGCTCTCTCGACCCTGCGCGACCATACCGGCGACGTCTGGTCCCTCGCCTGGGCTCCAGAACAAGTCGGCTCAGCGCCGGCTGTCGAGGGACTAGGAGGAGCGGCGGCGGGACTGGGAGCAGGGAGGTTTGTCAGTGCCGGCGAGGACGGCAGGCTCCGGTGGTGGAACGGCGGGGGTTGAGCGCACGTCGGCGAGTGCAATGCGCATCAAAGGTGTCCATCATTGACAAGTCATGGCCCATACCGCCCTCTACACCGACTGCTCTCGCTTCTCTCGCTCCAATCGCCGCTTTCGACCCTCCCGCCTCGCTTCTTCGTCTGTTCGCTTCGAGGATATCAAAGAATAGTTGTCTATGATACTACGCAAGCCTCTGCAACATTCACAAGTCGCTGTGAGCGGGTGCGATGACACGTCAGCCAGGCGAGGTCGCGAGGGAGGGTCGTTGCTCGCCCTCGACCCGCTCGCCTGTCCGTTCCCACGCTCGCTGTGAACAATGTCTGCCGACCAAGCACAAGTTCCCACCTTCAAGCTCGTCCTCGGTCAGTCACACAACCCTGCAACGCCGCCGCGACGCCGCGAGAGGGCCACTCGGTGGGAGCAGGACCAGGAGCGCTGACATCCTCCATTCCTCGCCACCTACGCTCTCTGGACACCCTGCGATGCCACCATTCGACTCACGCGCCTCGATAACACCTACTGTGACCCTCGCCGAACTCCACCGACCTGACGCCGCCTCGCTCGACTCGTTCAACCCGCTCGCAACGCTCAGTCGGTGACGGCGGCACGGGCAAGACCACTTTCGTCAAGCGCGTGCGTACACGCACTCTCTCGCACTGCTCTTACAGTTCTGTACTGACCCCGTATCTTTACGCCCTCGCAGCACTTGACGGTGAGTGGATGATGCGTTTCGAGGGGGCTACTTCGCTTCGGACAGCCAGATGCACGCGAGCTGACCATGCGAGACGGTTCTTACGACGTAGGGAGAGTTCGAGAAGAAGTACATCGGTGCGTCTCGCTCTCGTTGCGCCCGTCTACACCTCGATTCGTTCACTGACTCCCGCCGCCTCCTTTGCTCCCGCCTTGATCCCTCGCAGCTACCCTCGGTGTCGAGGTCCACCCCCTCACCTTCCACACCAACTTTGGCACGATCTGCTTCAACGTCTGGGACACGGCTGGCCAGGAGAAGTTCGGTGGTCTCCGCGATGGCTACTACATCCAGGTGCGTTTCGGGCTTCTTTATCTGAGCTCAGAGTGTGTGGAGAAGGCGAGAAGCGAGCGGAACTGACCGGAGACCGTTTCGCGGCGCGCAGGGCCAGTGCGGCATCATCATGTTCGACGTCACGTCCAAGATCACGTACAAGAACGTCCCGAACTGGCACCGCGACCTCGAGCGCGTGTGCGAGAACATCCCGATCGTTCTCTGCGGCAACAAGGTCGACGTCAAGGAGCGCAAGGTCAAGACGGGCGCCGTCACGTTCCACCGCAAGAAGAACCTCCAGTACTTTGAGATCTCGGCCAAGTCCAACTACAACTTTGAGCGACCCTTCCTGTGGCTCGCGCGCAAGCTGGTCGGCAACGCCAACCTCGAATTCGTCGCCGCGCCCGCGCTTGCCCCGCCCGAGGTCCAGGTCGACGCCGCGCTGATGCAGCAGTACGCGAAGGAGCTCGAGGCGGCCCAGGCAGCTCCCCTCCCCGAGGAGGACGACGCAGACCTCTAAGCGGCGGCGCGGGAGGCCCCAAAACGACTCGGCGACGACTTGAAGCTCACCTTACCCACCTCGACGTCCTTTCCTCGCCCTTATCCTCTGTCTTCGTTACGTTTCACCCTAGCAACTGTCCAATCATACACCCTACGTCCGCCGCAACGTGTCGAACGGGCGTCATCAGCAGGCGAGCTGAGTGAGGATGTGTGCGAGGAGGAGGAGGGAGTCGCTCTGGCTCGCTTCTTTCCTCCACCTAAGCCTCTCCGACCAGGGCAGTTGGCGCACCTCGACGAGCGTCTTGCGCTCGACTAGTCCACGGAGAGAAAGCCCTTTCGAGCGAGTTAGGATGGTTGCGCCTGATTGACCTCGTCCTGCCCTTCGCGCCTTTGCTCTCGTCCCGCGTCACGCTCTCGCTCTTCCCGCTCGCCTGCTCTTGCTTGAGGCGCTCACTGCTGCTGTCTGCTGTGTCTGCGCTGCCTGACTGTCCACCTCAGCGAGCACATCCCTCCCAGCGCTCCTCGCCGGCCTCTTCGGCGACGACTGTCCGAGCGAGACGACCAAGATGGCGACCGCCGCGAGCCTCCGCGCGCGCAAGGACCAAATCGTCGAGCAGTACCGCGATCACGCCGACCTCGTCCGCGACGTCCAGAAGCAGGCGCTCGCAGAGGTGCTGCCCTCGCTCCGGGACGAGTTCGCACTCGATGAGGACGCGGTCGCAGCGGGGACGGCGTTGCTGGAGGATCGAGGTGCGTAAGACCGACACCGATAGAACGTACGCTAGCTCACAGTGCCACGCAAACAGTCACCGTCTTCCGCTTCTGCCGCCGCGCCCGCTTCTCCCCCACCGCAGCCTTGAAGCTCCTTCATGCGACGTGCCACTGGCGCTTGACCTCTCACCTGCGCCACCTCAGCCCCGCGTCAATCCACTCGATCTACCTCACCAAGCCGCTCTTCTTCTTCCACCCGTCCCTCGTCGACCGGTTTGGCCGTCCCTGCGCTGTACTCAACTTGAAGTACGTCCAGCGGACGGAGGATGGACGGCTTGATGCCCTGAAGGAGTTTGTGAGGCTTGGGTGGGAGGTCGGGAGGAGGTACTTGTCGGACATGAGCCGGAGAGCGGGAGACGACCAGGACCCGAAGCTGCAGATGGTCGTGATTGTCGACCTCGACGGCGCCGGCATGTCGAACCTGGTGCGTTCATCCTCCCCGTCATAAGGAGACTGCGCTGATTGTTCGCCGCCTCGCAGGAAGTCGAGCTACTCCCTTTCTTCCTCGACCTGCTCAAGAACCATTTCCCCGGGATGGTCGGAGCCAGTGCGTCCCTTGCTCGTTCGTTTTCAGTCACACCGCTGACCCCCCTCGCGCAGTCTTCGTTTTGAACTATGGCTGGGCGTACGCCGGCATGTGGCAGCTCGCCAAGCGCGTCTTGCCGAACACGGCGCTCGAGCGGATCTTGTTCCCGAGCAAGGAGGAGCTGCTCGAGTTCTTTGACGAAGACCATCTGCTCGTCGGTGCGTATATCATTCTTCGTATGATCAGCTGCGCACTGACTGGACGAGTCTCGCAGAACATGGCGGGAACGTCAAGTACGACTACACGCCTGCCAACCCGATCCTCGACAAGTACGGCCGACTACCACACCTCACCACCTCAACCGCCTCCTCAGCGTACCCCTCACCCGGCCCGACACCCTCCGCATCGTCCGCCTCGCTGCACGGCGAAGTCTTCCACTCTGCTCCTCCTTCTCGACCCATCACTCCCGCCATGTCACGCCGACAAAGCGGTCTCGTCATGACCGCCGCCAGCTCAAAAGCCGAATCGAGCGGGTCATCCGGCTGGTTCGGGTTTGGGCGTCGCCCGCCGCCTCAGAGCGAAGGCAGTCCAAGCGGTTTGCGGCGCGTGCGGAGTCTCGCCGAGTTGCACAAAAAGCTCGAGCAGACTCAGCGCGAGATTGACGATGACGACTCGCTGAGCGAGGAGCAGTCTGAGTATGGAGCGGGAGACGGCGGGAGCGCGGATGGCGAGCAGGGGGAGTCGTTCGGGCCGGATTCGTCGAGAGGGCCCTCGACTGTCGCGTCGGGACGGAGCTCGAGGTTTTCGTCGAGAGCCGGGTCGAGGGTGCAATCCAGGACGGTGTCGAGGTCCGTCTCGAGGGAGGCGTCGCCGTCGAGACGGCGGAGCGTCGAGCCGCTCACAACGGCGGGCGGTGGCGGTGTCGGCGACATGCACATGATGGTGGGTTGCCCCAACGTTGCAGAGTCTGCCGCTGGATGCTCACGTTCACAACGCCCGCAGTCCCCTTACAACGCTTCGAACCCGCATTTCGGTTACCCCGCCTACGTTCCTCCATCTTCGCTCGATCCCTACGGCATTCCAAGACCACACCACTACCGACGCCGAAAACGCGACCTCGTCCGCACGCTCACCTACCTCGCCGCGCTTCGCTTCCTCGCCCTCCACCGAGCCATTCAGTACCGCCTCAACCTCATAGTCGCGATGCTGTTCCGCATCACTGGACTCGGATGGTGGCAGGCGCGAAAAGCGAGGGCCAAGGCGTTCGAGGCTGCTCGCGCGGCGGGCGGAGCGGGTCCGGTACCCGACAAGAAGGTCCACTGGGTCGCGAGCAACAACGGTTCGCCCGCCTCGTCCAACTCGTCTTCCTCGACCTCGATCGCGTCCATCGTCCCTCCCGCTCCGCACGAACATCATCACTCGCACGCGCATCCTTCAGCTGTCGCCATCCCCGCCCAGTCTTCCTACTTCATCGACATCGACCCGTCGATCTTCTACCTCTCCGTCCTGTTCCTCATCATCCGTACGCCGAGGCGAAGGGAAAAGCTCAAAGCGCTGTGTCGATTCTTGGCGGTTGGAGCGCCGAGCTGGACTTTGGCGAAGGGCAGGGAGGGGGCGCTGATGGCGCTGCTTGGACGGGAGAAGGCGCGGACGCTGCTGGAGCAGGAGCGGGTGGCCAGAGGAGCGTGAGGAGTGCGGGATTCGTCGCCCATGTCTGTTCTAGTCGTTCGCAACTTGCTTGTTGTTTCGAATCCTTGCGCAAGCCGCCTGCCATGGTCCGCCCAGTGCTGGAGGACGTGTTCTCACCTGATCTCTAGCGCGAGTCCCTACGAAGACAGAGGGCAGGGTGGAGAAACAGCGACATTCAGGGGTGCGGCTGGGTGAGGTCGCAGATAGGCCGTTCCGGAGATCCACCGCCGCTTCTAGGTCCGTAACGTCTTTCACCGGTGACGGAGCTCCTTGGGCCGCCTTGGGCTCCGCCGCGCGCCGCTGCATCAACGCGGCGACGTCCTGGGCCCTCGGTGGCTTGAGGATGTGCAGTGATCGCCGCATGAGAAAGTGCTGTACCCGCTTAGCGCACGGGTCAGACGTGGACGGTCCGCAGGCTTGAGCGAGTCTTCACGACGCCTCTTCCCGACGCTTGAGCCCATACTCGTTGACGACAAGCTGCACGATGTCGCTCCACTCCGTCATCGCACCAATGCCTGCCCAAGAGATTCGTGAGACGAGCATCGGAAGCTGAGAGCGAGCCTCACTCACCGATGTCTCCGCAAGCCAGCTTCTTCCCGATCGGCCCATGGACCTTGTACCCGAGCTCTTCCTGCACCATCTTGAGCTGCTTCGCAGTGAGAGGGTGCGAGTACATGTGCGTGTTCATTGCTGGGAAGAGGTGGACGGGTACGAACGTCGGCAGGGCGCGAAGGAAGGAGGTCTGCGCGACAGAGCAGGTCAGGTTCGGCGTGAACAATGACGGGTAAAGCTCGTGCCGTACAAGGATGTTGTCGCAGATTCCGCTCGTGATCTTGGCGAGAGTATTGGCGGAGCAAGGAGCGACGAGGACGACGTCTGCCCAACGGCGGAGCTGTAAGGCAGCTTATGTTGTCAACCACCGACGAGTCTGTCCTTCGGAAGCGCACGCACCTCGATATGCAGGACGGGGTCGCCAATCTGGTTCCAGCCCTGCCAACGTTGACAACGTCAGGGGGGCAGGGAAGAGAACGAAGATTCCGACTCACCGCCCACTCATCCGCGTCTGTCCAGACCCTCACTCGACCCGAGTACGCCTTCTCAATCTCGGTAGCATCGAAGAAGTGCGTCGCAGACTTGGTAGCGACAACTTGGACGTCCACTTTGTCGTGCTGCCCCGGTCAACGAACGGTGAGGGAAGTTCCACCAAGCGAGCATAACTTGTCGGGGCGCACCTTGAGCAGTTCTCGTACGATGAGGGGCGCCTTGATGCTCGCCACGCTGCCAGAAACGGCGAGGAGGACGTGCAAGTTGCGGGCGGGGAAGACGACCGGGTTGCGCTCCTCATCGCCCTTCGCGCCGAGCCCGTTCGGGAGCAAGCGAGCGATAGTCTGCCTCAGGTCCTCTGTAGCGTCCATCTGAGCGTTTCAACGCAGCCTATCGAGCGAGTTGAGCGGACCACCGCGTGTTGCGAGAGGCAGAGCGAGGGTTGTCGTCGTCCGCTTCACCCAACAATGGGTGCGCGCCAGTCCTGACAGCTCTGAACGCTCGTGCTGATTCGTAGGATGCCCGCAGCTTTCAACTTTGGCTCGTCAGGGTTCAGCTTTGGACAGACGACGGGTGAGTTCTCCTCATTAGTCGACCGGGGCAAACGAGGGATGTACAGGCTGACACGGGGCTTGCACGGGCACAGCGTCGACTTCGACAAGCACACCGGCGACTAGTGCACCGGCGCCGCTCTTCGGCCAGCCAGCTGCGTCCACTGCGCCTCCAGCTGGCGGCCTGTTTGGTGGAGGAGCGACTTCGACGGCTCCCTCCTTCTCCTTCGGCGCTGCGGCTGCACCAAAGCCTCCAGCATCAACAGCGCCTACCTTCTCATTCGGCGGGGCAGCTTCCACAGCGCCTGCTGCTGGCACCACCCCTGCTCCCGCCGCTGGCGGACTCTTCTCGACTCCCGCCAAGCCAGCTGGAACAGGACTGTTCGGCGCACCGGCAGCAGGAACGACGACGCCAGCTGGGACGCCGGGTCCTGCAGCGCCGTTGTTCGGTGGAGGCGCGGCAGCAGGAGGAGGACTCTTTGGCGGGAAGCGCGAGGCGGACTCTGCGACGGGCGAGGCAGCCGCAAAGAAGCCCGCTCCGACGTTCAGCTTCGGTGCACCTGCCGCGTCGGCGCCTGCAACTTCGGCCGCCGCACCTGCCGCAACGACTCCCAGCCTCTTTGGCGGCGCGGCAGCAGCGAAACCTGCCGAGGCGCCGAAGCCGCTGTTCGGTGCCGCACCTGCAGCAGGTTCTTCGACTACTCCGTCTCTCTTTGGCGCTAAGCCTGCCGAGTCCACTGCTGCGTCCACCGGAACGAGTGCGTCCCCGTCTTCCTCTCAGCCTGGTTGCCTGGTTGCCTAGTTGACACGCTTTCTTTGGGAACAGCTCCTGCTCCAGCCGCCCTTTCACTCTTTGGTGCACCTGCAGCAAGTGTGCCGACTACAACGCCGTCGTTGTTCGGTGCCAAGCCCGCTGATGCTGCCGCAACTTCCACCCCGCCCGCTGGTGAGTTTTCTTTCTCCTTCTCAGCATCCATTGCCGTCTACTGACGAGCCACTTTTCTGCAGCCCCGCCTGCAGCACCGTCGCTCTTCGGCGCCAAGCCTGCCGCGCCCGCCTCGACGACTTCGACTGCAGGTACGTCAATCTCGAGGATCTCGCGCTCAGCTCCTGCTGACCAAATGCCGGCTCCGTACAGCACCCGCTGCACCGGCTCCAGCTCTCTCCTTCGGTGCTCCCGCCTCGACCGCCGCCGCTGCGAGCGCACCTTCCAGCTCTGCGCCTGGCGCCGCTCCGGCCAGTGCCGCGCCCGCTCTTTCATTCGGCCTCAAGCCTCCTACCACCACTCCCGCGCCGACTGCGACCCCTGCCCCGTCGACTGCCTTGACCTTCGGCGCCAAGCCCGCTACCACTACGCCTGCACCGGTCGCAGCTGGAACGCTCGGCTCGACGAGGGCGACCGCCCCTGCAGCACCGACGCCCTCGATGCTGCGAGGCAAGACTCTCGACGAGATTGTCAACGCTTGGAGCGTCGAGTTGGACGAGCGTACGCGCGACTTTGTCGATATTGCGGGCGAGGTGAGGGAGTGGGACCGCGTCTTGCGTGAGAATGGCGAGCAGGTGCGTCCCTCCGTCCTGTCAAGCGAGTCGCGAGGATCAATGAGCTGACGCTGGCGGCGGAGCAGATCTCGAATTTGTACAACTCGGTCCTCCCGCTCTCGCCTCTCCAGACGACCATCACCTCCTCGCTCGACTACATTGAGTCGCAGCAGTCGGACCTGTCGTCGATCCTCGACGCGTACGAGGCGCAGATCGGCGACCTCGTCGACCAGTCCTCGACCTCTTCAGCCGGTCTCTCGCGCGGCGGCTCGGCGGCCGAGAAGGAGCGCGAACAGGCGTACCAGCTCGCCTCTACGCTGTCCAACTCGCTCGACTCGACCTCCTCGTCCCTCACCTCCCTCATCCAGACCCTGAACGCCCTCTCGCCTGCTCTCGCACCCGGCGCAGACGGGACGCATCAAGACGACCCTCTCACGCAGATTGCGGCGATTTTGAATGCGCACCTTGGGTCGCTCAAGTGGATCGAGGGCACGACGGACCAGTTGAGGAAGAATGTGAGCGACCTGGAGGGGAGGGTTGGAGACGTGCAGGGCAAGATTGGGGCGAGTCAGGGGAGGGTTGGGGGGACGGGGAGCCAGAATGGGACGCCGGTGAGGGGCAGCGCATTCGGTGCTAGCCAGTTGGGCAGGAGCACGGCGAGTCCGTTCGCGAGGAGGTTGTGAGCGCGAGTAAGCCGTCTTGCAACTCTCGATTCTTCCCTCTGCTCACAATGTCGAGCTGGAATGCGTCTTGCAAGCGAATCGATGAACGACGAGAGTACGATGCGAGGGTGGGAACAGACTACAAGCGAAACAGACAGCCACGAAAAACAACGGAGGACATCAAGCGTGCGAGGGTAGAGAGAGTCTGTACAATGGAGGCTATGCGAGGAGAGAAGGGAGATGGGCAGGATCAGCCGAACGCCTTGACGTTCCTGCCGCCGTATCCGCGCCCGCCCCTTCCGCCGCTCTTTTCGCCTTCGAAGCCGCCGCCGGATCCGCCCGAGCCAGACGACGCAACGAAGAGGAGCTGCTTGTCGAGGAGCTGTGCGCACGGAGCGTCAATCGTTGAGTGAGATGCGAACGAGGATGTTATGCGCACCTCGTTGGCGGTGAGGAGCTGCTTCGTCAGTGCCGAGAGGTAAGTCGTCAGGAGGACGTCGTTGTACTCCTGTACGATCGACAGAGCTCATGAAGTCAGCATTGCTCTCGCGATGTCGACAACTGACAAAGAGCAGGGCAAACGCACCGTCAGAAACTCCTCCTTCAATTCCCCTCCCTCCTTCGCCTCCTCCGCTCCTTCGACCTCCGCACCTCCAGGCAGACTCCCAACAAGACTCGCAATCATCCTCAGCGTCTCGCTGTCCTTGCGAGCCTTGCCTGCGAGGCAGGCTCGGAGGTATTGGACGATGAGCGAGACGCGGGATTGGAGCATTGAGAGGGCGTTGCGCTGAGTAGAGAGGGTGGCGAGAACTGAGTGCGCGCAATGGTCAGTACAGATCCGTGAAGAAGGGAGGACACGGCAGGAACTCACGGTTCCCATGCGCTCCACCTTCGTTCCCTGCCTCCGGCTTGCTCACGCCCTCGACCGCCACACGCTCCGCCTCACCCGTGACGATCTCGTACGGGGTGTTGACAAAGACAGGCTGCGGCTCGTCGGCGACGATCTCGACGACGGATTCGTAGATTGCGACGGGGAGGTCTTTCGCGCCTGGTGCATCCGAAGAGGAGGAAGAGGGTGCGGAGGGGTTGAGTTGGAGGAAGAGGGGTGACTCGTTGTATTCGAAGAACTGCGCGTAGGAATGTAAGCGAGAGAAGGAGACGATGGAGGACTTGGGACGCACCTGTTTGTGCAGAGCCGTGTCTTCGGGGGTCGGCGCCTGCCCAACGCTGTACCATCCGAGGAAGTCGAATGTCGGGAACACCTGGCGGACTGTACGGCGCAACAGAGGTTAACTCGCCGTCGCCCCACATGCGAGCGAGGAGAAGGGAGCGCACACTGGTCGCGGCGGGTGACAAAGTAGGCGTGGTCGAGTTTGAGCACGCCGTCCTCGTTGTTGACGACCACCTCGAACGAGTTCATCACCTCGACATCCCTGCCAGCCTGCGTCCCGAGCAATGCGCCGACGACTGGGACGAGTGAGGTCAGCACGCGGCTGTTCTGCACCGGGATTGGACTGGGACGGACCTCGTGTGCCCGGGATGCCAGTCTGCAGCGACATCCGCGTGTAGTGCTCCGAGATGGACAGCAGCGGGAGGGGATGCCTGCTAGGGGAGTCGAAGTGAGCGAGTGTGCGGCGTCGAGGCGTCGTGCGAGCGCGGTTCGACTTGCAGTGCGACCTTGAGACCTTCCTGGGCAGCCATGGCGTGTCGAGCTGGCCCCACGAGCGGTGTGAGGGCGTGGTGAGGATCAGCTCGTCGTCGACGCCCGCAGGTTGACTCTGTGTGAAGCGACGACAACGCGCACACAGCTCTCTCGCGGCAGAAAAGACACCGTGCAGGGTCACACACACTCTACTCAGCTGCCATGCGCTACTACGAGAACAGGTGCGCACACACGAGCCTTTGTCGCGCCGACAGCGACGCCGCAAAAGTGCCGGACCGCTGACTGACACCCGCCCGCGCTCCTGCGATGGCTCGACAGGTTCCCAGAGGTCAGTACAGGCGAGAAAGGCGCACTCGTGGTGGCATCGAAGCTGACAGAGGGTTGTGCCGTGTGCTGCTGCTCTCGGACTGCCGCAGGTCGACGAGGTGGTGATGGTGCAGGTCAAGCAGATCCAGGAGATGGGCGCCTACGTGAAACTGGTGAGCATTCAGCTCTCTTGTCGCTGCGTCAAGCAGGCTGACCGTTGGGACGCCCGCAGCTCGAGTACGACAACATCGAGGGAATGATCCTCCTCTCCGAACTGTCGAGGCGGCGAATCCGCAGTATCCAGAAGCTCATCCGTGTCGGGAGGAACGAGGTCGTTGTCGTCATGAGGGTTGACAAGGAGAAGGGTGCGTCTGCCGACCGTTCGAAGCGCTCCTCCACCCTCGCTGACCCTCTTTGTTCGCCTCGCGACAGGCTACATTGACTTGTCCAAGCGACGAGTCTCTCCCGAGGACGTCATCAAGTGCGAGGAGCGGTACAACAAGTCCAAGACGGTGCACACCATCGTCCGACATGTCGCCGAGAAGACGGGCAAGGAGATGGACGAGATCATGGAGCTGGTTGCGTGGCCCTTGTACAAGAAGTACGGGCACGCGTTTGAGGCGTTCAAGCTGTCCATCAGGTGCGTTGCCGTCGCTCGCTCCGGGTGTTCTTCAGATCGACTGTTCTTCAGATCGACTGACACGGCTGGTTGTCCCGTTCGGCTTCGTCCAGCGAGCCCGAGACCGTCTTTGCCGACATGAACATTCCCGAAGACATCTACAGCGAGCTGCGAGTCAACATTGCTCGCCGCCTGACGCCCCAACCGGTCAAGGTCCGCGCCGACATCGAGGTGACCAACTTCAGCTACAACGGCATCCTGACGATCCAAGAAGCGCTCGCGGCGGGCGAGTCGCTCTCGACCGAGGAGATCCCCATCAAGATCCGCCTCGTCGCGCCGCCGCTGTACGTCATGGTGACCAACACGACGGACAAGCAGGGCGCGATCGAGCGCCTCGAGCAGGCGATTGAGAAGATTGGAGAGGTCATCAAGAGGGAGGACGGTGGGTTCCTCAACGTCAAGATGAAGCCCAAGGCGGTCTCGGAGACGGACGACCTCGAGTTGGCGGCGTTGATGGACCGCGTCGCGAGGGAGAACAAGGAGGTGTCCGGTGAGTTCGCGCGTTCGATCTCGCCAGATCCGTCGACCTTCTTGCCGCTGTACGCTGACGTTCGCTGCGATCTCCGCGATTCACAGGCGACGAGGACTCGGACGGCGAGTAGGCGACTCGTCCCTTTCTTTACCCCTCTCTTTCTCCCTCGTACCCTCGCTCTCTCCCTCCCCCTTCGTCCGCTGCTGCTTCACCTCACCCCGTGTTGTCCAGAGTTCCTCGCAATGCACCCTCCGCGCCGAGTATAGATTTTTCACTGGCGTTTCAGCCTCGCTCGTCGTGCTTCTTCCGCAAGAAGCCGGCGCTCTCTCCCTCGCTTTCGCTTCTTTCGTTGCTACGAGCATGCAAGCGTCGCACTGGCTGTTCAGTGCGCCTAACGAGACCACCGCCAGTTCAGCCGGCGTTGGCTGCGGTGCCGAGCAAGGCGTGCTCGCAAGGGTTGACTTCGTCCCATCGACTCGCTGTCGCATCGCTGAGCCTGTGAGCGACCCGTCCAGCTAGCCACTGCTCCTGTGCATGCTCAGAGTCTCTGCCCGTGCCCTCGCTCGCTCGTTTCGCCCGTCTCCGTCCCCACAACACCTCCACTTCCACACTTCGTCGAACTCAAGCAAGATGGCAGCGCAGTTTGGCTGGGACATCTCGGACAAGATCACGGGAGAGGTCAACAAGACTGAGTGCGTCCGCGCTTCCGTCCCCAGTTTCGTGACTCCCCGCTGACCTCCTCGCCTCGCGCTGCTTCTCCTTCGCTCATCCTCCTCGTTCGCCCCCCTCGCTCCAATCCGTGCCTCGCTCAGTGTGTGGTCCGTCTTCTCACCTCTCGCCGGGCACGTCCCGAAGGACTCGCTCAACCTCGGACAGGGCTTCATGAACTGGAAGCCGCCTCAGTTCGTCCTCGATGCACACACGGAGGTCCTCCAGCGCGTCGAGACGAACCACTACCAGCTTCCGCGAGGCAATGCCAGGCTGAGGAAGGCGCTGTCAAAGTACCTGTCGCCGTCGTTCAAGTTGGGCAGGGAGCTGGATCCGAACACGGAGGTGCAGGTCACGGCGGGAGCGAACGAGGGTGCGTCCGAACTCGCTCGTCTTTCGTTCGTTCTGCGCGTTCTGACTCCCTTGCTATCGCAGGCATGTACGCCTTCGCGGCGGCCTTCCTCCGTCCTGGCGACGAAGTGATCGTCTTCGAGCCATACTTTGACCAGTACCAGGGCATTATCTCGTTCAACGGCGGCAAGCCCGTCTACGTTCCGATCCGCGCACCCGAAGGCGCATCGACCGGTAACGTTCAGGCGTCCGAGTGGAAGGTCGACCTCGACGAGTTCAAGGCTGCGATCACGCCCAAGACCAAGATGGTCTTCATCAACACGCCGCACAACCCGATTGGAAAGGTCTACCAGGAAGACGAGTTGCGCGCGATCGGCAAGATCTGCGAGGAGCACGACTTGCTCATCTGCGCCGACGAGGTGGTGCGTTCGCTCGTTGCCTCTCGCTCGAGCCGGACTGACGGGATTTGCGCAACGCAGTACGATTGCCTGACCTTCGAGGGCAAGGAGCACGTCCGCATCGCCGCGCTCGACGACTTCTGGAAGCGAACGGTGACGGTCGGCTCGGCGGGCAAGACGTTCGCGAGTACCGGATGGCGAGTAGGCTGGACTGTCGGCCCGCCCAACCTCATCCAGCCTCTTCTCGCCGCCCACACTCGCATCGTCTTCAGCTGCAACGGGCCGGCGCAGGAGGCGATCGCGATTGGTGTCGAGCAGGCGTTCGAGAACGGGTTCTTTGCGGATCAGATCAAGGCGTACGAGGAGCGGAAGCAGGTCTTACTTGAGGGCCTCGACAAGCTCGGTCTGCCCTAGTGCGTTGCGTCCGTTTCTCCCGGGGTGCGCTCCGAGATTGACGTTCTCTTCCCGCAGCACCATCCCCGAAGGCGCCTACTTCGTCCTCGTCAACACCTCCCGCCTCGAGATTCCCTCCGACTTCGAGATCCCCGACTTGATCAAGGGCCGAGCACGCGACTGGGTTGTCGCGTGGTTTGTCGCGCAAACGTGAGTCCCGAACCGCTGCTATCGGCGGACTCGGCTGACACCTGTCTCTCCGGCCGTTCCACTCCTCCCTCGCAGCGCCAAGGTCGTCCTCAGTCCGTCTCGCTCCTTTCTCGCCCGCGCCCGCGCTAATGCCTGCTAACCTTGCCTCGCGCTCGCAGTCCCGCCCACCGACTTCTATTCAAGGGAGCACTGGTCGCTCGGCGAGAACTGGATTCGAGTGTGCGTTCCGCTTCTTCCCCTACTCTCGTGCTCGCGCTGACGATCGTCGTCGCCTCGTAGCGCGTTCTGCAAGGACACGGACACGCTTCGACAGGCGTCGGAGCGGCTGCTCGCTCTCAAGCCGTTTATTCGGGATGCATAGACGCGCGGATGTACTGCAACAAGGATTTTTAGAAGCCTAGCCGAGCGAAGGGAAGAGATGAAGGGGACGACGGCGCGAGAGAGAAGGAGACCCGGGAGGTTGGTCGAATCGAATCTCCGGCTCGCTGGAAGACACTACGCGACATTGCAGGCAAGGGAGAGCAACAGAAGGTAAAATATGAGGCGGTACAGCGTGGGCAGGAGAAGGCAGAACAGTTGCGAAAGAAAGACCGCAGTACGGGGCGGGTGAGCGACGTGAAAGCCTGCACGAGAGTCTCGTCAGCGATCGTGCCGTCACAGCCCAGCCTTGAGAAAGTACGTGAGCGGCGGGGCTTCAGCTTCGGGCAGCCGACGAGGCGGACGCTGCTGCAGGCTGGCGCTCGTTCTTGCGGAAGATGCGCATATTGGGCGGATCTTGAGGAATGTGGTCGCGCGAGATGTGGTGCACCTGCGAGAGTCATGGAGCTCGGTAAGCTTGAGGCTACCGAGCACGGCAACGAGAGGGAGACGAACGAAGCTCGACCAGGTCATGTTCTTCGCACCTGTCCAGTTGCGCACCTGCCAGTAACCCGGCGAGCACTTGCAGTTGAGACAGTCGAACCGCCAGTCCGACTTGTCGAGCGTAGCGATAGAGCCGACGAGGTTGGGCAGGCCTGTCTCCTTGAGGACCTCGTGGACGAGAGCGAGGTGCTTGAACTCCTCGTATCGAACGAGACCTTCAGTCCTTCTGTGGTTTTCCGCATGGTCGAGGAATTGCCGGTAAGGAAGAGGCTTGCCGCAGTTGTTCGGGCAACGGAAAAGGCTGGTGAAGCGGCGGAGGAGCGCGTCGACGTCGGCCTCGAGGTCGTAGATGCTGTCGTCGAACGCCTCGAAGTTGAGCGCCTGCTTCGGAGCCCACCAATTCGTGTACGGGGTGAGCGCGGTGTCGCCAAACTCGGTCGTGACTTTGATGTCCGCCGCAATGCGAGTCGGCGGCAATGTCTTGAGCGTAGCGGCGAGTCCGCCCTCCATCGTAAGTCCCTGTTCCTCGTACGCCTTGGCGAGACTGCACGCGAACCCGAGCTTGACGATAAGCTTGGCCTTGGCGACGTCGGCGGCGATCGCGTTTTTAACCGTCTTGTCAAGAGTGCCGGGAATCAGCGCGTCTTCGGGCATCCATAGTTGCGTGACGGACGGGAAGCAGGCGAAGTCGGAAAAGGCGGGATAGTCGAGGCCTTGTCCGGACCGAAGCGAGCTGTATAGCGGCTTGACGTTCAGGTATCGCTGGTTCAGCCTCTCCTCCGCAGCCTTCACGATTCGCTTGCGCCTGCTGGTGTCGACGGCAGCGATAATGCGGCTCGAGATGCTCGCCCAGACTGTGGAGCTGAAGGTCAGACGTGTGCCCGTCAGACTGCGCGAGGTTGGCGAGGGCGTGACTCACTATCATCGGTGAGACGAACGGGTTGGTCGACCAGACGATACGCATCGTACCAATTCCACGAGTTGCAGCTGCGCGAAGAGATGGTCAATCTCGTAAGCCAGGTGAGCGCGCGCGGGCCGACTTACTCAGCGTCTTCGTAGCCGAGTGCGCGGACGCGCTCCTCGACACTGTGAGGAGGGGGGTCAGTATTGGGCAGCGCTTGTGCAGAGTCTTGCAGAAACGCACGCTGAACGGCGCGCGATGCGAGCATTCTCGTCCGCCTCCTTTCGACGGTCTGCATAGTCGCGCTCCCACAGGCGCAGCTTCTGACCGTCCTGTGAAGCCGTCTACACGTCAGCGTCAGCCCGCTGACAAGCGGGTGAAGTTTTGCACCTTGAAGCTCGCCCTCGCAGCGGTCGACTTGTCGGCGATGAAAGCCTCGAGCGCAGCTTTGGCGGCGTCCTTGACCGGCGCGGGCTTGCGTCGCGCATCGTTGACAGCTTGTTCGAGCTCGTTCAGGCGTTTATTGATCTGGATGACGGCAGCCTGGCAGTAGTAGTCTGGCGAAAAGAGCGTTGAGCGGGATCCCCGGCATGAAGACGCAGAGTGGCAGACTCACGGCGGTTCTTGCTGTTGTAGCCGGACGGCGAGTCGAGAGTGTAGAGCGCGCATTGGAGCAGCTTCGGATGCAGGGTGTACCGTTGTTTCAGCTCCTTGACGAGCTTGGACTCGGGGAGCAGGCTGCGCGCGTGACGAGGACGTCAGGATGATACGCAGAAGAATAAGTCACGTGTTGTAGCGTACTTGGCTTTCTTGCAGTCCTGGCAGGCGATTTCAAAGCGAAGACAGGGTTAGGACCAGCGCATGTGACGAAGGGTTACGTCCTCAACTCACTTTGCACCAACGCATCCTCAAGCAGTAATCAGTGATGACCGAACGACCGCGACCGCAGATCTGCGGCAGTCACAAAGTGAGCCCCCAAGCCGTGAGCTCGCGAAACGCAGAAACGGCGCTCACGCGGCACTCCTTGTCGAACAAAAGCGCAGTGAGCTGCATGTCGGTCATGTCGGTCGCTTCGAGCGCCGGCATGCCCAAATTGTTCCGGACGATCTGCCAGATGGGCTTCGAAGCGCGACGGGCGAAGACATGGCGCATCATCTTGTTCGCGCGCGACATGTGCAGGAGCGTGAGCGGGTCGAGGTGGCGGGCGACTGCGGCGTGGAAAGCAAGAAGGACGAGTTGGAGAAGGGAGAAGCAGGAGCGGTCAGCGGTAGGGACGAGGAGAGACTTCAACGAACCGCGCCGACTCACTCTCGACGAGCACGTCCATCGGCATCGCCTGAAAGCTCTCGAGCTTGGCACGCCTACGTCCGCCTCCGCCAGCATTAGTCCTGCCGCGCTTCTTCGGAGGTTCAGCTGCGAGAGACGGACGAGACGGCAAGGTCAGCTGGGAGAGGACCTCCTACGAGGCTGAGGGAGCAACGCAGCGCACCTGCCTTCCAGTCAGTGTCCTGGCCCTCGTCAGCAGCCCCGTTCGCCCTGCGTTTCCCCTTCCTCACTCCCGCCTTGACCTCCCGGACCTCGTCGTCTCCCTCGTCGTCGCTCGGCGGGTCGACCGTGTACTTGGCGCTGGCGGAAGCTTTCCTCTGTGGGCGCGGCATCGCAGTAGCTAGAGCTCCAGCGAGAGTGTGCAGCGAGACGAAGAAGCGAGAGAAGCAGCGGGACGGGCGTTGGGCGACGACAGCTCGCTTCGATGGGCCCATATGCTGCAAGGCGAGTGCATTGAGCTATGTCGCCATGCTATGGAGCTACACAGGCTGTCCAGCGCCACTCCCGCTACGCGAGACGACCTGTCTCCTCCTCGACGCTTTCTCATCAGTTTGGCGGCGCAGACCGACGACGCGGCTTGACGGGGCTTCGCAGACACGCGCAGGGATGCGAGTAGACCCACAATTGGCCATCTATGCGCTTGCTCCATTCGGCGACGTCGGCAAACGCTCGAGCCTCGTCGCTCAGCTCCCGCTCCCTCTCCCTCCGACTCTTCTCCCTCTCACCGCTCTCTCGCTTCGCGTGCTTGACTCTTCCTGACCTCCTCGAGGTCGTTACCGCAGGCCACCATGGCCCCATCCACTCGTTTGGCTCTCGTCGCTCTTTCCGCCCTCCTCTCTTTCAAGGCTCTCGCTCACCCCGATCCTCAGACCCTCGGCATCGTCGACTTCACTAGCGACGCAGACCTTGCAGGCGACGAGCTCTTCGACTACCTGCACGACGACAGCTACGCCGAAGACCTCCTCCCTGCCCCCGAGCCTGCCGACTACGAGGGCGACTCATCCATCTTTGAGCGCTCCGTGGACGGTTCCGAGGTCGCCGAGGGATGGCACGCACACTCTCTCCAGCCGCACAAGCGTGCGCTTAGCAAGGTCTGGTCGGGCAAGTCGACCTGGGCTCAGGCAGGCGTCTCGGGCGTCGCCGCGATGCAGGCGCGTTCGTTCGTTGCCCTTCGCGCCCAAAGAAGAGTCGCTAACCGCTCATACATCTGACCAACACCCATCTGACCTATGCGCGCATTCCCTCCCCTTCGCTTCGCAGATCACGCTCGTCGACAACGATCACATCGTTATCTACGACAAAGCGGAGACGAACCCGCTCTACAACAAGACAGGCGGGTCCGTTTGGGGCGCCGTCTACTCGATCTCGACGCAGAAGGTCCGCCCCCTCGACCTCAAGACGAACAGTTTCTGCGCCGGCGGAGGCTGGATCTCGAACGGCACTCTCGTCAGCGTCGGCGGCAACCCTCGCCAGCAGTACGTCTACTCGAAGAGCGGACTGGCTGCTGTCCGTCTCTTCACGCCGTGCACGAACGACAAGTGCGACGTGTACGAGAACCCGTCCCGGATCCGCCTTACTTCCTCGCGCTGGTACCCGTCGACCGTCAGGCTGACAGACGGCTCGTTATTGATTGCCGGGGGCATGCTCGCTGGAGGTTATAATAATGCGGGCGTCTTCTGCGTGCCATCCGTTGTGCGCGCTGCCGTCCTGACGAACCTTCGCTCACAGCGAGGCGACCGACAACCCGACCTTCGAGTTCTTCCCGCCGAAGGGTGACGGTCTCCCAATCTACTCCAACTTCCTTCACACGGCGCTCAACTCGAACCTCTTTCCCGTCTTATGGCTCCTCCCGAACGGATACGTCTTCATGGCCGCGAACCAGCAGGTCCGCTCCGGGTTCTCCTCTATCCTCGAAGACTTGCTGACGCTCCTTCCACGCAGGCGATGATCTACGACGTGAAGAACAATGTTGAGCGTCACCTCAAGAAGCTCCCGAACGGCGTCACCATCACCTGTGCGTTGTCGTCCCTCGGTTTCCTTCCCTTCGCTACATCTCGCCTTCCTTCACTGACTGACGAGCCGGTCAATCCACAGACCCGGGCTCCGCTGCGACGGCGCTCCTCCTGCTGACCATCGCCAACAACTATCGCCCGGAGGTCCTCTTCTGCGGCGGCTCGACCGCCAACCTCGACGTCAACCCGTCGCAGCTCTCGGCTAAGTACCCCGCGTCGAAGCAGTGCTCGCGCATGGCGCTTGACGGCGCCGGCGTCAAGAAGGGCTGGATCCTCGAGGAGATGCCGTCGCCTCGCGTGCGTTGCCCGCTTCCTGCCTCGGTGCGGACCGTCGCGCGATGGTCTGACAGGCTCCGCTTGTGCAGGTTATGGGCGACGCGATCCTGCTGCCCGATGCGACTGTTCTCATCGTCAACGGCGCAGCTGCTGGTGTCGCCGGATGTTAGTTGCCGGCCCACAACGTCGGGTCGACTTTGGAGCTAACTCCATCTCCTCGCAGACGGCAACGTTCGCGACGAGATCGGCGCCAGCAACGCCCGCACGCCCGTCAAGCAGCCGATCCTCTACGACCCGACCGGCGCCGTTGGCAAGCGCTTCTCGAACAAGTTCCCCAAGGCCAAGTACGAGCGCCTCTACCACTCGACCGCGACCCTCATCCCCGACGGCCGCATCTGGGTCGCGGGCTCGAACCCGAACGACAACGTCTCGAAGAAGGAGTACGCGACGCGCTACCAGGTCGAGATGCTCTCGCCGCCGTACATGTCGATGAGCCGCCCGACCTTCTCGGGCCAGCCCGCCAAGATGCTCTACGGCAAGCAGTACACCCTGACCGTCTCGCTTCCGAAGGGCACCAAGAAGGTTCAGGCCTTCGTCATGGACCTCGGCTACTCGACGCACGGCGTCCACATGTCCCAGCGCATGGTTGAGCTCGCCGCGACCCTCAAGGGCAACAAGCTCACCGTCACGGCGCCCAAGACGACCGGTCTCTACCCGCCTGGTGCGCGGCGTCGTTCGCCGTCACCTTACTCGCTCGCTAACGATCCTTGCTCCCGCAGGACCCGGCTGGATCCACATCCTCGCCGACGGCGTCCCTTCCAAGTCGACCAAGGTCATGGTCGGCCCCGGCAACTCGCCGCCCGTCTCGCAGAGCGCCATCGCCAACATGCTGAAGCACACGAAGGGCTCCGCGTCGTAGATCTGCTTCCCGCTCGTCAAGCTTGCTCTAGTGGTGCTCTCCTTTCTATTACCTTCACGCTTGTTCCCGTCCGGTTCCCCGCAACTCGTAATAGACATTCGCTCAGTCGTGCCGAAGAGGAGAAGGGCGAGAGGCGAGAGACCGCTCCTAACGCTTGTCCGTGTCGCGGGAGACGAGCGTAAGCGACGATGGCGGCCCAGATGAACGGCGAAGCGCCGAGAACGACCGACATCTCGCTCGAGCCGCCGAGCGTCTTGTTCGAGATCTGCGAGGAGGCGGAGGTCGCGAGGTAAAGTCAGCATCGCTTCCGACCTACCTTAGCGTTCTGGGCAAGCGAGGAGCGTACTCATAGGGATGTGTGGCTTTGAGCCTGCCGTCCTTGCTTCTGTCAACACCGACTGTCGAACGGAATGTCGTCTCAAGGGACTTCTTTCTTGCTCGTCCTTCGCTCGAATCGCTTGCTCTTCGTCGTAGACAGTGCGATCGTTGCCCGTTGACGTGCTTGTCTGCGCCGCAAGGAACATCCTCGCGTCGCCCTCGCTCGCTCTCTCGCGAACTGAGAAGGTCAAGCGAAGATCCAAACATCCAATACACATTCTACGCCCTCGCTCTTCGCATATTAGGTTGCCTAGAGCGTACAGAAGATTGTACGAGCCGGTCCGCAGACGAAAGAACCGGTCCCGGACCTCGAGATACAAAAGCGCCTTCCTCCTCCTCCTTGCGCTCCCTCCACCGTCCTTCGCCGATCCTCCGTCTCGAAGACGAGAAGCGCCGTCGTTCAGAGGGTGTAGCGGAAACCGGCGGGGTAGTCGGTTGCCGAGAGACCGTGGTGCTCCTGGCCCTTCGCCTCCGCCTCGTCGCGCGACGCCAGCTTCTTGTTGAGGCGGACGAGGTCGAAGCGGATGACCGTCAAGCCGATGATGGTCGCCACAAACATCGCGATGACGATGCCGTAGCTCTTGGCGTACGAGGGTCCCCACTTCTGCGCGCGGCAAACGTCCGGAAAGGTCAGCGAACCTCTCCTGCTTGTGAGAGATGAGAGAACGGTGTGACGAACGCTTTGCCATACATACGAGCCGGCGATGTTCCCCAATTGCGAAAATGCGTTCACGTAGGCGAGCGAGATGGACCGGGTCATGGCCGGGCGGGCGAAGGTCGACGATACCAAGGCGTAGAAAACGACGAATCCGGCGTAGGACGACGCGAGAAGGAAGAGGGCGAAGTAGCTGGCGCCGAATGACTTGCGGCAAGTCATGGCAATGATCGCACCGACGATGCCAAAGACGAGAGGAACGACGATGTGAAGGTAACGCTCTTGACGCTTGTCGGAGTCGCGGGACACGAAGTAGGCGACGATGGCAGCCCAGACGAAGGGCGGGGCGCAGAGGAGGAGCGAGACCTCGCTCGAGTAGCCGAGGGTCTTGGTCAAGGTCTGCGAGGAGGGAATCGCGAGGAAAAGGTCAGAGTCGGACTCCTGGCCTTTCCTGGCGTTCTACCGACCACGAGGGGCGTACGTACTGGGAAGTACGCGTTGAACGAAAGTCCCACGACCATCGCCGTCAACGTGAGGCTCATGAGATGAAGCTTGTAGTCGCCGAGGGCGATCTTGAGCGCAGTCCACGTGCTGACAGTCGTCTCGTCCTTCATGCCAACGTCCTCGGTCATACGAAGTTGGGCGAGCTCCTTCTCCTCGGCGGAGAAGCCGCGAGAGTTGTGAGGGAAGTCGGGGAGAATGAAAACGCTGATGACGGCGACTGCCATAGTGATGGCTCCTTCGATCTGCAGCGCATTCATGAGTTGATGAAGGTCCAGTGAAGAGAAGGCAGAAAGAAGAGGAATGGGACAGGAAGCGAGAGAAGCGAGAGATGTGAAGGAGTGAGGGAAGGCGGACTCACGTAGAAGAGCCAGCGCCAAGCACGGATACCGCCAGCGCCCTCCATGCGGCCAAGGATACCAGCAGCGATGAGCGGTCCGAAGGCGTTACTGAGGACGGTGAGCAATGACGGGAGAAGAAGCGAAAGGCGGTTCGAGGGTTAGCGTTCTCCTCCACGTCGAAAGGGGCTGGACGACGTCTCCGTGCGCATAGCCAACTCACCTGATAAGCGAACCGCAGTAGAGGAGAGTGATCTGGAGACGAAGGTCGTGAGGAAGCTCGAAATACGCTCCGGAAGGTCAAGAAGGACTCACGCGCTGCCCAAGTTCGCGCTTGGTGTACCACGACGCGAGCGTCATGAGTGCTCCAGGGAAAAACGCGCTCTCTGCAATTCCCAAAAGGATGCGAATCTGCAGCGGAAAGCGTCAGGCGGCGGCGGGCTCGAGGAGGAGGACGTTCGACGCACAGCGAGGACTTGACCGAAGTTCTTGGCCGCACCAGTAGCCACGCTCAGCCCGCCCCAGATCAACATGCAGAAAGGCAGCCAAAGCGAGGGGCGCCCGGTCTTCTGGACGATGATATTGCTAGGGATCTCTGCGGAGGGAGAAGTATAAGCACGGGCGGGGGGAACGGGTATGCCGGCTTCTCGTACGGGTGAGAATGTAGCCTGCGAGCAGATGACTGTCAGCGGAGCAGGAGGAAAGGAGAGAGACCGTACGAACCAACATAGAGGATCGACAGGACGGTTGCGAACTGTTGGCCCACAAGTCCCAGGTCCTTCTCGAAGCCCTTCAGACGTGCAGCTCCCGTATTGTTGCGATCGATGTAGTCGATTTTCGGGCAAAAAGGAGAGTCAGGACAGGATCCGGGACGAAGAAGAGAGGAGGGGAGGCTCACTAAGGATATCTGCGGTTGGAACAGCACACGATACCTCGATACACCGTCAGCAAGCGTCCGCGCGACTCCACAAGGGACCGAGTGTCACGCGCAAGTCGCTGATTGGCAGGTGGAAGTAGGAGGGAAAGGGCGAAGGAGAGGAGGGGGTGGAGCCGTCGCCAACTTCGGCTGGAGCGTCGCTGCTTGCACTTGAATGGCGAGCGTGAAACGTACACAGAACGATGAACCTGTCGACAACGACGCACGAAGCCAAAATCAGCTCGAAGAAGCGAACGAAGCAGCCAGCGACACCGGCCCGTCTCCCGCGGCTTCTCGCGACCGCCCGACCTCGCCCGCGACGGCAACGACACTAGTGATGAGGAATGAACGACTCACAGGCAGAAACGGGCGTCGAGCTTCCAGAGAAGCTTGCGCTCGAGGCGCTTTCGGTCGGCGGTTCCTCCAGTCTCGAGAGTGCGCTCGTCGTGTTCAGCGAAGACCTCCTGCTCCTTCGAGGAGACCTTGGCGAGCTCCGGCGTCGTTGTGGGACCGGGCATGGTCGTGGTCGTCGTGTAGCGAGAGTAGCGAGCGTGAGCGGTCACTTGGGAAGGTCGCGCCGAGGCAGGAGAAAGCGGGTCGCCAGGAGGAGGGAGAGCGATGGCGGGGAGATGCAGCGGCGCCCAACGGTGGAGAAAACAGTCTGAGCGTGGGCCATCAAGATATAGGATGGGGGAAATTGCACTCGAAGCGCTCACCACGCGGCCGAGAGAGGCGCGGAGGCGGAGTCGGGAGCTCCGGAAAGCTTTTAGCGCTCGAAGGGTTGTAATGCGCGTACTGCTTCGATTACAACGCCGCAATACAGCAGCGCCAGGCGTCCCGAACCGCCGTTGCGGACGCCATCGTTCCCGGGCGTCCCGCCGCGGCGAGGCGGCGCGAGCGTGAACGAATGCAAATGCCGTTCGATCGCCTTGCCGTGGCAGCGTGACCAGCGCGAAGCCAGCAGACCGGACAGACGGCCGGACGAGCTTCTTTCCGGTGGTTGCCGCGGTTGTCGAGGTCAAGTCGCGACGGAGGGAGGACGCGAGGTGGCTTGGAGGCAACAACGCCGCCTAGCTCGCTCGCCGGGCTGGCAGAGTATCCGTGGGCTATAGCAGTGCTGCTGTCGAAGCACGTCGAGCTTGTCCCAGCGCTTCCCGTCCCGCCGGCGATCCGCAACATCGTCATCAGTTGGACACGATGGACGTCCCTCGAGAACTCGTCGTCTGCGTCTTTCTGCACGGGTTCAAGGGTGGAGCAGACACGTGCGTCCCTCACATTCTCACAGCACAACCCGCGTCCCCCGCTGAGCTTGTTGCCGCCGCGCAGTTTTCTCACGTTTCCCGACCGCCTCGTCAACATCCTCTCGCCTTGCGGCATCGCGCTTGAACCGGTGGTGTACCCGCCCTACGACACGCGAGGGGAACTTGTGACCGCAGGTGCGAGCCCGAATTGCGCAAAGTGGTCGACTTCTTCTCGCTGACTTGCTCCCTCCTCGCAGTCGACAACCATGTCACCTGGCTCACGACGCTCGTGGCGGAAAAGACGGCACGCTTCAGGGAGCTGGGAGGCACAGGGCCGGTGCGGGTAGTGCTGCTGGGCCATTCGTGAGTTCTCCGCTCGCATTGCCTTCGATTCTCCTCTCACGTCGAAACACTCGCAGCATGGGTGGCCTCGTCATCGCCGACACGCTCCTCTCCACACTCTCCTCCGCATCTCTCCCTATCCTCGGTCTCGTCATGTACGACTCGCCCTTGATCGGCCTCAACCCCGCCGTATTCAAGTCGACATTCGACAAGGCGCTCGACATCGCCTCGAGAGGCCAGGCTGCTCTTGCTGCATTGGGCGCAGGGTACGGCCTGTTCAAGTCGGCCACATCAAAACCAGCGTCGCCTGCCGCCTCGGCACCCTCGTCCGGCAAATCCTCCCCTGTGCCTTCTTCCTCCTCAAAAGCCGCGACCGCTCGCAACGGCAAGGACGACAAGGTTGCCGTCCCTCCACCCGCCGAGTCAGCTTCCGCTACTCCCGGCTCAAACTGGATGTCGTTCCCGTACATCGCGGCGGCGGGCGTGACAGCCGTCTTTGGTGCGGCAGGAGCGGCGTGCTACAATCGGGACACGCTGGCGAAGCATTGGACGTGGGCGACGAGTCACCTGAGCTTTGTTGGTGAGCTGTGGAAGACGGACGAGTTGGAGAAGCGATTGCAGGAGGTGGTCAAGGCGAAGGAGAAGGGCATTGGCTTCCACTGGTGCGCCTGCAGCTCTTCCTCCCGCCACCTCCGCAGCCCAAGCTGACGATTGGTGTTGCGATAGCTTCTACACCCTCATTCCCGCGAAAGGAACCGCCCCGGATCGCACCTTCCTCGTCCTCCCTCACTTGCCCGCCCTCCGCGCCCACTTCACCCCCTCGCGCACCGTCCAAGCGTCCGACGAGATCGGCGCGCACATCCACATGTTCGACTCGGACGCGACGTACTCGCTCGGACAGGAGACGGCCAAGCTCATCACCGAGTGGGTCGAGAAGAGCAGGAGGGGAGAGATGGGGTTCTGGAAGGGCGATGCGGCGAAGGGCGGGGAGGCCGCACAGGGTGGAGAGGCCGAGAAGCTCGTCTAGTCTGACGAGCTGAGCGAGCGACCTGAATAGAGCTGTCCGTGTAGCTACTTTTCCTCAACCTGTTGTCGTGCAACGATCACTTCCTCTCGGTTCGCGCTGGGAGATTGAGATTCGCTTAGTCCGCCATTCCTTCAGCTCGCTCTAGCCGCTACTTCTTCGCTTGCTCGTCGCGCTCAAGGCTTCTCCCTCGACTCCATCCGCTCCCTGACCGCCGGGACCATCCCAGACCGCGCCGTGCCCGCCGCAGGAAGTCCGAGTGCCCGTCCCTCGCGGACCTGCATCTCTGCCCACTCTCGCATCGTCAAGCCGTCTGTGCGGATGACGGTACCGACTGCGAGGGGAAGAGATTGTCAGGACGGAGCGAAGAAGCGGAGGCAAGACGGGAGACCTACTTGACATGAAGAAGGCGAAGGTCGCGCCTGACGAGAGCATGTAGGTCGAGAGGGTGGGAAGGTAGCCCTTCCTGCCGGCGCCGCCACTGTGCAAGGGGAAGAGGGCGGGTCAGAGAGTCGAGACGAGCGGTAAGCGGCGAGGTGGTCTTCCGTCAACGCACGAGAGGATGGCAAAGTTGCCAAAGATGAAGCCGATGGTCAAGCCAACGCTGTCAAGGCAGAAGAGGTCAGCCGTCTGGAAAGCAAAGAGAGGGAGGAGTGGAGAACGTACAGACCACCCGTCAACATGCCCATTCGCACTGTGTGACCAGAAAGCACAGCAAGCAGACGGTCGGCATCGTCAGCTTGACGCTCTGAAAGGCTCTCAGCCTCGCGACGCACACTTCTGGAAGACGGTCGGCTCTTGTGCGCCGGGGACGGCAGCGGGAGGAGGAGGCATGGCTGAGTCTGTTAGGGCTGTGAGCGAGGGTGAATACCCTGGTCAGCGGTTGTCCAGGGCTCCCTACGGCGTTGTTGACCCGGCAGTCCCTCCGAGAGATGAAGAAGCGAGTCGAGGCGGAGAAAGAGTTTGGCGCGGCGGCAACGGATCGAGCGAGCGCGCGAGCAATGATACACGCCCGCATACTCACCTAGCAAGCGACTGCGTGTATCAAAGGAGCGCCTCGAGCTGCGAGGGCGACGGCGACGAGTCCAAGCGATGAGGGAGTCTCTCGAGGAGCTGCCATTCACCGCTCGCTCGCTAGACTGCGCTGGACAGACTGCTAGTGTGACCAGGGCACTCAGAAAGGCTGTTCGACTGCAGGCCCTGCCCTCGCACGCCGCATGCTCGCTTCCCTCGCCCGACTATTCTCGCACCGCCTCGTCCTCGCCAAAACTCCCCTTCGCCGACTCCCCTACACTCGTACGGCCATGAGCACCGTCGCACCTGTCCTCCCGACCATCTCGCTCACGCCGAACGAGGCGAAACTCGTCCAACTGTTGACGGATTGTGCGGACTGGGTCGACCAGCACCCAGAGGAGGTCGATGCATTGCGGTTGAAGGATGACCAGGGGCGATGGATCGGACGAGAACGAGGTACGGAAGCGGTGGAACTGCGTGTGGCGGGCGGATGGGTCCGAGACAAGGTGAGAAGGCTGTTTTCCTCGAGGTCCTGTTCTCCTTTGTCTGGCCGGCTTGTGGCGGCCTTTAGGACTGTCTTTCACCCACGGACGGAGGAACTTCTCATGTAGGGGAATGGGCAGACCCTGACCAGCGGGAATACGTTTCGCACAGCTCCTCGGCCGACAATCCGACGACATCGACGTCTCCACCTCTCCCGACCCCATCACTGGCCTCAAATTTGCCATGCTCTTCGAGAAGTATCTCGAGACGCTTGGTCAGAGGGACCTGGTGCGTCGGCTTCGCACTTCTTCTTAGGTCACTTTGCTGACCCTTCTCGTCGCCTAGATGGGCCGCCTGACGAAGATCGAGGCAAAGCCCGAACAGTCGAAGCATCTTGAGACGGCTACTGCGCGAGTATGCGACTTGTCTGTCGACTGGGTGCAGCAGCGGGGTCAGGAAGTCTATACGGAGGGAAGCAGGATCCCGACTGTGGTGCGTGACCGGCCCTTGCGGTCCTTGACCCGGCTCTTGCCATGTGGATTGGTCTCTGTTGACGATAGATCTCTCACACAGGCCTTCGGCACACCCCTCGAAGACGCCGAGCGCCGCGACCTGACCATCAACTCGCTCTTCTACAACCTCCGCACCCGGCTCATCGAAGACCAGACAGGCAAAGGCCTCTCGGACCTCGGGTTCGTCTCCGGCCAGCCGAAGAAGATCCGAACGCCTCTCGAGCCGGTCAAGACGTTCCGCGATGACCCGCTAAGGGTCGTCAGGGCTGTCAGGTTTGCGGCGAGGTTTGGGCGGGAGTATGAGCTGGACGCTGAGATGGCGGAGGCGATCAAGCGGGAGGAGATCAAGGTGTGCACACGCTATCGAGCTGACGGCAGCTGCCTTGAAAAGTTGTGGCAGCTGACGTTGAAGTCGGATGCCACATCTCGCAGGAAGCACTTCGCAACCCACTCAAAATCAGTCGAGAACGCGTCGGCGCAGAACTCGACAAGATGCTTCTCGGCAAGTTCACTTCTCTTGCAGCACGCAGATCCACAGCTTACGCCTCGTCGCGCAGGCAAGGACCCGCACTACGCCTTCGAGCTGATCGAGAGCCTCGAGCTGCACCCGCTCATCTTCCTCTACGAGCACGACAAATGTTTTCCTATGCCGTCTACGCCGTCCAGCCCTACCGCCTCGCCTTCGCTCTCCTCGCCCGACCCTTCCGCCTCTCCCGCTCCCGACCCCGACACATCCATCTCAGTCATCGCCGCCTCGCTTCTCACACAGCTCCTCAATCCCTCCACTGCTTCTCTCCCCGCCCTACATCCACTCCTCCAGCTGCACTCCGTCCCCTTGCCCGACACGACCAACGCCCACTCCGCTCCTCCAACCTACCCGCCCGTCTCTCCCTCTCCCTCCATCCCTCTTCTCACCCTCGTCTACCCCCCGACCCTCAAACGCCTCTACCTCTCCTGCGGCCTCCTCCCTCTCTACGACCTCGGCACGCAGGAAAAGTCCAAACTCGTTTGGGTTGGAGAGAAGGTCGTGAGGGACGGCGTCAAGGGACCTAGTGTGGATGTTGGGTTTGTCAAGAGGGTTAGGGAGGCGAGTCAGGTCTTGAGGAGGTTGGTGAGGGAGGTTAGTGGGATGAGTGGGGGGGTGGATGAGAGGATGGTCGATGAGGCGGAGGAGAGGGCGACGATTGGTGCGTTCCTCTGCATGCTCCGCTCCACCTCGTCCCGCTGACGACCGAGAGTACTCGACAGGCATGCACCTGCGCAACCCGTCGATCCACGACGGCCAACACCAGCGATGGAACGTCTCGCTCCTGTGGTCGCTTGTCGTCGACCTCGGTTCCGCTCGTTCCGGTGCGCTTCGCCTTCTCTCTCGGACGTACTCTCGACTGACGCTTCCATAAAATAGATCCAGCGGGGCAAGCGCGCCTGGTCGAGATGTACAACCGGTTCGTCGAGAAGGTCATCTCGTACGAGCTCGACCGGCGGGCATTCGAGCATCCTCTCCTCGACGTGCGTTGCTCTCCCATCCCTCCCTTCTTCACTGACTGACGAGCGTGGGCGCGGGCAGGGCAAAACCGTCAATGCCCTCCTACCGTTCACCAAGTCCTCGCCCGCCATGCCTCGGATCCTCGACTTGATCATGCGGTATCAACTTGCGCATCCTTCCGCGACTAAAGAGGATGCGGAGAGGGTGTTGTGTGAGGAGGAGAGGGTCGAGGAGTTGAGGAGGTTGGTGGAGGAGAGTCGGCCCCTGCCGAAGGGGAAGAAGAGGAAGGAGCCGAAGTAGATTTTGCGGCGCGAGGAGGCGGGTGAGAAGGTAGACATTACATGAGTTACGAACAGGCGAGCGAGAGAGAAGGATGAACAGCTGGACGAGAAAAGAGCTACAGAATGGCGAGCGGTGATGCTGCGCGCGATCTACGCCCGCGTCGTGCCGTACTCGGCGACGAACGCAGCGTGTGCGGCGGCGGTGACGAGCCAGCCGAGGTTGAGGAGGGACGAGACGGAGTGGAGGAAGGCGAAGCGCGAGTTGAGGGCCTTCATTTCGGACGAGGCCTGCGCCGAGGGGTTGTCAGCGGAGAATTAGGAGAGAGAGGAGAGTGAGACGCACGTCGGGGTCGCTGTAGTCCTTGCCCTCGATGCGTTCTTTGCGGTGTCGGCGCTTCATGACGGCTGTGGAAGGGAATCCGAGGTTACAATCAGCCGCTGTGCCGAGTCTCGCTCCGAACAGCGCTCATCCCAGCCTCGTTGCGACTCACCGGTGGTCCACGGACCCACAACGATCCAGTTTGCGGCGCCGGTGAGGACGAGAAGCATCAACGCCTGCACCGTCCTGTCGCTTCCGCTCCTCCACCACCCCGTCCAGCTGACTTTTCCGCCTCCGCGCGCATACAAGCCGAGGAGAGCGAGGGCCGAAGTGGTCTGGAGGGCGAAGAAGCGAGGGAAGAGGCGGGACTGGAGGTGGCCGAATTGCTGGCGGGGCAGGGCCTTGTACGCCGTGGGTCCGCCGATGAACGAGTGCCAGACTGTCGATCCGAGTGCGGTGCCGAGGCTGTCCGCGGTCACGATGGAGTTGATGGTCAGCTTGCGAGGGTGTGTCGTTCGACGAGGAGGACGTGCATGAGGTTGTAGGTGCCGCGTGCGCCCGAGATTGCGCGCCAGTACGATGGCTGTACGTCCGACATTGTCTACTCTGTTCACGCTGTTTGCACCAGTCAAACAGATGCAAAGGCAAGAGGCGGACCCCTTCATCTTGGTGCTGGTCGCCGTCATCATCGTGCATGCACTCGCTCTCACTCTCGACTGTTCAGCTGGAATCGCTCACACTCACAAAACAGACTGTGTTGATGCCTACAACGACCCCCGCTGAGCCCCCGCTGCTGTGGCATGCAACCAACTCGCGCTTCTCCCACCGGCCTCGATCTCTCTCTCTGCTCTCGCTCAACACTTCAACTCGCTCGACCCGCACGCTCGACTGAAAGATGGGCGGATCCAAGGTCGAAAACTCGCTCACAATCACCGGTCAGCCACCTTGCTCGATCCCGCTCGCTCACCGCTCTCCCCCAACCCCCACCTTCGCACGACCCGCGGAACACCTCCTCCCGTCCTGACCCGCTCATCCTCCGCGCAGACAACCGCACGGGAAAGACCATCACTGTCCCTGTCGAACACAATGCCATCCCAGCGACCGCGTTCAAGAAGTTGAGGAAGGACGGGCCTGAGGCGGAGCAAGGGGACAGGCAGGAAGATGAGGTTGAGGTGCGCTGCCGTTCTCCCTGCCCTCATGAGGTCCGCATGGGGATGGTCTAGCTTGGAACGAGGGCGCGGCGTTCTGAGCGAGGATGCGTACCGTCGAAACTCCTCGCAGAGGATTCTTCCAGGGCGGAACTTCCCGCTAACTCACAGGTGCGACCCTACAGGGCGGCATCCGCGTCTACGACCCCGGGTTCATGAACACGGCGGTCCTCCAATCTCGGATCACCTTCATCGACGGCGAGCGCGGCATCCTCCGACACCGCGGCTACCCTATCGAACAACTCGCCGAAAAGTCCTGCTTCCTCGAGACGGCCTACCTCCTCCTCTACGGCGAGCTCCCCTCGCGCTCGCAGTTTGACCTCTTCCGCACCGAGGTCTTGCACCACACCTTCGTCCACCGCGACCTCGCCGAAATCGTCGGCTCGTTCCGCCACGATGCACACCCCATGGCCATCCTCACGTCCTCCTTCGCCGCCTTGGGCGCCTACGCACCCGAAGCGAACCCCTCGCTCGCCGGACAAAAAGTCTACACGAGCGGGACGGCAGCGAGTCTCCAGCTCATGGACAAGCAGATCTTCCGCTTGATTGGAAAGTCGATCACCCTTGCGGCGATGGCGTATCGCATGCGCTCGGGAAGGCAGTTCGTCAACCCCCCGACGGGGATGGACTACGCCGAGAGCTTCCTTTACATGATGGTGCGTGTCGCCTCTCTCTCTCACGTCGTGCTTTCGTCGCCTTGTTGACAAGATCGTGATGTGTTGTATCCACGGTACGCTCGCAGGACCACCTCGGCGAGCCCAACTACCGCCCTCACCCCGTCGTCGCGAAGGCGCTCGACACGCTTTTCCTCCTCCACGCCGATGTGTGTCCTCCTTGCCCTCCCCCCTTCTCCTCCCGCCCAGCCGGAACTGACTCTCGCTCGACGTGACAGCACGAGATGAACGCCTCGTGCGCCGCAGTCCTCCAAGTCGGCTCGACCCTCGTCGACCCTTACAGCGCAGTCTCAGCCGGCTGCGCAGCGCTCTACGGACCCTTGCACGGCGGAGCAAACGAGTGCGTCCTCCCTCTCCCCCCTCACTGGCGAAAGCTGATGAGAGGATTGCTGTAGAGCGGTCATCCGCATGCTCCTCCGTATCGGATCGCCCGAGAACGTCCCCGCTTTCATCGAGAAAGTCAAGCGCAAGGAGGAGGTTCTGAGCGGGATGGGTCACAGGATTTACAAGACTCACGACCCGAGGTCCAAGGTTATCCGCAAGTCCGTCCACGCTTCTTGGCTCGCTTCTGTAGGGAGCTGACAGGATTGTGCCGTGGACTTAGGCTCGCAGGCGAGGTCTTTGCGGTAACGGGTGAGGACCCGCTGCTCAAGACTGCGCTGGCGTTGCGCGATGCGGCGCTCGCGGACGACTACTTCATCAAGCGCCGTCTCGCGCCCAACGTCGATTTCTACGTGTGTCTTCCTGGACACTTCCTGGGAAGGAATCGAAGCTGACTCGCTTGCGTCCCCGTCGTGCAGTCCGGCCTCATCTACCGCGCCCTCGGCATCCCCACCGACTTCTTCCCCGTCCTCTTCGCCGTCCCCCGCGTGGTCGGCTGGCTCGCGCACTGGCGCCAACTGATGCTCCAAAAAGGCGGCGTCAAGATCTGGCGTCCCCGGCAAGTCTATGTCGGGGAGGGAGAGCGGGTGTATGAGGGGATTGAGGAGAGGAGGGAGAAGGGGAAGGGCGTCAAGGGCGCCGAACCGGCCCAGGTTGCGCATCCGACGAGTACGAGGGTGTTCCTCGCGAGGCAGTCCAAGTTGTAGACGACCCCCTGCGCTTTCCGTTGCCTCTTTTCGTCCGGTCGCCTCTCTTTTGGGTTTGCAGTAGAGTTTGATGTCCTCGCATCGCTGTTCAGCCGGAAAGTGAGGAATGCGAGTCCCGCTTCGAGCGACGGGGCGAAGGGAAGATGACCTTGCACCACACCGCGTCCATCGTGCACGCTCGCTCGCTGAAGGAGTCGAAGAGCTAGTCACGCTTGTCAAGAGCTCTTGCACGCGCTCATCGACCCGCCCAGCTTCTCCAGCCGCTTACCCCGTCCTCATCACCTCGTCGACCCGTCGCCGTCTCATCCGCTGCGACAACTCTTCTGAGTGCCCTGTGAACAACCGTACAGGTACGTACAGCTGCCCAGATCCAGCTTGCAATGGGCAAGTAGCCCCGCTAACCGGCCGTCAATCGTTTCTCACCTCTCCCTCCTCGTTCCGTCTGAACACGCTCCTCGTTGCGACACCCTGCACCGACCTCGCCTTCCGTTCATCAGCTCACAGTTCCGCCCCTCCACCCGCGCGCGCCCCAACTCGCGGCTCCTCTCCTCCCCTTCTTCACGCACCACCCCCTCCAGCTAATCCACCATGGCACGCAACGAAGAAAAGGCGCAATCGATGCTCTACCGCTTCCGCGAAGCGCAAGCCGCGGAACTCGGTCTCTCGCAGAGGACGGACCGGCGACCGCGCGTTGCGTCGAGTTGTAAGGACCTGAGGCAGTGCGAGAGGTGGAGGGGAGAGATCCTGAGGGAGATCAGTCGCAAGGTTTCCAAGATTCAGGACGGTGCGTGCACGTTTGACTGAGCGGGCGAGAACGAGCTGACGGGCGACGTCGGTCGAAACAGCCGGCTTGACCGACTACGAAGTGCGCGACTTGAACGACCAAATCAACAAGCTGCTCAGGGAGAAGTACCACTGGGAGAACCAGATCATTGCGCTCGGCGGTGCCAACTACAAGCGGGCGGCGGGTAAGATCACGGACGCGGATGGGCGGGAGGTGCCGGGTCAACGAGGGTACAAGTGAGTGCTGCTTCCCTTGGTGCTTCGCGACCTACGACTCTTACCTGCCGTGAGCTGACGCCGGAACGTGCTTTCAGGTACTTCGGACGCGCTCGCGATCTGCCCGGCGTGCGAGAACTCCTGAACGCCTCGGCCGCCGACAACGCCGAGCTCGAGTCGTACAAGACGGTCAAGGCGACCATGTTTGACAACGCGCCTCCCGAGTACTACGGCAACTTGGCGGAGCAGGGAGAGGAGGGGAAGCGGTTGCTCGAGGCAGAGGCAAAGGCGGAGCAAGCAGGTGCGTATCGTCTCGTGGCGCCCACGGGTCACTTGGTGCTCTCGCTAGCATACTGATCAGTTTCCACCATCGCTTGTACGCACAGCGTGGGAGGAAGCGGTCAGCAACCTCGAAGACGAGATCGAGGACGTCCCCTCCATTCCTCTTCCTCAACGAACGACCATCTCCCTCGCACCTCCTTCAGCCGAACCCGATGCCGCCGGCAAGCGAAAAGCACCCGCCTCGGCAGCAAGTAAGAAGAAGACTAAGCTGGCGGACGGGTCGGCAGCAGCGAGTCAGGCGGGATCAGCGGCGGCAGCAGGGTTCGAGAGCATCTTCACGGCGGACCAGCTGCAGCCTCCGAAGCTGCTGAGTGCGGAGGAGATGGAGAAGGCGTTGGTCAAGAGGCAGAAGGAGATGCTGCTCGAGGAGTACGGAGTTGATGGCGAGCAGCAGTAGGTTTCGCAGCGAGCTTGCCCGCCTTGTTGTTGCAAAATACCCGGCGGTCAACTGCGCATACGGAGGAGCCATGTTGAGGCTCTATTGCTCGCATGCTCTACTTCCTCGACTTCCGCCGCTTCCCTCCTGCCTTGGGCGGAGGCGGTCTCCGGGGCTTCCCGAAGGAAGACGGCTTACCCTGCACCCTCGCCTGTTTCTGCTGCCTCAGCGCCTCGTGCGCCTTGAACTTGATCTCGCTCTGCCTCTTCTTTCCCGCCTTCTCGTCCTTGCGAGTCTGGTTTGCCGAGCGGAGGTCGGCCGAGGAGGAGAGGCGATGGAGGTAGCGATAGTAGGCGGCGACCGTCGAAGAAACGGGAGGTTCGATGACGGAGGCAGGAACGGCGGGAGGCAGTGGCGCTGCTGGAGTCGAGTCCTCGGATGCCGCCGTGTCTGCATCGAGAGAGGCGAGAAGATCCGTAGTCGAGTCGGGGTCCGTAGGTTCTGTCGATGGTGCTTCAGGCGGCGGCGCGGTGACGTGCGCCGCCTCAAGCGCGCTCCCGGCGATGACGGGCTCCTCAACGACTTCGGCTGGCTCCACGTACGGAACCGGATCCCGACTGAGAAAGCTCGACCGCTCCTCCGTCCGCTGCCACAGATACTTCTTCAGCTCGCCCTCGCCAATCGTCACCATCTCCTTGTCGTCGTCGACCGCCTCACCACCACGTCCGAGCCCGTCGAGCGTCCATCGCCCGAGCTTGCCTTCGCGGAAAGCGCGAATCAGCCAGCGTCCGGCGAAATCGGTGTCGGGGATCCCACCGCGCTGCATCGCCGATAACCGTCGAGCAAGCGCCGAGTAGAACTCTTCGGGGTCTTCGAGAGGTGTGCCGGACGGAAGCGCTAGCCGTCGCCAGAGTTCGTCTGCGCGAGACGAGGTGAGCGTCTGCGCTGACGAGAATGAAGTTGAACGCACCGTTGCTCCACCCTTCGTCGCGCATCTCGTGCCGCAGCCGCAACCGCCACAGCAAGTACTCGCCAACCAGCTCCTTCTCGAACAGACTCTCCTTGATCCCGCCCGTCAGCGCCAGCTTCATCGCCGCTTCTTGTCCATAGACGCCCTTGCCGAGGTACGGCACCATGATGCCGGGAGTGTCGTAGATGTATACGGGCGGAGAGGTCGCGATCTTGATGACAGTCGATAACCGGCGAGTGTGACCGGGTTCGGAAGAGGTCGAGGCGGCTTTGCCTGCCAAACAGGAGGATCAGTTGTATCGCAGGCAAAAAGATGGCCGGACGGGACGTACCTCGGCCGACGCCTGTTCGTCGCAGCGCATTCAAGATGCTCGACTTGCCAACATTCGGCATTCCCGCCACGAGCATCACGATCTTGTCGTCCGGCCCATTCAGTGGCCGCTTCGCCAGTTCTGTCGACGCAGACAATTCTTGAGAAGCGGCAAGCGACAGAAAGAAAGGGGACCAACGCACTGATAGCGGTTCGAAGCAACTTCCGCACCCCTTCGTCCGTTCTCGCATCCGTGAAGAGGACATTCTCCTCGCCTTGATGAGCCAGTGCCCGCTTCAGAGGCTATGTACAACAGCAGTCAGCTGTGTTCGCCAAAAGAAAGCCGTCTAACGCACTTCTCGGAAGCAGTCCTGCGCCAAGTCCGTCTTGTTGTACACGATCAGCCGCTTCGTCCCCAGTCCTGTCAGGTTCAGGTTGGACCCGATTCCTTTTCCCGCCTGCTCCGCCAGTAGCCGTTCAAACGCCGGATTGATCGAAGTGAGGGGGACACGGGCGTCGCGGGTCTCGATAATGAGGTCGAGCGAGCGCTTCTGGACCATCTCGGTGATCTCGCGCAGTGCGCGGTGCATGTGTCCTGTCAATCCAGCGTGTCAGCATTCCGCACGGCCCCACGAGCGGTGAGAAGAGGCGCACCGATGTACCATGTCTGCGGCAGAGAAGGGAAGACGAACGGCGGCACGGGCGCCATTGTCGTTCGGCGGCTCAGTCAAAAAGATGCCAGAGGCCTTGCAGAGCAGGTTCACGAGTCTAGCGAGCCGTTGTGAGCCGTTGTCGAGTGGCAGGTTCAGGTGGAAGAGGTCCGCACAGCCTCGCGAGCGAGTTAGACTCCGCTGCATCGCTCGTCGCGCTTCGTAGGGCTTGACAGGCTGCTGAGACTGCTGAGTCTGGAGTCGGCATGAGTACGAGCAGCTTTGCCGGGGCGCCCGTGTCCAAGGGTGCGTTCTCTCCATCCTCATCGGTTCACGAGGAGGAGTCGACGACAACGGCTGCTGGCGGGCTGACAAGCCTCCGGACGCTCGCAGCATTGCTTTCAGTGGCAGTGGCGTGCTCCATCGTGGCTGCCGTGACCTCGACGCAACACCTCTTCCACCTTCCCCTCGTCCCGCACCTCATCCGCGACCACCAGTTCTACCGACTCCTCGCACATCACTTCGTCTATGCGAATTCGGCTGAATTGCTACTGGGCACGCTGCTGTTGTGGCAGACGAGCGCAGAGGTGGAGAGGCTGTTCGGGACTCGCAAGTTCGCGGTGCGTCTTCAGCCAGATTTGGGCGCCCCTACAAGCCGGCTCACGTCGTCTCTGGTCCCGCAGAGCTTCCTTGTCGTGACGACCGCCCTCTCAACTGCCGCGACGGCGGTCACGCTGCTTCTTGGCGCTCGTCTGACCCGAGGCCAATTCAACTTCTTTCCTTCCGGACCTTTCGCGGCTACTGCTGCTATACTGTACGCTCTTGTGTTGTCACACAAGATTTATACAGCTGACTGTGCATCCACAGGTATCAATCTCATCGCCTTGTCCCGCCATTGTACCACTTCCGCCTTTTCCACCCTCTCCTTACCTTCAGCAACCGCTTCGCAATCTACCTCCTCGCTGCCCTCCTCTTCACTTCAAACCTTCCATCCTCCGCCATCCTCTGCCTGATCGGTATCACCTCCTCCCTCGCCTACACCTCCGACTTCCTCTCGATGCGAAGATACCGCATCTCTCGGCGAGTCTACAAGTCCCTCGCCCGGATAGGCGGACTCGTGTTCCGCACGGATGATGGAGCGCGGATACGGCGAGGGACGGCAGTGACGGCGGAAGAAGTGTTGTTGCAGTCGCTTGCGGCGGCGCAAGGTGGAGCAGCAGGAGCGGTCGGAGGTGGGCTGGAAGCGAGCGCTTTGCGCGGTCTGGCACAACGAGCGGCTCAGCCAGCGGTAGAAGCGACGGCGCCGACACCTGCGCCAGCGGAGACTGCGGAACCTCCACAGACTCCCGCCGCACCGGCGTCGACTTCGCCTACAACGCCGTCCAGGGCGCCGCGCATGGGTTTCTTGCGGCAATGGCAGGCTGGATTGACGGGAGCGCCGGAAGGACCGACGGCTGCGTGCGTCCGCTGAACTCTAGTGCTTGAGAGAGTCGCTGACCGCCTTTGCGCGCAGGCAAATCGCCGAGTTGACCGCCATCTTTCCCGTAAGTCTCGAGTCCATTCAAAGGGTAGCGCAGTGCCCCTGCTGACGCTTTCTCCCGCAGCATCACACGCGGCAAGCGATCGTCACCGCCTTGCAGGAGAACGAGCTGGACGTAACTCGAGGTGCGTTCCCCAGCTACCTCAGCGTCTCAGTCCCGATACTGATCTTTCCAGTCTCGACAGCTGCCGAAGCGCTATTAGCGGCTAGCTGAAGAACCTGCGAAGACTATACTGGTACATTGCTCGAAATCCTTGCGAGAGGTGCGAGTCTATCCCGACGAGATACTACGAAGAAACATGCGAGAGATGCGAGGTCTACATCTCTATGGCGTCTAGAGTCTAGAGAAGAGCGTTGAGGACCTGCAGAGACGGCTCGTCAGCTTGCGGTCGCAAGGCAGCGAGATGGAGAACGCACCTTTCCAACCTTGGTCTTCGGCTCAGGCTCCTCATCATCGTCGCCTGCTCGAGAGCCAGAGACAAAGTCGAGATCGGCGAGCGGCGTGCGTGCCCATCTGCGGAGAGAGAGCGTCAGTCTCGCTAGAGGGAGGTGTGAGAAGGGATGTAACGCACTCGCTCCGGGGCAGCTTCCGGATGTAGCGCTTCCAGACGTAGACCGTAACGTACGTGAGCGGGAAGAGGGCGATGGGCTGCGAAAGCGGGACAGTCAGTAACGAACAGAGAAGGAGGAAGACGAGCACGGGGACTGACGAGGTAGGAAGTGATAAAGTCGGCCGTGTTCCAGTGGCCTTTGAGGAAGACGGTATACTTGCTGAAGATGAGGACAATGACGATCATGCTGAGGGCGTAGTAGGAGAGGTACGGCTGGAAGGGCGCGCGGTAGGCGAACTCGCGGCGATTGAGTCCCTGGGCCTTGGCGCCCCAGTAGAAGCGCAAGTAGACGATCAGGATGGATCCCCAAACGAGTAGGCCGCACACGCTCGTCATGTTGGCGAACCAGCCGAAGACTTCGCCTGCGCGTCCTGCGCCGGCACTCATGAAGGCGAGGAGGGCGAAGAGGACTGCGACGCCGACAGCGGGGACAGGAACGCCCCACGAGTTTGTGCGCGCAAAGACTCGGGGAGCGTTGCCCTGGAGGGCGAGTCCGTGAAGGCAGCGAGACGAGGTGTAGACGTCCGATGAGGCGGCGGACCAGGCGGAGGTCAAGATGGCGGCGTTGACGATTGAGGGAAGAGCCTTGATGCCGGCGTCCTTGACGGCGATCACGAAGGGGGAAGAGGCGGCGGTACCGTCCGAGAGGTTCAGGCGCGGGTCGGCGGACGAGACGAGGAGGCCGATGACGGTGACGGAGCAGACATAGAAGAGGACGATGCGGACCCAGACCTTCTTGATCGCGGACGGGACGGTCTTCTTCGGGTTCTTGGCCTCTGCGGCCGCGATAGCGACAATCTCGGATCCGACTGCGATGGGAGAGGGTCAGCGGCGTGGGCTGTATAGACTGTGACGCTCACGCACTGTACGAGTAGGCGCTCTGCAAGAGCACGGTGAAGAAGCCGAGGAAGCGACCCTTTGCGCCGGCAATCCCGAGGTACTGCACGAACGGTCCGGGGTTCTGCCAGTACTTTCCACCGATGACCTCGCCGCTAGGATCGCCACCGGCCGTGAGGACGATACCGAGGATGATGAGGCCAAGGATGGTGACCATCTTGATGGACGCGAACCAGAACTCGGTTTCGCCGTAGACGCGCGAGCCGCCAAAGTTGATCAGGACGGCGACGAAACCTGTGACGGCGATCCAAACTGCTGGGCTTGTGTGGTTGTCCCAGAAGCTGCGGAGGGAGACAGGTGAGCCGAAGCGAGATTTGGCAGGGGAGAATGCAGTACGCACGAGATCAAGACCGCCGACGCGCTCAGTTCCGCCGGCATCGCAAGAAGCCAGTCGTAGAGGTACCAGTATCCGACGCAGAAGCCGAAAGGCTTGTCGACGAAGCGAGCTGCCATCGTTACGCATCCGCCAGGAAGGGGAAGCTGCGCCGCGACTTCTCCGAGGGCGACCATGACCTGCACGTCGTCTTTCGTCAGACATCGCCGCAGTGAGGGAAGAAGAGTCGAAGAACGCACGGAGTAGACGATCGTGCCCATGATGCTGTAGCCGAGAAGGATTCCAAGCGGACCGCCCATTCGCAGGGCGTTAGCGGTTCCGAGGAAGATTCCCGTTCCGATGGCGCCGCCTAGGGAGATCTGTCAATCGTGCGGAAGTCAGAGAAAGCAGGAAGACGACGGAGACGATGCGGACGAACCATTGCCACTGCGGCGAGGAGGAAAGGTCAGCAACCGTCTCGCACGACGACGTGAAGACGGTTCACACACCATGCCGCGCCTTCATTGACCGCTGCAGTTCCTCTCCCGACCGCACCATGCCGACCTCTGTCGCGTCGGCTGCGACGATGCCCTTCTCGACATCCTTGACCTCGTCGAATCCGCTCGTGTTCCGTCGCAACACGCCCGTCTCGCCGTTGAGAGAAGCTGGTCGGACGTCAGAGAGTGCCATCGTCGTGTTCTATCGCTCGAGAGGATACCGCGTGTGGCGGGTTGCCGTTCGCTGAGCCTGGAGTTGCAAGTCGGGGACGAGGGGGAGATAGAGGGCGCCGCAACCGCGAGTGCGTGTGGCTGTCGAGAGCTGTTGTGCAGGAGTGCAAGCGGGTGTGTGCAAGTCAGGAGACAACCCAGGCAAAAGAGTCAGCCGCCCTCGCTTCCTCAGCTCGGGAAAACCTTCAGAAATTCGCATCCAGCCTGGCGACAGGCGCGGGTCCCCTCCTTCGGCGCCTCGTCGACGTTCTCGCCACGAGCTTCGGCAGCGAGGGAAAACGTGTTCACGGCGATACCAGCGGATCTACCGCACCCCCGCCGTCCCCGCCACCGTCGACCTCGACAACCTCACTCTGCGCCCGACTGCTGCTCGCCCGCCAACTCTCGACAACCCGCGCCTTGGCCCCCTTCATCAGCGCATCGAGCCTGTCGAGCCCAGCGTTGTCCGACGACGCCGAGTCGTCCGCCTTGAACCGCTCGTAGAAGAGCAGGAACGGGTTCGCTCGCAGCGCCTCGTTCACGCTCGACGGGTCCACCGTCTCGTCCGAAATGCGGTACCACTCGGGCAATGCTGCCTGAGTGGTAGAGTCGCTGTCGGCGTCGAGAAGGGGCCGCCGGCGGAAGGCGACGTAGTGCCCGAACGAGTGGCTGCCGTAGTGGACGACGAGAGACGAAAGCCGGTAGACGTCCGAGGGCGGTGGCGGCGAGTCCTCCGTGGTCGAGCGTGGCTGGGTACCGTCGCAGAACGGCGAGACGTTGAGGTACTCGGGAAAGGTGACCTGGCACGAGTTCTTGATCGGCCCGGCGTAGCTGTAGTGCGTCGACCGGTTCAGATGGATCATCAGGATGTCGGGCGTCTGCAAATCGAGCTGTCAGTGATTAGAGCAAGTTAGTGAAGATGGACGCACCCGCGCAAACCGAACAAGCTTTCCCGCTGCCGACCCGCTCCTCTCCATCTTGACGTCCTCGCCAAACTCTTTCTCCCAGTCGCCCGCGTCCACCGCGCTCTTCACCTTGTCCACGAGCTTCTGCATCTTTCTCCGCCGATCCTTGCGCGAAGCCGTCATCGTCTTGGCCTTTCCCTCCGTCGTCGCTTCAGGTGGCAACTCGAACGGGTTCTTCGATTTCGCTGGAGGCGGCGGAGAGGACGCGCGGTCGGACGAGGCGGTCAGGGCTAGTCTGTCTCGCTGGCCTTCGAGCTTGGCGAGCGTCGCAAGCATCGCGCATTTCCGGCAGTCGTATTCCGAGATGAGGTCGGTTTTGGTGTACTCGGCGAGGAGGTCGTATAGCGAGCAGGAGGTCTGCGAGCGAGGTCGTTAGCACGGTTCTGAGGAAAGAAGCGGGGCACGCACCACGGCAGGCACCTGCAGCATCAACAGCTCCTCCCCCTCATGCCGCGTATCCCGCACATAACCGCACTGCATGCACTTGATCCGCTGACTCCTCAGCCAAAACCACGGGTCCGTCGCACCTCTTCGACTGCGCTTCTTCGAGACGGTGATGCCCAGTCCCGACTTGAGTTTCGCGACCTCCTTCAAACCCGATCCAGCTGCTTCCGCCCGCTCTTGCGCAGAGAGGACTTTCCCCGCTTCTTCCTCGACCGCGTCACGAATCATGCCCCACAATTCGTGCGCGTCTTGCTGATCTGAGCTCGCTAGCAGTCGTCGGCGAGAAGGAGAAGAAGCGGCGAGAGCGTTGGCGAGTTCGAGCGGGCGGAGAGGAGCGGGACGGGAGGTTGAGGGTGTGTTGAGGGCTTCGAGGGTGTCGAGGAGAGAGTCGGAGACCGGGGTGGGAATGTCGAGCGAGGTGGCCGAGGAGACGAGCTGGTCGAGGTATTCGAGGAGGGAGGGAAGGGAGGCCAGGGACTGCGCAGAGAGGGTCAATATCGCTCGTTCTCGAGCTTGAGGCAGGAACGCACCTGCAGCGTCGCATTCAGGAAGCACAGATTGCCTGCGGCATTCAGCAAGCCCGGGAAGTACTGGCCTGAGCGAGGAAGAGCATCAGATCCGCCTGAGAACGGAGATTCGAGCCGAACGCACCTCCTCCTTCGGCCCGCAACTTGCCCTCCTTCGTATCCCTGTACCGTCTGACGAAGCTCCCATTCTCGCCAGTCCCGTCTGCGGCAGCCTTGAGCGACGCCAGCCCATTCCCGCTCGCCATGCCCTTGTCCCAGTCGAGCTTGACCAGCCCGCTCTTCCCGAGCAGCGACGACACGCCGAGGGACGCCATCTCCGTCAGTGCGTTCAGCGAGTCAACTGGCGCGGTGAGCGGGTCGAGTCCGAGGTAGTAAGATGACGCGGAGAGCGCGACGAGGAGGATAAGGAGAGCAGAGGCGACGGTGCTGAAGAGGGGCTGTAGGTCGACGATGGCGTATTGATCACTGGCAACGTACGGCGAGTAGCTCATGCTCTGTCCATCGCCGTCGTTGTCGAGCGTCGCAAGCTGAGGAGGACAGCGCACATCTCTCGCTCACGACGCTCACTCGACACGCTCAAAGTGGCTCAGAACGCTTGCTGGGCTTGTTGAATACTGCTACTAGCCACGCCAGACTGCCACGCCGTGCTCCCACGTCGCTTGTTCCCCTCCTCGCCTTCATCAGTTGATCCGGATTCGAAGGGCTTTCCTCCTTCTTCTGCTCGCCGGACCGGTCTAGCAGGTGCGTACAGTCACTCGCACACCAACCTGGTACGACGGCTGACCCGCTCGTCCCGCAGCTCGCCCGCAGACTCAGCTGCTCCCGCCTCGCTTCGACCGGTCCTCTTCGCAACCTCGCCCAACAGTCACAGACGATCAACATGTGCCGCGCCGTCACCTGCCTTAGCTACTGCATCGCCGTCACGACCAAGTCTCTCCTTTTCGCAGCCGATGCGCAATCGACTCTCGAGCCGACCTTGCGCTTCCTCGACCTCGTCTCGCTTCGGACGGAGCAGGGCACGCTGAAGGCGCGCTTGCCCAGGCCGCTTGAGCTGAAGGCTAGCATAGTTGAGCAGTTGCCCGTCCAGGTTTGGGCACTTATTCGCCGCGAGCTTGTCAACCTCGAGCTTGAGCGGGCGGAGCAACGGATTGCGGATTCGTTAACATGCGGCGACTGCCGCTGGGAGATGGATGAGGCTGGCGAGGTTCCGAGGTGGAACTTCCCCGACTTTCCGGAAGCTCGTCACTGCTACGCTTGTTGGGAGTTTGGCGAAGACTTCGAAGGCATCAAGCAGACACGACTCTCGGTGAGTGCTTGGCTGCCCTGTGTGCTCTCGATTGCAACTAACCTTTTGTATGTTTCCGCAGACGCTCATCAGTCAGCTCCTACGCCCGTTCGGTCTCACTCTGCCAGCCTGTGTCCCGGTCATCGACTACGTCTTCCGCGACGAGAGACCGCCTCCTCTCCTCGCCGACTCGCGCACCGCAGTGTTCATTTCGCTGAAACCAGCACAAGGATCACGCCCACTTGCATCCAGTACTAGCGCAGGTGAATGGGACGAACGAGACGAGCAGGGCGTCTTCGACGTGTCCTTCGCCCTGCCGCCCGGCGCCGATCAACGCTTCCATCGGCTTGTCTCACAGTACCACCTTCAGCCGGTGCGCATCACGGACGGTACAGTCGTGGTCGCCGGAACCTCGGACTACGAGAACTCTCCAACCCCTCTGTTCGGCAAGCGGGTCTTCCAGCGTGACAGTACCCCTCGCCCGCAGTGGAAGCTCTTCTCAGCTTGTGAGACGACGTGGAATTAGACTCGTCTGTTGAGTTGCGGCTTTGCAATGCACGTCTTTCTGCGCCTTCAGAGGTTGGACTTGCCGGCGGATGACCGCTTCCGCGACGCTCGTACGTCCTTTCCCCGATTGCACGCAGTAGTCCAGCGTTCCGCCACTTTCAAAGCTCATCAAGACAGCACGCCCTTCACGTCGTCACGCTCCGGCCGTCGCTTTCGTCGCCTTCTCCACATCTGCTCGCTCGCGCTTGAACGGCTGAGACCGAGAGCTACAACTGTCTGAAACTGTGACTGAACAGGCTGAACCGCCACGCCGTGCTCCCACGCCGCCTGTTCCCCTCCTCGCCTTCATCAGTCGATCCGGATTCGAAGCGCTTTCCTCCTTCTTCTGCTCGCCGGAACGGTCTTGCAGGTGCGCGCTACCAACTATACAGTGTCCAGGCACGATAGCTGACCCGCTCGTCCCGCAGCTCGCCCGCAGACCCAGCTTCTCTCGCCTCACCTCGATCTCACCTCTCAAGCGTCGCCCAAACAGCCTGCACTCCCGCCATGTGCCGCGCCGTCACCTGCCTCAGCTACTGCATCGCCGTCACGACCAAGTCTCTCCTCTTCGCAGCCGATGCGCAATCGACTCTCGAGCCGACCTTGCGCTTCCTCGACCTCGTCTCGCTGCGCATCAGGCGCGGGACCCTGCACATCGACGGTGAAGGCGCAGCAAGTACTTCCGCTATGAGCCGGGTTCCCGCCGAAGTCTGGGATGTCGTGCGCTACGAACTGATCGACATCGACATGCGCCGGGCCGGGCAGCGACTCGCGAAAGGTTGGCTTTGCGATTCGTGCATTGACTTCGTACCAGGCTCGCAATTGGTTTGGGACAACTCTAGGCCCGCTTGCGACGCTTGCTGCGACCTCAAGGCTGACTTTGCCGGCATCAACGGCTACAAACGCGCTTCGGTGAGCCGTCTGCCGTGCATTCGTACAAAACCTCTCGGTGCTGACGCTCTCTCGCCAGCTAATACAAAGGGTCCTTCTCCACCCTCTCGGCTTCTGCCTGCCAACCCCATACCCCGTCCGCGTCAACACTTCCCACGACATCAGCGAGCCGCCCCTCAAAACCGATTCTCGCACGGCCACGTTCATCGCGATCAAAGCGGCGTACGGTTGCGCTTCCGGCAGTACTCTGCGATGCAACTGCTGCGTTGGCAGACTGGGTGATCGCGACGAGCAGCAAGTCCTCGATGTTTCGCCGCAAGTTCCAAATGATGCGACGCGGCGCTTCGAGATGCTAGTAACGCGATACCACCTGCAGCCAGTCCAGGTCACTGACGGCACTATCAGTCACACGGACACGACTAAGGCGGAGCAGTATGCGACGCTCGGGCAAGGCAGACGAGTCTTCAGACTGACGACGGCCGTCCGTCCGCGCTGGAAACTCTTCTCGACGTGCGAGACTGACTGGTAGGCTACCTCGCGACCCCTTGCAATCCGACCCGCGTCTTCGAGCGTCTTTCTGGGCAGCAAGGTCTTCGCGTTCAGTGCTTTCCGCTCTCCCGGCCTCCGAAAGCTGCCCACTGTCTTGCCGACAGTGTAAAGGTCCTGAGCACTGCTTACATCGTGGCTCACCAAGCCTACCGGCTCGTTGCCCGCTCGCCCAGCGCCTCTCCTCCCTCTTCCACTCGCTCACTCTGCTCACTTCGCTCCGCTGGACTCTCTTGCTCCCCAAGGCTGCTTGTGATCGTGCCCGCTTGCCTCCAACCACTCCCGCGCACGCTCACGAGACTTCGACGCCGCCCGGCTCGTCTTCATCGCTTCATCAGTTCACGCGCCTCATTCTTCTGCTCGCCGGACCCGCAGGCACAGGTACGCTCGCAGCGACTTCCTGTCCTATCTTGAAGCTTGCTGACTCGCTCTCCGTACGCAGGATGTGCCGCGCAACGACCCACATCTTCTTCGGCTTGCCCATCCGCACCTGGTCGCTCGTTCCCGCCGCCGACGCCTGGCCAGAGCTCGTCAAGACGCTCCCCTTCTTCGACTTGATCACGTTGCGCATCTTGAACGGAACTTTCCAAGCTACTAAGCGCGGCGGCGGCTCCTCGGTGGTCGAAAGGGTTCCCATCGAGGTCTGGGACGTCGTCAAGCACAAGCTCGTCGACGTTGAATTGCAGGAGGCCAATGACCGGATCATGCGCGACCTCGAGGTTAACGACTGGAGCTGTTGGGGCTCGGGTTTGCGCAAACCCGGCAAATCGCTCGCAGGTTCCGCTCTTCCGCCATTCTGGACCGATATCTGCAGCGAAGCAGACCCGTGCGACATGTGCTCTGAGCCTCTGTTCTACTGGCTAATGGATCTGCGGGATGATGAGCATTCGGTGCGTCCGCAGTTTTGCTGCATCGACTTGTCGAACGAGTCGCTGGGCCAGGCGGCTGACTGTGCGGTTCTACAGAAGTTGCGTGCCTTACTCAGGCACTTCTCGATGTTCCTCGTTTCTGCGCGCCCGCTCACATGCGACGATTCCGACGCCGTAGATCTATACTCGGCCATGCACATCGCGCTGCTTCCATCTGACGGCAACCTCACTCCCATCTGTGTTGATTGCGGCGGAGATATGGACCCGGATCAGCAAACTGTGCAGGAGCTGGACCCAGCGTCCATGCTGACGATTGCTCGAGACGGCAGACGGCGCTTCTCACGACTCATCCGACTCCTCCATCTCGAGCCTCTGAGCATCAAGACCTTGCCTGACACGGAGCGGTTGGCAGGCGAGGGAGACGACTACATTCCGCGCAAACGCGTCTTTACCGACGTAGCCATCAACGAGATCCAACCCAAGTGGACGGTTCACTCGATCTGCAAGATGTTGTGGTGATCTGTGAAGTTGGGCGACTTCCCGGTGTCATCAGCTGTCTTCTTTGCGGCCTGCAACGGAACTTGAGCCGATACGACGGCGCTCGGAACGATCTACGATGCGGGAGACGGAGAGAAAAGGGACTTTCGACGCATCCTGGCTCCGTCCGCGACAGACTTCGCACTGGCTGGCTCATACGTGGTTTATCACGATGGCGAGCGACTCGGAAGCGTCGCTAGCACAGGTCGACGCTGTTCACTCTGCTCCCTCTAACCCTCCGTCTTCTTCACTTGCCTCTTCTCCGTACGCTTTCGCTAGCTCAGACTCTCTTGCTCCTGCTGTTGTCTCTATCCGGCTTCTACAGCTCTTTCAAGACCTCCCTCCCGCGTACAGCGCTCCCCTCGCTTTAGACCGCCGGCTCTCTCGACTTCATCAGTTCTCGCGCCTCTTCTTCGGCTCGCCGGATCCGCACGCACAGGTACGCTCGTGGTGACCTCAGGGATCGTACCGAAGCCTGGCTGACTCGCTCCCGAACGCAGGATGTGTCGCGCGACGACCCACATCTTCTTCGGCTTGCCCATCCGCACCTGGTCGCTCGTTCCCGCCGCCGACGCCTGGCCGAAGCTCGTCAAGACGCTCCCCTTCTTCGACTTGGTTACGTTGCGTATCCTCGACGGGACCTTCCGGGCTCCGAGGAAGGCAGACGCCGGACCTTCTGCAGTCGAGCGGGTTCCAGTCGAGGTTTGGGACGTCGTCAAGCACAAGCTCGTCGACCTTGAGCTGCAGGGTGCCAACGACCAGTTCATGCGCGACATCGGCGTCAACGACTGGAGCTGCTGGGGCTCGGGTCTGCGCAGACCTGGCAAATTGCTCGCAGGTTCCGCTCTTCCGCCTTTCTGGACCGACATTTGCAGCGAGGCAGAGCCCTGCATCATGTGCGGCGACGCCATCCTTCAAGTAAGGATCGTTTCGATCTGGCAGGGGAAGGCGGAAGAGGTGCGTTCGAAGGATGCATCGCCGTCGGGACAGATGCTGACAAACTTTGATGATCCGCAGAGGCTGCAAAGTCTGCTTCAAGCCTTCGGATTGCATGCTCCTGTTCGACAGACAATCGTTCGCGCCGACAAGAACTGGGTTGACCTAAGCTCAGCTACCTACGTCGCGCTGCTGCTACCTCCCGAGCAGAACAATCCCCTCGAGGCAGACTGCGGCGGTGACAGGTTCCCAGACCAGCAAAACTTTCTGCACATCAACCCCGAGATGATGACGAAGCTTGCACGCAACGGCCGTGAACGCTTTCGCAAGATCATCCACGACCTTCACCTCGAGCCGCTCTCGATGAGGGCACTCCCTTCAGAGCCATCGAGCCCGAGAGTACCGCCACCGCCCAACCAGCACTGGTACTTCAGGCGGGAGTTTACCGAGATCACGCCGACGGAGGCGAACCCAGCGTGGACGATTCATACGACCTGCGAAATGCTCTGGTGACCTCACGTCTCGCCCGTCGGGTTCCTCCAACTGTTGTGTCGTCGGGATGACCTCAACCCTGCAGCTCTGTCGCTTCGCAATGCACAACAGCTCGACCTTGGCCACCTCGAGAGAGTCGTCCACTTTACCGACGCGAAGGCCTCCGTCCTCTATGATCTCCGATTCGACGCGTCCATCCGTCCCTTCTGCGCCTGCACGATGTTTCCGAAGGCGTGCAAGTCGCCCTTTGCGGATGTGCTCCTGCTTGACCTTCCCAATCAATGATCCAGGACGATGCCGTAGGTCTACGCTGTCCGACCACGAGCCACTGTAGCCCAAGCATAACGCGATGTCAAGATCCGCCGCTCACGACCGGCAGACACGTCGATTCAGTTTGGACTGCCCGCGCGTCTCCCGCTATTCCTTCCTTTTGCTTCTTTCCTTACGCCCTATTCCCGCCTGAGCAACCCCTCTTGCTGTCCGAGTTTAATTGTCTACAGCTAAGCGCAATACGCCTCGTTCCGCTCTTTGCCCATGCGCACCGCAACAGCCCGCGCCTCCGTCCTTTATGGACTAACCATCTTCGCGGCGGATCTGTGCGCCGCCGCCCATGCCTGGCCGGATATTCGCGCTGCTGTCCGCGTGTTTGACCAAGTCCTCCTCGGGCTTCCCTTCAAGCGCCTGAGTCCCGCGCACGCCTCCCTCGCCGACTTGCCGAGCGAGCTCGTCGAGCTTTGCAGGCGCTACACCTTCGCTCAGGCCATGTACAAGGCACAGCGAGACTTCCTGGACTGAGTGTTGCGCGAAGACCCCTACGAAACCTGCCCACTTCACGACGACGAAGACGGATCTAAGTCGTCGGATCACGAGTACCGTGGCGACGGACGCATCCACCCTTTCTTCCTGATCATACGCCTTCTTCGTGCCGAGGGGTGTAGCTGTCTCTCGCGAGACCTGAAGGAGTATTGGACGGACGACCTCGGTGACGATGGAAACCAGGTCCGCTGCGGTTCCTCCCGATTGTCCTCTTGGTTGGAAAGCTGACGACCTGCTCTTCCCACAGGCGACACGCCAACTCTTGAGCGCTTACAAGCTCGAGATGCGAGGCCAGCCGTTGAATCCGTCAATCCAGCATACCAACCTTGAACTCGGCGTGGTCGCGCTCGCCATCCCGGCACAGGTCCACACGATGTGTTACCGTTACGGCGAGTGCACGTCTGAGAATCTCTGGGACCGCGACGAGACCGGCGAATTGTATTGGAACGAGCAAGACCTGTACGAGATCGCCTTCAACCTTCCTCAAAGCGCGGCACGTCGCTTCAAGGGTTTCCTCGTCGACTTTGACATCCCTGTCGTCAAGGTGAGGCACAGAAAAGTCGGATACACCTACGTGACCGACGCCAGCACGAACGGCGACGTCCAAGGACCGCCTCGCTTCGTCCCGCCCAACCTTGCAATCTTCGACTGGGCGAGAGGCATGCAGTTCTCTCGCCCGAGCGACGCCCAGCCGAGCTGGCAACTCTACACCAACGCCCTGAGCTGCGACTAGCCGGAAAACCAGGCGTCGCGTCCCTCGACTTCTCAAGGCGTAGTCTTCGTTTCCCGTCTCTCTTTGCAATCTCACGTAGTATCGATCCGCCGCCTCCACTGCGCAGGAGAAAATGCTGTTTGCAGGGGAACGAGATTGTGTACAGGACGGGCGGAGCTGTCGCCAGCAACACTGAGACCCGTCTCACAGAACTGCACGTTAACAAAGCCAAAGCGACGACGAAAACCAATGCGACTCCTTCACCCCCACCCGCTCACATCATCACTTCATTCGGAGGAACCCCATGCTCCTCCCTCCTCTCCCTCGCCCGCTGTAGCGCCTCAAACACCGCCTGCAGACTCGCCTGTCCCTCGCTCATCTCCTCCCGCTCGTGAGCCTGGTCCTGCGAGACAGCGCGCGGCGTCGACGACGAGGTAGACGGTAGAGGGGCAATGAGTCGCTGAGAGCGGAAGGCGGCTTCGGCGATTGAGGCGGAAGTTTGGCGTGCGGGAGGGCAGTCGGCTGCGGCGGAGGAGGAAGGGGGAGAGTGCGCGGCGGTTGTAGCAGGCGTTGGGGCGGACGAGGCGTCGGTGACGGTGATGGCGGGCGTCGAGGACGAGCCGGCTGGCGAAGACGTGCCACCTGCTTCGTCGCGCCTCCTCCGCTCCGCTCGACGGCGACCCGTAAAGTCGGCGAACGTCGCGGCGCTTGCCTCGTCGCCGCCTTCGTCCGTGCCGGCGGGGACACCGCCATCGTCGATATGCTCGATGAATCCGGCGCGCCAGATCCCCTCGAGGAAGGAGGAAGTGTCGCCGCGCGCCTCGCCTTCCAGCAGCCTCGCATGCGTCGCCTCGGTCGTCGAGGCATCCTCAACACCGACCGACGCCATTACCGCAGCCCAATGTCCACCCGATCCTCCCGAGCCCGCGCCAATTTCCCCATCAGCACGACTCCTTGCGCTCTCCCTCTGCTGCAACAGGTTCGTCAAGCGAATCGGGAACGCCAAGTCGCGCTGCGCCAGCTCCTCCAACAACTCGCCCATGCCTGGCGCGGTGAGCGGAGTCGAGGTCGCGCTCGTGACGGACGCGCAGCGATTCAAGGCGTCGAGGAAGGACGAGTAAGAGGTGATGGAGGATGAGGGGAAAGGTTCGTCGGTGAGGATCGACCAGAGTTCGGCGAAGGTTGGGAGAAGAGGGGCAGAGGAGGAGAAAGAGGATGCGGAGGCGTTTGGTCGGGAGGACGAGCGGGCGTCGAGGGAGCCGATCGAACTGGGGGTTTGGAGCAGGTCCTGGAGGATCGTCGATGGCTCCGGCGACCTCCCAAAGAGGTCGTTGAGCTGTTGTTGCCGAAGTCGCATCGAGGGAGAGATTCCATCGTCGGTTCCGTTCGCGCCTTCTGCGGGTGTGCGATGATTGCGCAACCGTTCCCGCCTGCTCCGCACCGCCGCCTGGTGCTCAGCGTCGGAGCTGTCATCCGAGTCGCTAGGCAGCCTGAGATCCTGCATGCGAGACCTCGAGACTTGGCGGTCGCGACTGTGCGAGTACGAGTCGTCGGGCTCAAGGTCCTGGAGCGCCTGGCTCAAGCGACCTGCAGTCGAGATGCGTGGGCGACGCTGAAGGGTCGAACCGGTGCGTTCGGTCGAGGAAGCGGCTTGCGAGCGGGGTTGGCGCTTGGGAGGACGGCGAGTGGACGTCTCCTGTCGAAACGAGCGCGTCTGCCGTTAGCTGACGCACACAGTGAGCTCGAGGAGGACTGTACGCACGTAGAGCAGCACCTCAAAGACTCTCAGCGATCCCTCATCCCGAATGTCCAGACTCTCGACAAACTCCTCGTACGAGACGTCCGGTCCCCTCCTGCGCGGGTTGTTGCAGGCTGCCTGGAGTAGCAGCTTGCACTTCTCGAGGAAGAGCTGATCGTATGCCTGTGGGCTGAGGATTCCCATCGCCGCGTCGAAGGAGGGTGTGCGCGTGGTCGTGGGTTCTCTCGAGTCGCAGGGAGCAGCACACGCGCTCAGCAGAGCAGTCCAGCGGGTGTGAAGCAGAGTGGTAGAGCGCAGGCATGTGTCGTCGCTTGCTCGAGGGTGGCTTTCCACCGCGACCCGCTCTGGCGGGGTCGTACTTGCGCCTGCAGTAATGAAAGTAACGTCTGCGAGTCCAGCCGTACTACCAGCTAAGCGCCAGGTGGCGTGTGAGGCGAGACACGGCGACCCGTTCGAGGCCGTGAGCGCGACCAAGTCCCAAGCTCACCTCGCTCAACAGCTTGCGCTCCTGTCTCGTCCCTCACAGCACCAGCACAGCTACAGGTGCGCCCAGACTACTCACGAGTATCACAGCGAGGTCCACGAACTTACGCCGCGCCGCCCCGTCTCGTCCCGCCGTTCCCTCGTCCCGCCAACACCTCGCACAGCCATGCTTCTCTACACCGACGCCATCACCAACGACGAGCTCATCTCGGACGCATACGACGTGAGTCTGCACACCCGAGCGTCTTTCTGTCCAGCTGCGACGAGCACTCGAGGTGTCGTCGAGGAGGAGCGTGAGCCGGAACTTGCGGCGAGGCGTGGCAGTCTGCGCATGTGGCGGGCGGCCTGCCAGGAGGTTTGCAGGCAGGAGCAGCCGATGCGAGGCATCAAGGCGGACTTCCAGGCTCTCGGCGAGCCCGCATGCGCACCCTTCGAGCGACCTTCGCCTGCACGTTCGTTCCCGATATTGACCTTCGTCTCCGTCTCGCGCAGCTCAAGGAGGTTGACGATGTCGTCTACGAGGCCGACTGCGCCATGATCACCATCAAGGAGGGCGAGGTCAACATCGGTGCCAACGCGTGCGTCCCGTCCTCTCCCCACTTGCGTTGGCCAAGGCAGATCGGACTGACCTTGCTTCGCTGCGTGCGCAGTTCGGCTGAGGAGGCTGAGGAGGCCCTCGAGGAGGGCGAGCAGCGTGTTAACAACGTTGTCCACTCGTTCCGCCTGACCGAGACCTCGTTTGACAAGAAGTCGTGCGTCCGCGTTCGTCTTTCCCTCACTTGGCGTTCCACTGACCCAGTGCAATTCGCAGGTACATGACCTACCTCAAGGGCTACATGAAGGCTGTCAAGGCTCACCTCCAGGAGTCCAACCCTGACCGCATCCCCGCCTTCGAGAAGGGCGCTGCTGGCTTCGCCAAGAAGTGCGTCTCGCTTCCTTTGTTCCGACTCTACGTGCCATACTGACGAGCATTTGTACGCAGGGTCCTCGGCTCGTTTGGCGACTGGCAGTTCTTCACCGGCGAGTCGATGAACCCCGACGGTATGGTCGGTGCGTCTGCGTTTCGACTCTCCGCTCTTTCTTGCGCGCTACTGATCTCACCACGCTCGTACAGCCCTCATGAACTACCGCGAGGACGGTGTTACCCCTTACATGGTCTTTGTGCGTTTCCACTCTCTCACCTTCTCCCTAACCGCCTCGCTGACCCTGCCCGCCGCACACAGTGGAAGGACGGCTTGAAGGAGGTCAAGCTCTAAGCGGTTGAGCTCCCTCTCCTTCTCCCGGTTCTCCTCATGCTGTAGCTGCTGTTTCTCCTTTCCGCATCGGTTCTCCCCTTCTTTTTTACCCACTCGTTCCCTTTGCCTCTTCGCACACACTGTTGGGGATTCCTCCCCCTTCGCAGGCGCCACTAAAACGGGATCGCAACGCGTCCTTTAGACACCTACGCCTGGCGCCGTCAGCACGTTGCGAAGTCTCGCTCGCCATTTGCTCGCCATCGTCCGCCTCCTCTCCCTCGCTCCTTTCCGCCGGCTCGACTGTTATTCCGCCGCGCCTTCGTTCCTGTCGTCACGTTTCGCTCGCAGCAACTCGCGAGCTTTCCACCGGTTCGCCGCTCGCGCCTCCTGACCTGGGTGTCGGCGCCTCCTCACCTCCTCGCCGTCTTCCCGACGAATCACAGCGCTGCATCTGGGCGGCGAGCTCCTCAACAACTTGACCGCGTGGTCGCCATGCGTGGCTCAGCGCAATCTGATCGCGCGGACCTCCCTGGACTTTCGGCGCCGGAGCCGCCTTTCAGGAGAGGAGGTTCTGCTTCTCCCGACGACTTCTGCGACGCTGCTTCTCCTTCTCCTTCTCCTTCTCCTTCTCTCTATCCGCATTTCGCGTGCTATCCTCGCACACCATGTCCCCACCATTCACGCTCGTTCTCGTCGCTCTTTTCGCCTACCTCAATGCCTCCACGGCCAACGCCGCCTCCTCAGCCCATGCCAGCAAGATCGGAACTCTCACCGCTCACGGCTTCACCGACGAGAAGTGGATCAAAGGATTCGAGAAGGCAAAGGCTGTCGTCGCCGGCATGTCGCTCGAGCAAAAGGTCAACTTTACCGACCTTTGGATCACTTCTTCGACCGGATGCTCCGGTCAGACCCGCCCGATTGAGGGCAAGGTGCCGATGCTGTGCTTCGCCGACACGCCGACCGGTGCGTTTTCGTCGCCTCACTCGTTTCGAGGGAACCGCAACTGACCTTCCTCCTGCCTCCTTCAGGCGTCAACTCCCGCTACTCGACCCAGTTTCCCGCCGGCGTCACCACCATCGCGACCTGGTCTCGGGACCTAATCTCCCGCCGTGCCGACGCGATGGGCCACGAGTTCTCGCTCGTTGGAGCTCACATCCCCATGGCAATTGTTGCGGGCCCGATGGGACGCTCCGTCTTCGACGGCAGGACCTGGGAAGGGTTCGGAGTCGATCCGTACATGTCGGGCATTGCGACTGGCCTCAGCGTCGAGGCCTTCCAGAAAAACGGCGTGAGCGGAATGATCAAGCACTACTTTGGCAGTACGTTCGCTTTCTTCTCTTCCTCACGGGATCTCGCTGATGATTGGCACGTACAGACGAGCAAGAGTACCTCCGCATCGGCGTCGCAGGCGGCTACTTCCCTTCGAACAAGGACACCACCATCAATTCGGTCATCGACGACGCTACGGTTCACGAGACGTACCTCTGGCCGTTCGCTGAGGGTGTGAGGGCTGGCGCTGGCCACATCATGTCGAGTTACAACAAACTCAACGGCACGCTTGCCAGCGAGTCGCGCCATGCGCTCATCGACCTTCTGAAAGTCGAGCTCAACGCGCACAGCGCTGTCGTCTCCGACTGGGGTGCCGCCTACGACACCGTCGAGGCCGCCAAGAACGGGCTCGACTTCGTCGAAGGAGGCGGTCCGACCTCGAATATCTTTGGCGCTGCTCTCGGCGCGTACATCAAGAACGGCACCTTGCCGAAGGACATCATCGACGACAAGATCGTCCGTATGCTCACTCCTTACTTCGCCCTCGACCAGAAGACGCTTCCGTCCGTTAACATCCAGCGCAAGATCCTGAACAAGAAGTCGACCCAGGTCGTGCTCGACATTGCCGAGGAGTCGATCACGCTTCTCAAGAACGCTCGCACGGAGAAGGACAAGCGTGGTCTGCCGCTCGAGAAGCCTACCGACATCCTCGGTGCGTTCCGCTCGTCCCCTCGTCCATCCTTGACGCGCTGCTCGTCCCTTTCACTCACCTGTACGCGCTGCTGACCTCTTTTCACGTACAGTTGTTGGACCGCAGGCGGTCCCGGGCCCGTACGGCATCACGAGCAACTTGTGCGTTTCCGTCCAGCTTCCCTCAGTTCTCTTCCGCAATCTGACAAGTTCGCTCCCACAGCGCCTCCGCCTTCTTCGCTCTGCCGACCAACGACTACAACGGCACGATCACGAATGGCCTGGGATCCGGCGGCTCGCCCGCTCCTTACGTTGTCGACCCGCTTACCGCCATCTCCCAGCGAGCTCGCAAGCAGGACCCGCCCACTTACGTCGACTGGTACTACTCGAGGTAAGGTTTTGCGTCAGCTCTTCGACAGCGACACCGCATTGACGCCTCACTCGCCTCGCAGCGACACCTCCGCCGGCATCGACCTCGGTTTCGGGTTCGCGACCAAGTTCCTCGACGCAAAGATCTCGAGCTCCGGCCAGGTCGTCATCTTCGCCAGCACGATGGCCATGGAAGGCTACGACCGCGATGCGAGTCTCAAGGTGCGTCGTCGTTTCCCCTGCGCTTTTACTTTTCTCCCACGCTGACAGGAAGGCTCGCAGCTCTCGAACGGCGCCGACGAGATGATCAAGTACATCGCGGCCCGCCACAAGGACGTCATCATCGTCGTCAGCGCGCCCGGACCCGTCGCGATGGACTGGGCTTCGCACGCCAACATCACCGCCATCCTCTACACCTACTTCCCGACCACCGAAGCTGGCACCGCCATCGCGTCGGTCCTCTTCGGCGATGTCAGTCCGAGCGGCAAGCTGCCCTTCACGCTCGCCAAGAAGGTTTCGGACTACCCTGTCAACAAATACGACGGTCCGATCAAGTCGAACCCGGTCGCCAAATTCAGCGAGGGCGTCTTCCTCGACTACAAGGTGCGCCCTTCCGTGCGAACGAGCTTGGCAATACTGACGAACCTTGCCTGCAGCACTTCGAGCAGAAGGGCATCAAACCTCTCTACCCCTACGGCTTCGGAATGACCTACACCTCGTAAGTGCAGTTCCCTGATCCAAGCAACTCCTGCTCACGTTCTGCCTCTACACAGCTTCTCCCTTTCCGACCTCGCCATCTCTCGCACGCCCAAGCACCGCAAGGCTGCCGTCCGCGAGACGAACGAGCGCCTCTTCGTCGAGGGCAAGGCTGTCTCGGGCCTGTACGACGTCGTCTACACCGCTCGCGTCAAGGTACACAACACGGGCAAGGTCGCAGGTGCCGAGGTTCCGCAGGTTCGTCTCGCTTTTCTCGCCGACAAGGCATCACAGCGTTGACGCCCTTTTTCGCAGCTCTACCTCACCTTCCCCTTGTCGACGCCTCGCAAGATGCCCGCTCACTCGCTCCGCGGCTTCGACAAGGTGCACCTCAAGCCGGGCCACTCGGCGACCGTCACCTTCGAGCTCCGCAACAAGGACCTCGCCGTCTGGGACGTCAAGCGCCAAGGCTGGACGATCCCGAAGGGCACGTACAAGGTCAGCGTCGGCACCGACAGCTCGACGCTCCCGCTCAGCAAGACGTTCGTGTACTAGCCGGTTGAAAGTCGCCCCCCTCCCTTTCTCTCTCCTGTTTCCCTTATCTCGGATTCGTAAGACGACCACGTATATGCCCTTGACGGGCTTGTCAGGTGCACGTAATAAAGTGTTGCCGCCATCCTTGACGTCTTTTCTCGTTGTAAGCTCGCGTCTTCGACTCGCACAACCTGCTCATCCCTCAGTCAAGCGAAAGGCAGTGAATGGGATGAATGCTTTACGACAACAGATAAATAGCCGGATACGATACGTTCTACACCTGCTCGTGTTGTCGCTCTCGGCCAAAGCGAGTGTCCCGATCTCGCTCGTCCGGCTCGTCCTCCTCGATCTCGACCGTTGTATGCACCATAACGCTTACCGTACCTGCTTACGAACGAGGTCAGCGAGCGCACGCAAGACGAAGCGAGGGAACCGCACCTGTTCGAGAGATCTGCGGCTTGACTCGCTCGAATGCCTCGCAGTCGAGCGCGACGTCGTAAAAGCTGACCTCTCCGCCGAGCTTCGAGCCTCTTCGAAGCGCTCGCATGTCCGCTGTATACGCGGAAGAAAGCGAGCAAAGAGGGTAAGCGTGATCAGCTTGAGAGACGAGAGGACGAAGCGCGACAGCCGACGCACGCTCTTCGATCTCGACGACCTTCGGTCCCATCGACACTCTGTCCGCACGCCATTCGCTCGGATCGTCCGTCCGTATCGACTCCTTGCGCTCCCTCACGCTCCGCACTACGACGCCACCTCCATACCCGCCTTCCTCGTACCGAGATCTGCCGCGCAAGGTTTGCCGCTGGTGGAGGGCAAAGATGCATGATGCGGCCGCGAGTTGCGGATATATGTTGAAGAAGAAGGCGGAAATCATGTAGTTCGCCGGATCGTGGACGAAGCAGGCGGCGATCGCTCCGCCGAGCGAGGTGAAAGCGATAAGGGCGCTTGTCATCAAGGCGCCGCGGAAGATCTCGATCAACGAGTCTTGCGAGCTGTGGAGAATGGGTAGGTAAGCATTCGAGAGACAGGACTAGAGAAGAAAGCGAGCGAACCGGTATTCGCGTTTTCGCTGCTCATACAGGCGGTAACCGAGGATGCAGGACGTGTAGCCGGCGAAGGCGAGGTTGCACCACCCTCCAATGAGATCCATGATGCGAGCAGGAAGCCCGTATCGGAAGTCGTGATACTTGGAGAGGAGGAAGAGGCAGAAAGCGGTGGCGAAGGGCGCAGAGGTGATGAAGTACAGAACCCAGACGATAGGCTTTAGTCGACGGTCTTGCACTATCTGGAAGAGCGGAGGGTCAGCTAGTTGCTTGGAGTATCAGCGCGAGCGGAGCGCACCATCCAGACTCGCAGGACGAAGAACGCTTCCGCCAGCATGCCCGAGCTCCAGAGCGTGAACTTCGACACGATCTGCATGCCTAAGTGAGTCAGCTTCATTCCACTCGACACAGAAAAGGGAGACGGCTTACGCACATAGATGTAGTCGAGCGTGTCTCGCGAGTACCCTCCTGACTGTAGATCCCGCAGTCCGACACCCGCAGCGGCCGCGAACAGCCCGAGATCCGCTCCACAGCAGAACACCATGTACGGCACCGCTAGTCGCCAGAACCAGGTGTCGTGCCGCCAGGCCCTCTTCCAGTAGTGCCGCGCTTCTCGGAGAACGAGGTCCTGGTGCGGGTGATGGTCAGTCGAAAGCGTCGGGAGGGAGAGTTGGCGGATGCGTCACTCACGAACAAGAAGCAGGCGACAGCCAGGGAGGCGACGTTGACCTCCGTAAGGCGGAGGATCAGTCGTGAGGGCACGGCCGCATCAGCCGGAAAGAATGTGGAGAGGCCGATGCTGCTCATGAACAGCCAGTCTCAATCAGAGCAGACAAGCGGGAGCATGCAGAGGAGGAGAGGGAGACCCAGTGAGGGCAGGATCGCTCGGGGACGTGAAGCGACAAGCGAATCGCAAGTCCAGCCATTCGTGTTCCGCAGTCGAAGCATATCGGGCTGCCCTCCTAGCTTCGCCTCCAAATTAAAGCTGGGGCGACATGCGTTCGAGAAGAGATGCCATTCGACGGAAAGGGCAGGGGAGGCTGGCTGGACGAGGAGAGCCGAAGGGAGGTGCGGGTCTGTCGCCTCTGCTTCGCCTGCCGTGACCGCTATGCTTCTCCTGCGACCTGCTTGAGCCCATGCTCTGCCCAGTGATTTGTTTGGACGCCGCTGCGTGCCGGTTGAACCTCGAGCTGATGAGAATGGACGAGGCGGTAGTTCGCTACGACAAGCGGTGTTGGGAGGGTGCTGGTTGGTTCTCGGGGGTCTTAGAGATGAGTTACAGCAGGCAGTCTGTCTCTGTTCATAGCAGCTGCTGGACGAGGGCATGGCGGGACGTCGACCTGCTCGTCCGCCTCCCGCTCCGTCTCTTCCTCGCCTCGACACCCTTTCTTCGTTGCCTGCGGGTTGAGACCGCTTCCACTCATTCCCTGCGGTGCTGAGGACTCGGGCAATCCGCTTGCTTCAGCGGGCGACGCCGTGATTCCGCCGCTTCACGGCGACGGTGCAATACGGCCGGCTTATGACTGTTCGAGCGCCGACGAAGCTTGCTACAATGGTCATTGAAGGTGAATTTACGCGGTGTAAGCTCGCTTGGGCCGCGAGCGACGTCCTCCAGCTCGGCTCCTGTCCTCGCTCGCTCCTCCCTTCCTCTCTTTTCCCTCTTCTCTTCTCCTCAGGCTCACACTCCCCCGAGACTCGCTCACAGTCATTTATACGTCATGGCCCGCTTCGCTCTCACCGCCGCCGCAATCCTTTCGCTCGCCTCGCTCGCAGCCGCGCAAGACCTTCGCGTCAACACCCCCTCCCAGATCTACTCGTGCCAGCCCGCCGCCTTCACCTACACCTGCCCCAACACTCCCTGCACCATCGTCGCTCGCCCATCGAAGGACCAGTCTTCGATCCTCGAGAACTTGGGCGACGTCTCGGACAAGTCAGGAAGCGTGTCCTGGAAGCCGGTCGACGTCGCTGAGGGCACGAGTGTTACGCTGTGGATTACCGACGCGAACGGCAACACCATCTCGTCTGCCGCCATCACTGTCGCGCAGGGAACGAGCACCTCTTGGTGAGCCATTCTTCCCCTCGCCAGGCGAGCTGTCCTGACCCATTTCATTCACGAAGCTTGTCCGGTTCGTCTGGCTCGTCCGGCTCGTCGGACTCGTCGGCTTCGTCTGGTGCATCGGGCTCGTCGCATGCGTCGGCGGCCACCAAGGCAGCGTCCACATCGGCCTCGAGCATGATCAAGTCCGCTGCGTCGGCTGCTTCGCAGACTGCCTCGCAGGCCGGCGCTGCCGCCGCGTCGATTAGTGGATCTGCTAACTCGACCAACAGCAGTCCTTCCGCTTCGTGAGATCGCAAACTCTTCTTTCTTGCTGGAGAGTTCGCTAAACGAGATCCTTGAACAGGGCTTCTGCCGGCTCGGGCGCTGGCAGCGGAGCAGGCATCAACGCCGTCGTCAAGACCTCGTGCCGTCTCTTTCCTTCCAATTCTAAGTGCCACGAAACTGACCTGTTCCCGCGCAGCCTCCTCGCAGTGGTCCTCGTCGGCTCTGCCGCGATCCTCGCCTAGACGAACGCTTTCACCCCTTATCCCCTACGCCGTCTCTTCCTCATAGACAGTCACACTCCTTTGGTACCTGCCTGCAAGTGCACGTTGTTATTGCTGGCAATCTTTCCTCGATGAGCCTCCCACGCTATCTCTCGCTCGGACAGGGCTTCTTCGCGGTGCCAAGCTGTCAAGCGTTTCAAGCACTCGCCTCGACCTCCTCGCCTCCTCGTCGCTCGCCTCCTCCCTCGGCCATCCGTCGCGCGAGGGCCTGCAGCATGGCCGGCGAGTCCTTGTACTCGGCGCCGCGGATGCGGAGGTTGTACGAGGCTGCAGAAACAAGATGATCAGCCTTGGCGAGCCGAGTGAAGAAGGGAGAGAGAAGCGAGACGGCGAACGCACCGTTCTCGATCTTGCCAAGCGACTGGTCAAGCACCTGCAGCTTCTTCGGCAGCCAATACGCGTACGGCGCAAGCGGATCCATCTCTGAAAGCGAATGCGCGTAAGTGGGCAGTTCAGCAACGACGGAGGGCGAAAGAATGGCGACTGACCGCCCTTGATCTCCCTGACCAGCCTTCCGATCTTGTCAATGCTGGCAAAGTCGCCTCCTCCGTCACCTCCGGCGAGCGAGTCACTCAGGTTCTTCCCGACGGAAGCGATCGCCAACCGCATCAACTCGCCCGTCAGGTCTGCCACGCCGCCGAGGTAGTCGTCAATCGTGACGCGGAAGTAGGGTGCGGCTTCGACGGGCTGATCGGTAGCGGCGGTGTCTGAGAGTTCGTTGGTAGGAGCGGAAGTGGGAACGGAGGCGGATGCGGCAGGTTGAGGTGTTGGCGGAACGAGCGAAGCCTGCGCTTCTTCGAGAGTCGGCAAGGAGTGGTGCTGGAGGTAGTAGTAGAAGGTGAAGCCCTCGAGCTGCGAGACGGACGAAGTCAACGAAGTTCAGACGAACGGACAGGAAAGAGCAGCGCACGTATTCCTGGATGCCGGGGCTGACGCTCCGCTGGTACCTGCGGAAGCGAGCTCGTCAGCTTGATAGATTTCTCAAGGAGACAGACACCCGCAGTGTACCTCCAGAAGTCTGCGCCCTGCACCTCGCCCTGCAACTTCTCGAACAACACCCTCAGATCCGCCATCTTGCCCTCGACCTCCTTGAACACCTGCTTCCTGCTTCTCCCGCCTCCGATTCGATGCAGGGCAAAGATGAGCTGCTTCGAGAGCGCTGTAACGTCGCGCGAGAGCTTGACGATCCGTTCTCGCTGGGCGTAATGGGCGTCGAGTTCGGTGCGGAAGCCGTGGAAGGCGTCGAGGAGAGCGTCGGCGCGGGAGAGCTGAGCACCTGCTGCAGTGACGTCCATTGGCGGGTGTTCTTGACGGTGGAAGGAAGGAAGAGGGTTGCGCAGGAGTGGAGGAGGAGGGCGAGGGTAGGCGGGATCTGTGGGCGAAGCAGCGAGCGTGATGCGCGTCCTTCTGCAGGTGTTTGAGCGGTCAGACCAGTGCTTCTCGTGCCTCGCAAAAGCGCGGGAAGCGAGAAAGACCCACTCACTGATGAAGATCGCGAGGGCTGGCACGCGCTCTAGCTGGCTTGTGGTGCCTGTAAACGCTGATTGACGGGTTGTAGATACTGTTCAGGGCGATCGGACGGGCAGCGATGCGCTGTGTGGTGCGGTTGTGACCGGTTCACTTCGAGGAGGGAGACGGAAGCGATGAAGCCTTTGCCAAACGTGTAGCTCGCTGCGGGTCGTCTGCGAAGCACAAGAAAGCTGCGGTGTACGGCTGCAAGAGCTTGGCAAGCGTCACAACCGACGAGCAGTGGGCGGCCGAAGAGAGACCGCCGTCAAGCCTGTCCGCAAGGTCTTTCCGCCAGCATCTCGCGCTCTACGGTCAGTGCGGCCGTATGGATCGCGAGAGTACATGGCAACACAGCTGAAAACCGTACAAAGAACCGGAAAGAGCGAGAGGACGCTACAAAAGACCCGCCTCAGAAAACGCCCCACCAGTACTTTTCCACCCAGTAGACTCGCACACGCCAGTCACAGCCGAATCCGAACCGCGTCTCGAAATGAATCTTGAGTCGGTCCCGCGTGCGGGTTTCGACGTAGCCATCGCCTGCACGTCGCACGCCGATCAGCTATACCTTGTGTCGAGAATGAATCGCACGCACCGTTCGCGGTATCGTACCAATACGCCTCGATCTCGAACCCGACAAAGGTCTGGCCGCCGCCGGTTGGGACGTCGATTTCGGTCCAACGTTGCATCTTGCCCGTCATCAAGTCCCACGGTTTCGGGGCGTCGAGCGTCACGTTGAAGTCGTTATGGTGCATCTTTGGCTCGACGCCGGGCGGAAAGTGCTCTTCGGACGTAAGGCCCCAAGCGAAGTGTTTCCCGTCCCGCGAGCGAAAGTCGAAGGCGTGGTTGTGTTGGAAAGGGTCGGCGCTGGATAGAGACGCATCAGCATAGTCCACATGTGAGCCGAGACGGCGAGCCGATGGTGCGGGGCGCACTTATTGGGTTCCGTCGTCCATGAGGGATAGTCATTCTCGTACCGGTCAAGCACCGAGAGAAGCCACTCTTTGCGTTGCTCGAAGTCCATCACGAGTGCGCTGAGAGCGAGCGGTGAGGCCGTCGGTTGAAGAGCTGGTGTAGAGGAAGTCGGACGAGAGGCAAGACCAGTGTCGGCCGCGACACAAAGCGAAGTGAGTGAAGAGAGGGAGAAAGGGAGAGAGGGAGATAGAGAGGGGGAGAGGGAGAGAGGGAGAGAGAGGGGGAGAGGGAGAGCATCGTACTGTAGCAACTGGGAAGCGGGGCGAGCGCGAAGCAAAGCGGACGTCCGGCGGGGAAGTACGGCGGAAGGTTGAGAGCGTCGAGGTGCTCTGGCGATCTTGAGCAGTCACGTGCGGCGAAACGGGCGAGACAAGGCATGAAAGAGAATGCATTGTCTGTGTACGCACTGTAGAGTGACGCTCTACCGTCCTCGCGAAGGTGGTGGCGGTGGGGGAGGCAGCATGAAGCCGCCGAGTCCACCGCCCGCACCGTTCGCCGGCTTGTCCGCCTTCTTCTTTGTTGACATGCCGCCAAGCTTGATTGAGATTGTCTCGCCAGCTTTGAGCGAGAAGTCGCGAGAGGGCTGGGCGGGAGCCGAGGGCGTGGAGGAAGATGAGGATGAGGAGGAAGGAGCGTCGGGCACGAGTTTGGGCGGCGTCTGCCGCTTGGTCCAGTCTTGCAAGCTGTGATTGCGAGAAAAAGGACGACGAGCAGTTGTCAGCGGGTCGAAGCGTAAGTTCAGCGACGCGCATATTCGCGTAACGCGTCAAGAGGGGTGAGCGGAGCACCGCAGACGCACGCGACGTTGAAGTCGAAGCTCTCCGTTCGCTCCGGGAAGCCCATTCCGATGTACGCCTTCTGACCCGAGCCAGCGTCGATGACGGTCAAGACGAAGTAGCGCGACGAGTCGAGGACGGCTTCGCATCCGCCGTTCGGGTTCTGTTTTGTCGGCTTGTAGGGCGCTTGGGCGAAGAGCTCGCCTGTTCGAGGACCGAGTGACTGTGTAAGCATGTGTTGATTCAAGACAGTGGCCGTCAGGCGGAACTGACCGGAATCCTTATCCTCGAGGTTGATGAAGCACTTTGTCGGCACTTCTGAACCTTTCTCGATGACTCGCAAGCGACCTCGCCACATAGGCTCCGTCCTGTGTACGAAAAAGATGAGCATGCGGGCTGCATTGCGTCTTCCAACGCAGGCCGGGCCTGCGGGTGTGCGAAGCGGGGTCGCGCGGTCCTCTTGACCGGCCGAGCAACGCCTGCCAGCGACACCGCAGCAACAAGGAGGCAGGAGACCCACATCTCGCCCCATTCTGCAGCCCTGTAACCCGCATTACTCGTTCGAGGCGGGATCTGTGGAGGAGAGTGCGATGTCAAGCGATGTCCTCGAGAGCCGGAACAATGCTCGTCCGCCTCGTCCACCCAGCCAAGGTCACCAGCACGAATCAAAAGTGCAGTCAGTCCAGCCACTTCTGCCACGCTGACGATGCCAAGAGCAATCCGCACGGCCCTCGAGGTTTGACCCTCCTGAAGAACGAGACGAAGAAACTCAGACTCGAACGCACCTGATAGACGTAGACATCCCGAGAAATGAACAGAGCCGATTCGTAGTCCTCCATGGCGAGCTGTCGGCGTACACGAGTCGTCGGCAAGAGGAGGGGTGGTCGGGTGGGAACGAGCGACGACTCGTCAGCGGTGCACTCCCGCTGCCGTAGAAAGCCCGAACAAGCTCAGACGTACCTGTGAAACCTTTCCCAGCTCAATCAGACGCGGTGTGGACGGTGAAAGGCGTGTCGCTGATGAGAAGTGGGGAGGGTGCGAGAGGCGGCGAGTGAAGGCGGCGAGGAGCGCTTGTCGTGCTGGCGATTGTCGTGGCTCCCTAGCAGGTCTGTCTGGCAGCGATACAGCTCTTCAAGCGCGTGCAGCTGTCGTCGTCGGGGGACAAGGGCGCGTCTCCATTGTTCGCCTCATCGCTTCGAGTTGCCTCCGCCTCTCACAGCTCGAGAGGAATCGCTGGACTGCCAAAGCTGTCTAAACGAGGTCTATCTGAGATACCCGACTGCTCCCATACCCGCTCACACCGTCACTCCCCGTCTCCCTCTCACCCTTCGCGAGGATCGGCCAGCATGGCCAGCTTCTCGCCAAACACCCTGTTCGACCCAGACGAGCGCCTCGACTGTGCACGGTATTTCCTGGACAAGGCTGCGCATGGTGGACAGGCAGAGTTGCAGGAGTTGGCGGCTTTCCTCCTCCTCCTGGAGGTCGTCGCCTGGCTTCAAGTGCAGACAGTGGCAGGGGGGCGACTGCTGGGCGGTGAAGGGGAGCAGGAAACGGAGAAGGAGACAGACAAACGCGCCGCGGGTGGCCTGGCCACGGGTCAGGACGTGGAGGGCGTACGAACGGCGTTAGGAGGCACGAACGAGGGAGGCGTGAGCGGGTCTGCAGGAGCTGACGCAACGTCTGCTGAATGGAAGACTCGGACAAAGTACCTGACCGCCGTTGTACGTCCCGCTCGCCTCTTCAGACGGTCACAGGGGTTGACTTGTTCGTCCGCAGTACCTGGGCCAGCCTCAGTCCGCGGAATCCCCTGTACTTCAGCCACCGCTAGCGCCACCGTCGAACTCTGGAGCACTCCTGCACGACGTCTGCTCCTGCGCACGGCCGGCGCGGGAGTCGCTCCTCTCGCTCGTTGACGTCGGCCTCGATTCCCTCAACACGTCCACTCTCCCACAACCGTCTGCCTCGCCCCCCTCCTCTCAGCTAGCGGCCAACGTGCTTGTGAACCGGCTCCCCTCTTCGACTCTTCCTCCGCCCCTCCCCTCGTCGACCATGTCCAGCCTCACCGGCTCCCTCACCTCGCCCGCTATTAAACGTTCCGACGCGTCACGTCGTACGCTCTCGACCATCCTCGGCCACTACGTCTCTTCCAAGTCCTTCGGGGTGCACGACGTAGTCGAGGAAGGGAAAGTCTGGTACGCGCAAGACTCGCAGGACGACGAGCGCATCAAGCGGATCTACCCTTCCTCCGGCGCAGCTACATCGTCCGTCAGTGCCGTCGCTTCAGACGCGTCAGAGGACGAAGACGCCGATACTCGCAGCATCGCAACCGGCATTCGCGAGGCGCAAGAGTCGATCGCGAGGAAGGACAAGAAGCTCGAGTGGCTGTTGGGCAACAACTTTCAGAAGGGCTGCAACCGGTCCGACCCGCCGGCGTCGACGTCCACTCCGAAACGCTGGAGGAGCACCACGACACCGACCTCGTCGTTCGGATTGTCCAGCTCGTCGACCATCCGAGGCGACCCAGCCCCGATCGCACCGCCCGTCAGCCGCACGAGGGAGACGTCGTACGAGTCGGCGGGTTCGAACGACGCGACTTCTCGTCACAGCCGGATGGTCTCTAGGTCATCGACTGCCCCGCTGCTCGCTCGCCGCTCGAAGGACACGCTCGAGCCCGCCCTCGAGCCGGCCATCGAGGGCGAGCCGATGCTCGCAGATGCTGTCGCGGACGTCAAGATCACCGACGACTCCGAGAAACCCTTCGCCGATCTCGCACCTGCTCTGCCTCACTCTGCTTCGAGCAACCGGCCTCCCCTCTCGCCTCGCCGTTCTTCGCTCGACTCGTCGCTCGACCAGCACCTCGGCACGGTCCCTGAACGATCTCGCCGCGCTGCGCCGCCTCCTCCGCTGAACAAGAACGCGTTGAGCGCCAACCAGAAGCGCGAACTCGTCAGGCGGAGCAAGAAGCTCGAGGGGTTCTTCGGCGCTAGCTTCCACGAGGATGCGGCGAGGAAGGTGCTGGTGGAGGCACGTACGTCGACGAGCGGCCAGTCTGAGGTTAGCCCGACGACCGCGACCTTCGCACGTCAGGAGTTTGCGAACTCTGCACAAGGCGGGCGCCGGGATTCGCTCGCTCCGCCAACTGCCGGTTGGGCTGGACCCACGCCCGGCTACTCCTTCGGCGCGTACCGCCGACCCTCGCTCCTCTCGAACTCGTCCTCGCACTCGTCGATCCACCTCGCAGCTTCAGCACGAGGCTCGACCGGTTCGGCCTCGCCTCTCGCCTCGCCCCGCTCGCCAACCTTCCCGACCGCTCCTCGGATGCAGCGATCGTCCTCCTCGCCCTCTCGCCGCTCATCCTCCTTCTCGTCAATGACCTCGCCCGAATACGCCTACTTCTCTGCCGAGCCTCGCAGGCCGAGCACGCTCGAGCGCGAAGAGCAGCAGCGCTTGAGGGAGGAACGCAGGAAGAAGCTGGAGAAGGTGACGCGCTTGCTGGGCGAGCGAGTACCGGCGCAGCTTGTGGTCGGCAAGCAACAGGGCGCTCTGGAGGCGTCCAAGACTGAGATTGGAGGTGCGACGATGACGAGGTCAAGGAGCAAAGGCGGCATGGGAGGCAGGCTCAAGGGCAGGCTTGGCTTCGGTGGACATCATGGGCACGCTTCGTCCGACAAACCAGGCGAGGGCGGGAACGTTGGCTGGGACTATGTTCAGCCGCAATGGACGGCGCCGACGGACCAGGTCGATGGCGGGGACACGGTTCGGACGGCAGGATCGGCTGTCGATGCCCTCACCAAGGCGAGGAAGCTTGAAAATGTGCGCTGACAACTTCTTGCGTCGCTCCATAAGCTCAACTGACCCCCTTCCGACCGGACAGCTCTTCGGCGACCTCCCGCCGCCTTCGCTTTACCTTGCTCCTGCGCCTCCAACCTCCTCCTCGCACCCTCATCGACCCCTTCACACCTTCCGACACCGGCGCTCAGTCTCCGACATCACTGCTTCATACTCGCCGTTCTCGCCCCATGCGACCGCGGGCGGCTGGGCGCCCAAGCCTCCGCCCAATGCTCCTCTCTCTCGTGCTCAGACCCGCAGTACAGTCAACTCGCTCCGTCAGAGCATTGCCTCGCTATCTTACGCCATGGAACGCGATCCTGCCGCCCTGGACGAGGTCGTGCGCGCCTACGCTTCTTCGTCTGAGGACGACTTGTCGACGCCCCATGCCGCCCTGTTCGACCCTTCCCTTTCGGGGGACGAGGCCGAATCGTTCCATACCCAGGACGCCCCCGTCATGACGCGATCTGCCTCAGCACAGAGCCACCGCGCCGTTAAGCAGGCGCACAAGCTCTCACACTTTTTCGGCACGACGCGCGGCGAAGTTTGGCGGATGTTGCTGGACGACATCCAGGCGTCGGTTCTCGAGGACGAGACTGTCGACGAGGACGAGCGCGCCGAGCTGGTGTCTAACCTCGACCGCCTGCGCGAGAAGGTGTGAGGAGGCGACATCCCGTTCGGTTTCGCCTCGTTCGTTCCCTTCCGACTCCGCCCCGTCCGCCGTTTCGTCCCTCTATCCCTCCACCACTACATACACCTCCCACCGTTCAGCAATACCCTCGCACCCCTGCAAGTCACCCTTTCTGGCTCAGCTGTACCAAGTCCTGTCCGTCTGACAATCGCAACCGCTTGTTTCGGCTTCCGGTCGTCGTGGCAGTGACGAGCGTATGGACACAAGTGCTTTGAGCGAGCTTTCTCAGCCTCATCGAGCTGTTTCGCTGACCTCCCCACTTCCACTTGCTGGTCCGCGAGATGGTTCGACCTCGTCTCCTCACGCATCGCTCTTCGTACGGTACAGCTACACGCTCAAAGGCACTCTATACTCCTACTCGACGAGCACAGAACCTTCAGACCAGCCCGCACGCCCTTGTCGCCGTTCCACAGCTCTCATCGCTCACCCAACTCCGACCGAATCCTCCCTTGCATTCTCGTCTCGCCAAGCCCGGGGAACGACTGCACAGCATCTCGGACACATGCCTGCCACGCTCAAGGTCCAGCAGCCGCCCGTCTATCGCCCGCCCGCCTGGGTTGCGGTCTGGTTCGTTGTGTCGACTCTGCTTGTTGCGTGGGACACGGGCTACGTCCTCCTTCGGTACGTGCAAGTTCCTGTTGACTGTGAGAACACGGTGCTCAGGCTGCAGGGGATGCGAGGGAGGCGCAAATTGCTAACCCCTCGTCCGCCTTTCTCCTCGCAGACCTCGGACGATGCCAGGCGGCGACCTCTTCTGGTTCTGGAAGCCGTACGAGCTGTACGCCAAGACGGATCTCGTCTGTAAGTCTAGGCGAGCCGAGCCGACCTGACGGCGCGCTGACTTTGGGTTCCTTGCAGATGGATTGAAGGCGTTTGAGACCAGGGAGGGCTTCACCAGCGCGCAGTGTGAGACTTCACATGGCTGTGTAAGTAGTACTTTCGGACTGACGCTTTTGAGGCCGTCTTTGTTGCGCAGCAATCATGAACATCGCCGAGTCGGCGCTCAACATTCTCTACTTGCTCCTCTCGGCGCGAGAAAGCCCTGTCGCCGTCCTCGTGGGCTTTACGGCGACGGTCATGACGGCATCGAAGACGGTGTTGTACTGGCTCGTCGACCAGGTGCGTTTGGCTCACCCGCCAGACTTCCACTTCTCCGTCTTTCCCCTTGACTGACCGCATTCCTCCAATCCGCAGCAATCTGGATGGGGCAGCACGTAAGTCACTTCTACACCTCCTACGTTCAAATGAGCTAACCTCGTCCGCCAACAGCGGCCACAACACTCCGCGCGACTGGCTCGTCCTTTACGCCATTCCGAACGGCGCCTGGATCGTCTTCCCGTGCGTCGCTCTCTTCTACACGCTCGGTCAAGTTCACTTACCGCTCGGACTGCCGCAGAACTCTCCTTGCCGTCATGTTCTACCAGCAAATCGCGCGCAGTCTCCGAGTCGCGGCAAAGACCAAGACGCTGTAGAGGAGTTCCGCAGTGTACCCGGCAGTTTTGCTATGTCTCCTTCGACTTGCGCAACGCTGAAAAAGCAAAACGAGCGAGCGAGCGGACATGTCAACCTCGACGAGTCCTTGACCTTCGACGCTTGCGACGCTCTTTGTCAGCTCGACTCGGCTTGACCGCTTGCGAGACAGTTTCCTCTGCTCTCCTTGCTGCCCTCGCACCTGCCACTCGCCCGCACGCCTTCCCACGCCCGCCCTTCGACGCCCCGTCCGCCCCACACACCTCTCAGCGTCAAGTACCCATCGCACGCACAGACGGGCTCGCCGCGCTTATAGACAGATCCAAAGCTCCCTCACTACCCAGCATGGTCCTTCTCACAGTCGCAACGGAAGACGGGGCGACGTTCTCGGTCGATGTGGGACTTGACATGGAGCTGGAGAATCTGATGGCGCTGCTCGAGGCGGATGTGAGTAGTCGGGACTGTTCTTCCGTACTCAGAGGTAACGCTGACGCTCTGTCTGCCACTCAGTCGAGCATCCCGGTCGATGACCAGCTCGTCTTCCACAATGGCCGACAATTGACTGGACTGAAGGACTCGCTTGACGTGCGTGCCATTCTTCTGGGCGCCAAAGTTGACGGCTAACTTGAAGCTCGAGTGGCGCAGTCGTACGGCGTCAAAGAGAACGACATGCTCCTGCTGCGGCAGAAGAGCAATGATCCTGCTTCGAGTCAGCAAGCGCATGTGGCTGGACGGTACGCTCTCCTCTACCTACAGCATAAAGCCACGTCTCACGTCCTCAATTGGTCCGCAGGAATATTGCTCAGGATGCAGAAACTATGAGGCGGCAGGTCTTGGGCAACCCGCAGGTCATGGCAGACTTGCGCAGGGTGCGTCGCGCTGGCGCATGTCATATAAAACCTACTGACGTACGCGTTGTCTTGCAGACGAACCCGGAGCTTGCCGATGCAGCGCAGAACGACCCAGCCCGTTTCCGCGACCTCCTCGGCCAGCTTGCGGCGATGCAAGAGTCCGCCCGTCTCCAACGCGAGCGCGAGATGCAGCTGCTCGAAGCGGACCCGTTCGACGTCGAGGCGCAGAAGAAGATCGAGGAGGCGATCAGGCAGGAGCGCGTGCTGGAAAACATGGAGCAAGCGATGGAGGACATGCCCGAGTCGTGCGTTTCCTCTCGATCTCTGCGCAATGTGCATGTCCTGACGCTGCGATTTGCGGCAGGTTCGGCCAAGTCCACATGCTCTACATCAACGTCGAGGTCAACGGAGTGCCGGTCAAGGCGTTCGTCGACTCGGGCGCGCAAAGGACGATCAGTGAGTCGCTTCCTCGACGCCCCACAATTCCTGAATCCTTGCTGACGACGGGCGCCCTTCAGTGTCGCCGTCGTGCGCGGAACGCTGCGGCATCATGCGCCTGATCGACACTCGCTTCGCGGGCATGGCTCAAGGCGTCGGCACGGGCAAGATCCTGGGACGTGTGCACAGCGCGCAGCTCAAGATGGCCGACCTGTTTCTCCAGTGCAGCTTCACCATCCTCGAGGTGCGTCGCGACTGCTTTCCTTTTCGCGCTCGACCTGCGGAACTGATCATCCCGAGTACGCAGAGCAAGAGCGTCGACTTGCTGTTCGGCCTTGACATGCTCAAGCGCCACCAGTGTTGCATCGACCTGCGGCAGGACGCGCTCGTCATCCAGGACCGCAAGGTTCCCTTCCTCCCCGAACACGAGCTCCCGAAGGGCGAGCTGCAGGAGTACGAGCTTGATGCGTGCGCTTTCCTCGTTCGATGTGTCCATCAACAGTCTCCTGACGTTCCCTTTCTCGCCATAGCAACGGCAACCCCGTTCCGGTCGGAACCGTCGACTCGTCCCTCAGCAACGCCAGCGCCGCTGCCGGTCCTTCGGCACCTTCGACCAGCTCCGCCGCCCCGACAACCGGATCGTCCTTCCCTGGTTCCGGCCGCACCCTCGGCCAGTCTCCCAACGCCTCGCCCGACCCGAAGCGCGTCCGCTCGTCCTCCCCTTCTGCCGCACCCTCTTCGGCCGCTCAGCCAGCATCCTCGACTGGCCTCCCGAACGGCATCACCGAAGAGGCTGTCCAGAGTCTCGTCGGACTCGGCGCGACGCGGGCGCAGGCAATCAGCCTGCTTGAAGCCGCAGGAGGAAACGCAGAAGTCGCGGCGAGCCTGCTCTTCAGCGGGTGATCCAGCCTCGACGTCTTCGCTTGTCTTCTGACTGCCTTTCACGCGCATGTAGCATCTCTACGATACCCTGCCAACTGTCCATTCCATCAGACCGCCTGCGGCCATTCCCAAGAGGCTCGCGATGTGCGGCGACTGTGATCTTGATGGTCTCGGGATCGCCGCGCCTCGCTATTGTGGCCTTGATACGCCGCATCCTGCTCGATACGGCTCTGTCAATACCGCGCGCTGGCATCGACGGGAGGAAGAGCGTCGAGGCCAAGATATGCGCCTGCCGAACGGAGAAGGGGCGATCGCCTCTCGCATCACGTCTCGCTCGATTGTGCGGACCCAGAAGCGGGCCTCGACTGCCCGGCAACGCTGCTTCGCCCCACCGTCACTGCCTCGCGCGGAGCGAGTGCTCCTCTTGCCCGCTTGACCTCCTGTTGTCCTCACGCGCTGCATCCCCGCTTGACTTCTCCCGCTCTGCTGCTTACACGTATCCGCCCACCATGCCGCACGTCAGAATCCCCGGCGACGTGTCGGTCTACTATGAGTTCCACACAGCCTCTGGCGCCCACGATGCGACCAAACCCAGCCTCCTCCTCATCGCTCCGTCCTGGACCAACGCGACGTTCCTCGGGCCGTATGTCGAGGCTTTCAAGCGGGACTTCAGCGTCTGCTGTGTCGAGTTGCGGGGACACGGGCGGACGCGAGGCGGAGTGCGGCCGACATACGACTACTTCTGCGGCGCTGCAGACCTGGGTGCGTTGCGGTTCATCGCCGTGTACGCTCTCGATCCTGCGCTGACCGCACAGCACCTGCGCAGCGTTCACAATGGTGCGCCGCGGGACTGCATCTTGCGGGTCTCCATCTGTTCTGAGAAGCTGACCTTCTTCGTCTGCGTTCGCAACATCGCAGGAAGCGCTCAACCTGCCTCCCTCACACGTTTTCGGCGCAGGAGGGGAAGCCTTCGCAGCCGCATTGAAACTCGCCGTCCTCTTCCCGCGCCAAGTACTCTCCCTCTCGCTCGTCGGCGCAACAGGCCTCTTCCAGCCGCCGCGGAACATCAAGGCGTTCGAGGAAGTGGATGAGCAGTGGTCTAACCCGGACGACGAGGAGGTGTGGCAGAATGAGTGTATGGGCGCGGTCGGGCAGTTCTTGCTGACGAAGGAAGAGGGGTTCGAGGAGGCTTGGGATGCGGTCCTCTCGGCTGTCGTGCGGGTGCGTCTCGTTCGCTCACGTCTCGGCTGAGAAGATACTGATCATGTTGAGAACTGCACAGCTCTACAACCCGTACAAGCCCGAATACATCTGGATGTCCTCGACACCAAACCACCGAGTATGTACCGCTGCCTCTCCTTCGCACGCTCAGAAACAGTACTAACGATCTCGCCACGCGCAGCATCCCCGCCTGACGCCCGATACCCTCGCCAAGCTCCGACAGCCGATCTTGATCTTGCAGGGCGAGCAGGACTTGTGCTTCCCTGTCGAAGATGTGGCGGATACAGTCAAGCACTTTACTGGATCGCAAGGCTTGCAGTTCCACACCGTCCCAGGTGGGCTCAACTCGCTTCGACGCGCCGAGCACCCTCCGCTGACGACGGTTTCGCGCGCGAAAATAGACGGCCCTCACCTCCTCGCCATCACGCACGCTCCCTCGGTCATCAACATGATGCAAGCCTTCCTCCTCAAGCACGTCCGTCCGCCAACCTCCGCCATTCCCTTCGACTTCCGCTCCGCCCTGCAGTCCGCCTCCTCGATCGCCGGCAACCCCGACATCGCGCACCGCGACCCTCGAGCACCCGATGCGTTCTCGTTGCTTGATCAGGAGGAATACGAGGCGGGCGCCAAGAGGTTCGAGAATATGAAGCGGAGAGGGGACAAGTGCAAGTTGGATTTGCCGATGTGCTTTGAGAAGAATGATTGGGAGGAGGGGGCGGCGCAGCAGAGGCGGTGGACGTGCGTCTACTCTCCCTTTGCCGCAAGAAGTCCTCGGTGCTGATCTCACATGTGTGCACAGCTGGTCACGGCGGCGCGAGTACGCCCAGCAGCGACAAGACGTTCGACCGATGTCGGTCCTCTCGCTCGGCGACGGTATTGCAGTCGAAGTCGAGCGGCGAGAGACGACCGGCCGAACAGGTGCGGTCGGGAGCCGAGCGACAGTCGACGCGCGGAGGAGCGACGACGAGGAGGAGGACATCCCTCCGCCTGTCCCGCAGAAGGACTTTGGCGCGCTGCGCATCCGATGAGTGTAGAAACAGCGGCGTGTATCACTGAACCCGAGACTTTGGTCGTCTGGTCGTTGCAGAGAGGGATTCTCCGTTCTCCGCCCTCCTGGCCTTCGCAACGTCGCAACTCGTCGTCCTCGTCGCTGCTTTCGCTCCGCTTTGCGCACTACGAGGACTACAGACTGCTACAGCTTAACCTGTTTGTATTGGCAAGTTGTAAGGGCGTTCTTGGAGACTTGCGATCGAGCCTTGCCCTCGTCTTGCGAGTCTTGTCCGCTCCCTTGGCTGTGCTCGTCGACGTGCTTCGCTGGACTCGCTCGACGCCCTTGCCCTCGTAAACTCGCCCGCCCACCGCTCACCGGCACCGGCGGCCCTTCCAGCGACGCGCTCGCCCTCCGTAACTTCCATCGCTCGATCACAGAGGAATGGCGACCCACTCGTCGTCCTCGTCGTCGACAGACGCGTCGGGCGGACGACGGAGCAGTCACTCGAGGGAACTGCTCGACGAGGCAGCTTACGGTGCGCTGTGCTCGCCGTCTGACCACAGCAACCGGCCCCGCTGACCTTCTTCTCTCGGCTCACTTGGGGGCGGGTTCACCTCACTCGCAGGCGTGCTGAACGGCACAGTCGGCGGCTCGTACGGTCCCTTTCCCGAACACTTTTCGCCGAGACGAAACTCGACCACCCTCGTGCACCGAAACTCGTCCAGCATCGGACTCGACCCGCCCATCCTCCCCTACGCCGCCTCTCCTCCCTTCGAGTCGCCCTCCTCGTCCTCTTCTGCATTCGACTTGTCACCCGTCGCGGCGTCCTCGTCTTCCATACCGCGACTCGCGGGCGTACCCGCATCCAGCTCGACAATCCTCTGGGAAAAGGAGCCGGATGATTTCCTTCACGAGTTCGACCCAGCCCTCGAGCGCATGCTCGACAAGCAACACATGAAGAGCTTCTCCCTACGCGCGGCAATCAACACCCTCGCCCTTTGCGCCGTCGTAGTCGGCATCATCCTCCTATTTGCCGGCTGGCCGATCTACCGCTTCGTCATCGCCGGAGGATTCCCGATGGACATGTCGGTCACGAAGCAGAACGCGTCAGGGATGATCCCTGACGTTCAGGTCCCGACACTCGTTGACCCGGCGACTCCGCACTCGGCGTACAGCCGGAAAGGACTCGATGGAGAGCAGTACCGCTTGGTCTTTTCCGACGAGTTCAACAGGGATGGGAGGACGTTCTGGCCTGGAGACGACCCGTACTGGGAGGCGGTGGACCTTCACTACGTGCGTTTCGCTTCCTCGTCCTCCGCTTCTCCCTTCGTTGCCTCCTTTTCCTCCTCTTCCTCCGGTTTCATTGCGCTGCTTCTTCTGCGGCTCCCAGTGATACTCGTCTGACCCGGTTCGCCACTCGCAGTGGGGCACGAAAGATCTCGAATGGTACGACCCAGACGCGATAACCACCTCGGACGGCAACCTCGTCATCACGCTCACCCAACAACCCTGGAACAACCTCAACTTCCGCTCTGGCATGCTTCAGAGCTGGAACAAGTTTTGCTTCACGGGTGGGTATATGGAGGTGAACCTTTCGTTGCCGGGCGAACCGACTGCTCAAGGGTTCTGGCCTGGGTGCGCTCCTCGTTGCTCCTCTCATTCCTCCTCTCATGCCTTGAATCTGATTCTCGCCTCCATGCACATAGCGTCTGGACCCTCGGCAATCTCGCCCGACCAGGCTACGGCGGCTCAAACGACGGGATGTGGCCCTACTCCTACGACTCTTGCGACGTCGGGACTTTGCCGAACCAGACTTGGCCGAATGGGTCGTCGCCTGATGCGGCGAAGCATTCGGGATCGCAGGATTACGGGGGAGAATTGAGTTGGGTGCGTCGAGTCTTCCTGCCATGTTGCCGCGTTTCTTGGGGTACGACGCTGACCGCTGTCGCTCGCGTAGCTCATCGGCCAACGAGCGTCGGCTTGCACGTGTCCAGCGGACGCCGGCGAGCATCCAGGGCCTTCGGCGGACGTTGGTCGCGGTGCGCCTGAAAGTGCGTAGCTCCTGCGCTTTGTTCCGGCCCCTTTTCCCTAACCTTTCCTCCCGTCCGCCCGTCCTCTCGGCGAGTACAAGCTGACTGTCATCGCTCTTCGTCGCAGTCGATGCGCTTGAAGGCGCCCTCTGGCGAAGTGAGTCTGTCGTCTTTCGACCTGCTCGAAGCCTTCGCCCTCGACTTTTCCGAGTCTCTGCCTACCCGGCTGAACTTCACACGCCGTTTCGAGAGCGTGCTAACCGTGACCTCGCAGCCGGCGACCGAGGCTCCGCCTCGCAGTCGATCCAAATCGCTCCCTTCACGAGCGGGTACAACTGGAAGAACACCTCGCCGGACGTCGAGTTCAATCCGGACTGGACGATCCAGCAGAACCAGTGGCATGGCAGGTGCGTCATCCGCGCCGCGCTCAGTGAGACGCGCGTGCTGATCGAGGGGCATGCGCACAGTGTCTACCAGGAATCGCTCTCGGCGGAGGTCATGACCGACAACACGTCGTTCAGCGGACGAGGCTACACTACCTACGGATTCGAGGTGCGTGTTTTTCTTAGCGGGCGGTCGAAGTCTTCAGCTCGTACGGTTGTCGCCTCGACGATCCACTCCTCTTCTTCCTTGTGCTCTCTCACGCTTCTGGCAGTGACTGACTTACTGCGAGCCCTACAGTATGACCCCGGACCCGACGGCAGCATCCGCTGGGCTATCAACGGCTCTTCGACCTGGACCGTCCACTCTTCCGCCATCGGACCAGACGCAGCGGCTGGAATCGGCCAGCGAATTATCTCTGAGGAACCTATGAGCATCGTCTTGAATTTGGCTATTTCGTTCGCGTTCCAGGAACCGGAATGGTACGTTCGCTCGACCTCCTTGTCCTTCCTGCCCTCGAAGCTGACTTCTCGCCTCTCTCGCAATGCAGGGGCAAGCTCAAGTTTCCGGCGAGTCTACTTATAGACTATGTACGCGTTTATCAGAAGGGCAAGCCCAAGATCGGTTGCGACCCGCCTGACCACCGTGCGTTTCTTCGCCTCTCTCGCCTTTAGAGCGCTCAGGCTGACGACTCGGGTTGGCAGCGACGTCCGAGTACATCAACAACCACCTGGACCTGTATATGAAGTGCGTTCCGCCCCTTGCCCCTCGTTACGCAACGCTCAGCCGTTCTCGAGACTGACAACCCCTCTGTCTCCCCTTCTACAGCCCCAACATCTCCACCTTTGCCCAGTCAAACTACACGAAACCTCGGAACCGCCTCTCTGCGACAGGCTGCTCGTAGAGCGCTAGAAGGTTGTCGGTTTTGTATCACTCCCCGTAGACACTTTTGTCGGAACATGGCTGTTGTGATATCTGAGGCGGTTGGAACGTCGTAGCCGACGAGCTCATGGAGCGAACAGTGCGAATGAGCGAGCGCGGCTGCTGAAAGCAGCGACTGGTGAAGCAATGAGGGAGCGAGAGGGAGGAGCTGCGGGTTAAGGCATGTATGCGAAGATGGCGATGCACGCAAGACGTAGTATTACGGAACAACAACGCGAACGAGAAGCTGCACAACGGAACGAATCAGCTTGAGGATGAGGAGGGACGGCAAAGCGGAACCGAGAGAACGCACCAGACGATGTGCAATGAACGACCCTCCACTCCGCCCAGCGATCCAACAGCTTCTACCGCTTCGACTCGCGCTCCTTCTCCAGCTCGCGCTGCGTCTTCTCGAGGAACTTGCGCAGAGAGTCGTTCTGAGACTCGAGCGACTCGTCCACCCGTGGTCGGTGCGTCTCGCTCGCTGCGTCCTGTTTCAAGTGTGGCGGAGGGTTCTTGCGTTCCCACTCTTCTGCAGGAAGAAGGGCGGCGAGATGTGGCCTGATGGTCAGCGAGGATCGGGGAGGAGAGGAAACGAAACCAACGCACCTGTTGCCTGTAGCAGCGTGTCGTACGCTCCCTGCTGTACCCGTGTCACCGTTCCATGCAGCGAATGGACCGCTCCAACAAAGGCTTTCGACTCGAGCAACTGTCGGCATCGCAGACTGATGAGGACATGTCGGCGACGAGTGAACGCGCGAGACGGAGGCGCACCTTCTTGGTCAGAAAGGCAGCTAGCTGTGCTTTGATCAGCGGGCCCAGCATGCTCCCAGCGAGGATGTGAGCGTGGTAGAGAAGTCGACAACTTGCGTCTCCTCTCTTTCCCTCCTCCACCTCGCTCGAGAATCGCGCTTTGGCTCGATACGGACTCGCTGCCCTTCAGGCGCACTCTATGGCATCGCTGCTACCGTGACCCGGATGCTGCAGACCCGCTCAGCGTGCTTTCGCAGCATCCTCGCTGACTCTCCTCGCGGGCTCGGTCGCTGGTTCGTGGGACGGGGGACGGGCCGGTTCTTGGCCCTCGATCGCGCGATGAGATGAGCCAGAGTTATCTGACAGAAAAGCTTCATGCTGGCCTCTTGCCCGCTCCCTGCCGAGCGCCCCAGCGCGCCTCCCGCCCCTCCCCTGCCCTCTCTTCCCCCCTCCTCTTCCTCCCGCGACCAGCATCTCGTCATGGACCTCTCAGCCGCACTTCCAGTCGTTGAGCAACAGCGTCGCCTCTCCGACGCCTCAGACGACGCAAAGTCGCTCGCAGACGTCGAGAAACAGCTCGAGCCGCCTGCCGAGGCTGCCGCGACGACGGCGAAGGACCCCGGCGTCGCTCGCATCGAGGCGCTGTACAAGGTGTTTGGCAAGCGCGGTACTATCAGCATTGGCGTCCTCTACGCGTCGATGCTGCTCATGGCTTGCGGCACCGCAGTCGACAGTTCGACAACTTACACCTGTCCGTCTCCCACTCTCCTTTCTCCCGCCGAATCGCTGCTGACGCTCTCGCTCCGCAGACTACGCCATCGCGACGAGTTCCTACTCAGCTCACTCGTTGATTGGCGCTATCGACGTCGCTTGTGCTATCATCGCCAGCGTCAGCCGCCCTTTCCTCGCCAAGATCGCCGACCATGTCTCCCGCCCTCACGCCTACCTCTTCGCGCTCACCTTCTACGTCCTCGGCTATGTCCTAATCGCCGCCTCGAAGAACATCGACACACTCGCTGTCGGTATGTCAGCACTTCGCTCTCTGGCTCGGCGTTCTCTCCCCTCGCCGTTTCCGACTTCCCCCATTAGAACTTCTACTCCACTTGCCCTGCTCAGACGCCCTTCCCCGAGCTGACACTGGCCTCCGTCTCGCAGGCAAGGTGCTCTACCAGGTCGGCTACACCGGCCTCGACCTTGTCTCGACCGTCATCATCGCCGACATCTCGCCGCTCGAATGGCGAGGTTTCTTTCAGGGCGTGTACGCGCTTCCCTGGGTTATCTTCGCGTTTGTGTCCGGCTTCATCACTGAGGGACTCGGCGTAGGCGGCTGGCGCTGGGGCTACGGTGCGCTGTTTCTTTCAACTATCGCACGACCCTTGACTGACTTGATGACACCGACAGGCATGTTCTGCATCATCACGCCCGCTTGCGTCACGCCCGCCTTGATCGTCCTCTTCTGGGCGGACACACAAGCGAAGAAACAAGGTCAACTCGGGATCGGCGCTTCGGACTACTCCGTCCGCCTTCATCTCGGCGGCGGGAAGCACCTCCCGCTTTGGCGCCTCGCCCTGAACGCTCTCGCCATCATCGACGCCGTCGGACTCGTCCTCCTCGACTTTGGGTTCTCGCTGGTCCTCCTGCCGCTTACACTTTACGCTGGCGCGGAGGGCGGCTTTGCGAATGGTACGTTCGCGGCCATCGTAGACCCGACTTGCCTGTACTAAGTCTCGCTTATGCAGCTTCGATGATTGCAATGCTCGTCGTTGGCGTCCTCCTCCTCATCGCCTTCACAATTTGGGAAGCCAAGTTCACCGCGCACCCGCTCATGCCGCGCCGCATCTGGAACCGCACTTTCATCTGCTGCGTCGTCATTGATGTCGTCTACGTGCGTTGGACTCCTACGAGATTGCGATGGTGGCGCAATGCTGACTCTGCCCCTCCAGTACCTCTCCGCTTACCTCCGCGACACCTACTTCGCCTCCTGGGTCTACGTGATCAAGGACTGGTCGCTGCGCGACTACACCTACTTTACCAACATTCCCACGGTTGGACTCTGCACGTTCGGCGTCGTTGCCGGCATCCTCTTCCGCCTCACTCGCTCGTACAAGTGGACTCAGGTCTTCGGACTATGCGTGCGCACGCTTGGCTTGGGCTTGACGGTCAACGCTGCGTCGAGCGACGCCAAGCTTGTCATGACCCAGATTCTCGTCTCGGTACGCCCTCTCCCCTCGTTCGAAGACCGGCTTCCGCCTCCTCCTCCTGCTCTCCTTGCCCGCTGACCTTCGCTTGAATCGCAGATGGGTGGAGCTTTCTCAGTCGTCGGCTCGCAGGTCGCTTCTCAAGCCTCTGTTCCGCACGCCGTGAGTCTCGCTCATACTTCGTCTCGCTCGCCGCAAATTGAACCCTCTTCTCCGAGCAGGACGTCGCAACGGCCATCTCGCTCCTTTCGATGCTCACCACCCTCGGAGGTGCCGTTGGGTCCGCCATCGCCGCCGCAGTCTGGACATCGACGATGCCGAAGAACCTGGCCAAGAAGCTCCCGCAACTCTCGTCCGAAGAGATTGCGACCATCTTCGGCTCGATCACGAGCGCTCGCGACCAGCCGGCAGAGATCCGTGAAGGAGTGATCAGCGCTTACAACCTGACGACTGAGCACCTGTTCATCCCCGCCCTCGCCGTCTCGTTTGTCGGCGTCATTGCGGGTCTCTGCGCCCAGAACTATCGCCTAGGCGACACGCAGAACGCTGTCGAGGCGACCAAGGTGTTTGTCGGGAAGGACGAGGAGAAGGATGAGAAGGAGGCTGTCTGAGGCGGAAATGCGGTTGAGCAAGAGGCGACGAGGTTCTGTCAGTACAAGCCGTTCTTTCCAGTCTCTTTTCCCTAGACAAAACACTTCCGGGTCTTCAAGTTGTGGCAAACCCTCAGCGAGCGGTTCAGCGAGTTGCGATGCGAAGGAGCCATGCGATTGCGGGTTTGATACAGTCTAGCAGCTCCTGCGATATTCTACTTGCGCTTCATGGCATCTTCATTTCCGCCTTTCCGTGAACAACCCCTCCGCCCGCCTTCGTCGTCGCCGCCTTCGTCGCTCCGTCCGCCGCCTCCTTCTCCTCGACAATCAGTCCCGCCTTGATCGCCCGATACGCCAATCCCTTCGCCTCATACGTCCTCCAGATCTCCGACCCACGCTTGTCGAGCCCGTGCCACCACTCGTTGATAGCCCTCTTCGTCGCAGACCCAACATTCCGCTTCTTTGCCGACTCGACAGCGAGACGAAGCATGAGGACGGCGACATCGGGCGTGACGAGTCGGTGCGGCGCGAGCGGGAGGAGGCGAGAGTCGGCAGGCTTCTTTGCGAAGGGCCCGAGGGGCTTGCCCTCTTTGTCGGCGAGCCCGAGCCCGACAGCGGATTCGGGCGAAGGCGGGACAACGTGGTACCACTCGCGGTCGGACGGGTCGGCCTTGGGCATGCCCCACCGGTAGCCGAACCAGTCGACGTAGCTGGCCGCGCGTACCCAGGCATTCGTCGCACCGCGCAGGCCGGAGACGAGCAGCCGGAGGGTCGAGACTTCGGGCAGGTTGTCCGGTGCGGGCGGGTCGGCAGAGTGTGTCGTGAGGAAGTTGGTGATGAAGTCGCGGACGACGGGGCGAGGCGATCGTTCGGCGAAGAGGGCTTTGAGGAGGATGTTCATGAGGATGCGAGACGTCTCGTGGTATAAGGTGCTGTGCTGGAGGTATTGTCGAACTTGCGGTGGGGTATCATCGATGCGCGGTTGCGTTTCTGGGTCGGAGGTCATGCGAGAGTAGGCGGCAGAAGTTTCGGGGTCGAGGCGAGGTTTGTTGGCGGAGAGCCAGGATCGTGCCAAGGCGAATCCGTCACTGACACGGTCTTCGCGCACGAGTCGGTGGACGAGAGCTGTGACGGCGTAGCGGTCGAGGCGATGTGCGTCGCGGGGGATGATTAGGGGAGGTCGAGGCGGGACTCGCGTTTGCGGCCTCGCCAGCGGAACCGCAATCCGCTCCCGCCGAGACCGCAAATGCGGCGGCGAGCGCAGAGCCGCCTCCTTCTCTACCGCTTGGCGTGCCGCCTCCTCCTGCTGCGCCCGTAGCTCCCGCATTTCCCGTCTATGCCGACTCGTGATCCTCCATCCCTTCCACCGTTCCATCGGATCCCCGCTCCCCGCCCCCTTCTCGCCCAAATCCCGCCGATACACCTGAGGCGCCATCGACGGATTGACCCGCAACGCCCGGATCGCCGCCTGCTTCCTCCGCTCGTCTTCCGGTCCCAACTCACCCCGAGCCAAGTATCCCTGCACGACGACCCTCTGCAGCGGCTCGTCCAGCGCGATCTCCTTCTCCTCCATCTCAGTCAACAGCGCCCGCGCCAGCCGGAGATTCGAGGCGTCGAAGGCGAGTTTGAGGAGGAAACGGTACGAGTCGGTCGAGACGAAGGGTGCGAGGGCGTCCGAGGCGTGGAAGTCTGCGAGCGCTTCAAGGTCGGGGTGGATGTAGACGGCCTTGACTCGTCGGAGGAACTGGAGAAGGTCGTCGGACGAGGAGGGGAGGGATTGCTGCAGGAGAGCGTCGTGTAGGGAAGTCGAAGGAGGCCAGACGGGTTCGGGCGGAGTAATTGGCCGCGTTCGTCTGCGGGGAGTTGGCTTCCTGTCTGTAGAAGCCCCCGCCTGTCCTGCTGGTCGCCTGCCCGCTGCAAGAGAAGCGTTCGCTCTCCCGTCCTTCGAGGAGAGAGTCGGTCGGTCGCTCCGCCTGCCAGGACCATCCGGGACCCTCCTGACGCGCTTGTCCGCCCGCAATGAACCGCTCGGCACCTCCGACGGCTCTCTGGCTCCTCCCGCAAGCCCCGCGTCGCTCCGAAGAAAGTTGTCGGCAAGCGCTCGCTCGAGAGCAGACTCGTGTGCGTCGCTCGCTGGCCTTGTGCGAGGCTGCTGCTGCTGTATTGGCGGTGCATAAGACGGCAAGACGGCGGCGGAGGTGCTCGCTGCGCGCGAGGGGCCGCAGAGAGGTGCTGCTGTCGCTGGAGATGGGGACAAGGGGTGGCAGGCGATGCGGGCGAGGAAGGGGAGGCGAGCGCGCATCCTCCGGGCATCCCGCAAGCTCTCGCGAAGCACACACAGCAAGCACAAGTCCGAGCACGCGAGGAGAGCGAGGGCGAGTGAGGCAGGAGAGGGACTTGAGGCGAGGAGAAGGAGAGGGTCGCTCGCAAGTCCTTACAGAATGGCTGGTTCGAAGCATGTACACAGCTGGAATGTCACTGGAAGACTGTCTGTACCGCCCCGCCCTACGCGCTCAGCCCGCAGATGCTCAACTCGCGCATCTCCTGCAACGCTCCCTCAACCTGGGCGTCGAGCGCGCCCGACGCATACTCGTCCCGCACGCCATCCGCAAAGTAGCGCTGGACACCACCGAGCTTCTCGTAGCCGTCCGTCGCAAAGTGCGCCTGCAGCCGGACCATGCACTCGAATGAAGGGTCGAGGTATGGGATGCGCAGGTCGAGCAGCTGCGGCAGCTCTTCTCGCAGCTGGCCGTCGAGCGCCTGGAAGATCTCGCGCGCCTGTTCCTCCTCCTGCTCGGCCTGCAAGCGGGGGCGAAGCGAGTCAGCGGCTAGAGCTGCGACGGGAAGAACGAGATAGATGCACCGCTCGCAGCTTGATAGCATCGTCTTTCTCGCCAAGCTTCCGTGCTTTGGATCGCGCTGCGTCGTAGTCGAGCAGCTGCAAGCGAAGCGCAGGTCAGTAGCAGCATTCCAAGCACATGGCAGGCGGGACGCACCTTCTTCTCGCGCTTCGAGATGGCGTTGGCGACTTCGGGCAGATGGGCGCAGAACTTGCCGATTGGCTCGAGTACGGTAGCTCGGTACGGGGTGTCCTGTAGAGATACAGATCAGCTGCGTTCCCCGCTGGGCACGCGAACGAAACTCACGATAGTCCTGGCGATATCGCCCTCCAACTCCTCGACCGCACGCTTGTACGCATTCGCCGAGATAGCCTGCTCGCCCGAGTCGGAGCCGAAGAACATGTCGATGGTCGTGCCTATCCGCGTCGAGGATGCCGAGACGTTGCGGACGGCGTCGAGGTAGGCCTTGGCCTCCTTTTGCAGAGCATTGCTGTTCGTCTGGAGTCTGCGCACAGGCAATTGGGTCAGTATACAGGTCTGGAGAGCGTGGAGAGCCGCCTGCACGCACTGCTTGAACCGCTCCGACTCTGACCTGAACGCCGAGTCGTCCGTCCGCTCGACCTGGCCCAACTTCATGCTCATCTGCGTCCCGAACCGGCTCGAGGCCTTCTTGAGACCGCTCCACGACATGATGTGCTGCTTGGCGGCCCGACAGAGGGGCGGGATGGCGAGATTGGCGTAGTGGGGAGGGTGTCGGGAGGGGAGGTGTCAGACTCGACAGGGAGAGAGCGTGAGGGTGCGCCGGCTCGCCTGTGTCTAGGACGAACTGTATCGAGGAGGTAGCGACAGCAAGCAGCGGTACAGAAGCTGCGCGAGCGGAGTGCTGCGTCTTTGCGGTGACAAGGGGCGAGGACGAACCCTTTGGGCGGAGTTAACCACCCTCGCCTTGCTGTGCTACATCGTCAAGGCTTATAAAGCGCTGTACGGAGCCTTGCAACAGCGCTCCCGCTTTCTACAGGCCGCCCGCGCTCGAGGAGACGCCGTTCTCCCTCCTCCCGCTTCTTCATCTCTCGACGAGGCTGTCAGCGCCGCAACCGCCTGGGACGCTTGACGGCTGACGTTGAGCGAACGACGCGTCTTCTCGCAACGCATCTCTCGAGCGGACTCCCCGCCGAGTGACCTTGCGGTTCCGCCCTGTCTGTGACTTGCTCCTGAAGATCCCGCCTCGCTGCCTGTTCTCGCTCTTTCTTCCTTCCCTTCGTTGCGCAATTCGCCTGAGCGACACGATGCCCTACATGATCCTCAAGGTCACGCACGACACAAAGCCCAAGCCAATAACGCGCCTCCTCCCGCTCACCTCCTGCCCAACCTGGTCCGCCCTCACGCAGAAAATCGCGACTCGCTTTCAGCTCACCGTCCCGCCCATCGCACTCACCTACTCCGATGACGACGACGACGAGATCACCCTCTCGAGCGATATCGAGCTGGAAGAATTGTGGCTCGCTACGCTGCCGACTATACTCAAGCTTGAGCGTGACTCGGGCACTAAGGACGACGCGGCGTGCGTGAAGATGCAAATTGTGCTCCCGTGGCAGCAGGAGCAGGCGAGGGACGTCAAGCTGGAATCCGTCAGCGGGTCGGTTAGCGGCAGCGTCTCGCCTCTCCTCCAACGCAATACCCAAACTCCCGCCGGTTTCGCCCCTCCTCCGCCGAGGAACTGTCAATCGACATCCCCAACAACGCCGAAGCAACGTAACGCGCCTTCCGAGCCGGCAAAGACTCCGGACGCTCCCTTTCGCGGCGTGAGCTGGCAGGACGGAGGAACGGACGCTCCCGCAGTCGACGAGAAGCCGCACCCTCATGCATCCCAGCACGCATGCTCAAGAGCTCAACCTGATGGGGCGGAGCACCTCGGCGCAGAGAACCCTGCGGCAGCACCGACCTCGCCAGCCCATTCGACGAGCCCTCCAGCTCCTCTGCCCCGTACTCTCAGTCCTCAGCGCAGCTATTCGAGCGACAGCAGCGGCACCGGCTGAAGAATCGCGCTCTCGTAGGCTCCGATTCGGGCAAAGGCAGCCGGCGGCGATGATACCCTTCTCTGCACGTTCCAGTCTATCGCTTCTTCGTACTTGTGCCCTTTCCAGCGCTCCCTCCCTTCCCCTTCTTCTCCTCCGCCTCCTGTAAGAACCCCGCGTCTGTCAACGCATCTCGAGCGGCCTGGAGAGCGTCAAAGGTCGTCAGCACGAGAGATGAGAGCGAGCAATGAGCGAGACACACCTGGTTGATCAACTTGAAGCGGTCCGGGCCGAGGTGGATCCCGCCGTACCAGCGCGAGACGACTACCATCACGTTCGGTACATCCTGCGGAGTGCTCGACGTCAGTAAGATCCTTCGAAAGCGCCCTAAGGATGTGAAGCGCACCAAGAGGGTCAAGAGATGCGCGAGCCGACTGCCTGCAGCCGTCTCGCCATCGTCGTCGTTGTCTGCATGTCGAGTCCCGCTCGCGGTCGTGAACTGATACGCTGAGATGTTGTGTCTGGAAAGCAATTGCGTGAGCATGGAAACGAGGCGCAGGAGCGCGAGAAAGCAAAGCGCACGTCGCTTTGGCAATCTTGTTATTGCTCAGCAGCGTCTCCATGACGGCGTCGACCTGCGTGAAGCGTACACCGTCAATTTTGTTACGAAGCTGAGCAGAAGGGAGCTTCCCTACCTCTTCCAAGGAGTTCACCTTCGCAGCGTGTCCAACGAAGACCTGCGGGATCGACGGGTCAGCGCAGCCGAGTGGCAGATGAAAGCGAGACCAGGACGCACCGACTGACGATCAACAATGGGTTCGCAGGAGATGATCTCGGGACAAGCGACGGCCGCCTTCTTCGCCCGTGCAGGCTCAGCCGACGCTCCATTCGCTCGCCGTCCTTCCTCCCTCCCGTCACGTCTTTCATCCGCAGACTCAGACCGCCCGTTCGTCCGTGTAGACTTGGCACCGGCCGCCTGCCGTGCCTTCTCGCCCTTCTGCAACTCTGCTTCTCGTTCTCCGACCCATTGTCCGCACAATTCTCGCACAAACTCGATCCCCTCAAACAGACATACCCCTCCCGTCCACTCAACACCTCCTCCTGTCCCTGCTGCTGGTGCCGCTTCAGGATCGTGCATGAACGTCCGCAAGACCTGGCCGAAGAGGTCGTCTGAAACGGCGAACGAGGACAGGTACCGGTCTTGAAGCTGGATCAGGGGCGGCTCGTTGGTCGGGTAGCCGCGAGGTAGAGAAAGGAGGAGGTGGAGCGGAACAGACTCTCGTGGAGGGGCGAGGGTGACGGAGAGGACGAGCCGAAGGGGGTCGCTCGAGGAGGGGGTCCATATTGGCGGCGGTGACGGGGTCCGGGGCGTTCGTGGCGGGCGGTACAGGCTCAAAGAGGGTGCTGGGCCGTCGTAGATAGCCGCCAGCGACTGCAGCTCGTCTGCTACCTCTTGTGCGTCCTGCGATTCTGCGGCTTCGAGTGATGAGAGGACGAGGGCGAGGTCGAGCGATGCAACCGAGTCCCGCACGTCGAGCGAATCCATTGAGACAGACAGAGCGTCTGTCATTGTTTGAACCGAGTCCTGAGCGTGAGGAGCGAGGAGGATGGAGCTGAAGGAGGAGGTTCGCGGGCGGATGTCAATCCATCTCGCTGCTCGTAGGACACAAAGCCAGATGTAAACGTCGAAAGCTGGTCACACCGATGCAATGAAGTGTCTGTCCAAGAAGAACCGAGGAAGGGAAACCACAAGACGAAGGGAGAGTGTCTGTTCTAGGGAGTTGGGCGTAATGAGGGGAACGATGCGGGGACGTGAAGGATACCGAGGGGGGCATTATGTGCGTGATAGGGCTACAGTCTAGGCGGAGAGGAGAGCGTCGATCTGCTGATTGATCCAGTCCTTGCGAGCGGTCAAGTCGGCGCGAGGGAAGAGGGCGGCGAGTCCATCGCGAGCCTTGCGCTTTGAGAGGTGCATCACTGCAGCCGTTCGGAGTTAGTGAAAGCGAATCTCGAAGAGATGACGGCTCGAGACTCACAATCTTCGCTCGCGAGGTAGGCTTGCAAGGTCGAGATGATGGTCTCGTCGCTCGGATTCGGGTCGTCGCTGGGCTGAGGGGGCGCCGGAGGGTTGGCGAAGGGATTGACGGAGAAGACGCTGGGCGCGACGCCGCCGTACGAGAAGGCAGACATGCCGGACTGGCGGCGAGGGAGGGTCGACATTGGCGGCTGAGGGTAACCGGCCAGGCTCATTTGCGACTGGAGCGTCGCGGGCTGCATGTATGGGTTGACGCTCATCGGGTAGCCGAAGTCGCTCCCCACGACGCTGCCTGGACCGGGCGTGTAGACGGGTGCGCCGACGACGCTGCCGGGCGCGCTGAATCCGAAGCCCTGCGATGGCATCTGCGGGAGGGCGCCGAGCTGCATCGTCGAGCGAGAGGCGGTGTGGCCGTGGTAGGGCTTCGGGATGCGCGTTGCGAGCGAGAAGCCGGCGGTCGAGTACGACTTCTCGGACCGGGTGTCGTACGTCTCCTCGGCGAGCGCGGCCTCGTAGTCGGCGAATTTGGCGAGCGGAATCGTCGACTCGTCGAACGCCTCGTCTTCGGCCTGCAGGACCTTCTTCGCCCGGCCCTCTCCTACGACGACGCGGGTCGATCCCCAGGTGAAGTCGTCGAAGCGCCAGAACGCGTAGACGGGGAGGAGGAAGCTGTAGATTGGGTAGGCGAGGAGGTAAATGACGAGCCAGCCGATGTACTGCCATTGGCGCTTGATGAGGAAGATGAAGGCTTGGAGACCGTAGACGGCGGCGATCATGACGAGGGCGATGACGGGCAGAGGACCGGATCCGGTGGCAATGGTGACGATGAGATAGACCTGTGAGAGCGAAAGGAGTTAGCCTGGAGCGAAAGACGGGGTCGGGAGGGAAGTCTCAGCGACGGAGATGGGTGGGAGACGGAACTCACGAGGTAGACGAGCGTCGCCGGCAGGATGACCGTCCCCAAGAGATCGATGAGGACGATCCACCTCATACTGAAGCACAGCGCGCCGCAGAGATTTGGCAGGAACAAGAGTTCCGCCAAATTGTGGACGGTCGAGTTGATCCAACGACGGCGCTGCGACAGGAGGATGCTCCAGCTGTGCGGCGCGACCGTCATAGCCTTCGCTTCCTGCACGAATTTCGTCTTGTACGTCGGGAAGTGCTTGAGGATCAGGGTCGTGAGGTATCGGTCCTCTCCGAGCGAGAGCAGGTTCTTCTTGTGCAACGTGTCGAGGTTGTTGTCCGAGTAGTCATCAACAATCAGCGAGCTGATCACTAATGGTTTCCCCTTATCCGCCGACCGCAACCGGTACATCGAGAAACTGTGAAGGAAAGCGTAAGTCGGCAGGGTTGGCGAGGGGAGGTGTCGACGCACCATCCTGGCAAACAGGTCACGGAACCAAACAGACTTTCGAACGCCTTGGCCATGTGGTGCGAGATGAAGTACTCGTAGACTGCCAGGCAAACGTCAGTGGAAGCTGGAAGTGAAGAGGCGGTCGAGCTCACCCTGGATCATCGTCCACCACGAGACTTGCTCATTCTCCAGGCGCGTCTCGCCGCAAATGCCGATGATCTGAGAGTCATCGGCGCAGGCGGCGACGAGGCGGTTGAGGGAGTCGGCGTGAACCGAAGTGTCGGCATCGACGACGAAGATAAACTGCGCCGCAGCGTTAGCCTCGTTTCTTTACCTCGCAACGGCGCGCTTGACTCACCTCGTACATCTGCGGGTCGACACCGATAACGTTCTTGACCTGATGGTACATCTCGAGCTCGAGCGGGTACATCTCCGAGTCGAAATGAACGCGGTTGAGGAAGCGCATCGCGAGGATCTGCGAGTCGCGCTTGCCGCGGTTACCGGGTCGCGAACGCTCTGACGGACGACCAGTCTTTGCGACGACGAGGTACGGAACGACATCTGGCGAGGGCGAGGTCAGCGGCGGTGAGCGAAGAGGAACGCGCAAAACGCACGGCCTTCGACCTCGTATAAGCCGCTCCAGACCTTTCCGTAGTTGAGCTGCTTCGAACCCTCCGCGACGGCCTTGTACATCAGCGGGTCGGGCTCGATGTTCTGGTCGACGCCGAGGATGTCGAGAACGATGCGCGGGGTCGGGCGGTCGTTGCCGGAGCCGACGATCATGCCGTCGCAGATGACAAGGATCAGCTTGCGCTTGTCGTCGTAGTTGAGCGTCGCGAGCGAGTCGATCGTCTTCTTCAGCGACTCTTCGCCTTCGGTGTAACAAGTGACTTGGCCTGCGAGCAAGTTCGTCAGCGCCGAAGTGAATGTGACAGCGGGCTTACGCACAGATGATGAATTTGTCGCGCTGCTCGGGCAAGCGCTTCGAACCGAACTGCAGCGCGGCGAGGAATTTGGCAAGGATCGTGACCATGATGAGAATCGAAAAGGCGAGCAGGAGGTTCGGCTGGACCTTGCAGCGCGGCGACTCGCGGAAGTCGGTATCGCCGAGGTAGAAGAGCGTCTGGATGCAAGCCATGTTCGTCTGCAGCGTCGGCCAGTCCATGCCGAGGTCTTTGATCGCGCCGGTCAGGTCGGTGCCGGGCTGCGCGGTCCACAGGTTGGCGAGGTCCTTGTCGAGGAAGAAGTACTTCTGGTCGTTCAAGAGATTCGCCTGCGGGCGGAAGAGGTCAGCAGCAGCTCCAATACGGGACGACGCGGCAACGCACGGTGTAGAAGTAGTCGGTCAAGTCGTACACGCTGCCGTTGACGATCGCCCACTGTCGGTTGTTCTTCTCGGCCTGCTCCTGGACCTTGCCCTTCGACCAGACGAGCGGTCCCTTGTGGTAGTCGCGCATCTTGGGCAGGAACGTGTCGAAGTACCACGACGCGCTCGACAGCGCCGAGCTCTTCTCCGGCTGGAGGTAGCCCGACGTGTGGACGGCTGTCGGAACCTCGGCGGTGAAGTTCTGCAGGAGGTGAGACGTTAGTCGCTGCGGTCGCCGGATCAGGTTGTAGCGAACTCGCCTGGGACTGAAGGGACAGGTTTTCGTCCGTGACGAGCGACGGGCACGCCGATGTAAGCGGGCTACGCAAGCGAGCGTCAGCAACAGGGACGAAGTGCGGCGAGAATGCGAATGTACATGGGGAAGTAGCCGGTCAGGTCGAGGCCAGCGAGCTGGAGCATGTCGGTCGACGATACCGTCTCGCCCTGGATGTCCGAGTGCCTGAGTGCGCAGTGAGGGCGTCAGCGACACTCCAGAGAAGGAAGACGAACGTCGAAACGCACTGGACCTTGTAGAACTTCGTAATGTCGTAGACGTTGCCACGGACTGCGACCCAGAACTGGCTGGCGGTCGAGTAGTAGCCGAGCTCGGCCGTGTTCCACGCCTTGTTGTAGTTCGGGCAGAGGAGCTTGCCGAAGACGATGATGTCTGCGGGGTGCGAGAGGTCAGCGCGACATCCACGGCAACGTAACGAGATGCGGAACCCACAGAAGATGACGATGCCGCAGAAAAAGGCGATGAGCATGCATAGTGCGAGCTGCGGGCGGTGGAGACGTCAGCACCGTGGCCGAAGAACCGAAGACCCGATGACGGGCTCACCTTCTCCCGCCAAGCCATGCGCACGTCCGGCCGCTTCATTCTGCCAAGGTAGGTCAAGCACGGCGTCGGAACCCAGAACGTCAACATCCAAACGATGGCGACCCAGACCCTCCGTCCCCTGCTCGTCGGGACCTCCTCGATCGCCTTGCCCTCGCCTTCCTGCGGGTTCCCCTCGCGGTCGAGGACGCCTTCGCCGCCCTTTCCGCCTCCTCCGCCGCCGCCACCCGCCGCCGCATGCACGCCGTAGAGCGTGCCGCTGTGAGCGCCGAATCCAGCGGGAGTCTGCTTGTCTTTTCCCCAGATCTCGCTCGCCATGTGCGCGTGCTGACCCGAGCCCACCGCACCGCCGAGCGAACCCATGCTGCCGTATGCTCCGCCTCCATGGCGCATGTACGGCGCGGAAGGAGGCTGGAGCGGGTTGCCCACGAACGAGTCGTGCTGGTTGTAGTGCGACAAGCCGGAGCGGTAGGTGTCGAAGGCGTTGGTCGAGCCGAGTCCGCCTGCGCCCGCCGAGTAGGGGACGTAACCGGGTGTGGTAGGCGTCTGAGGCGTCCCGCCATTCGAGTAGAGGAGGTCGTCGACGCTCTCCCCTCCCATCGCCGCTGGTCCGCCACCCGTGTACCCGACATTGACCGTACTCCTGCTCGGTCCGAGATGCGGGAGGTATCCCTGCAGGCCACCCTCGCCCACCTCGAGCTCCTCCTTGTCCTTCTCGTCCCCCCTCCGCCCCTCAAGCGCCTCCTCCGCCTCGCGCACCCGTCCTTCCCTCACAGCCTCGACCGCAGCCTGGCGATGCTCGACCGGCTCGCTCTGCCTCAGACGATCCTCCACCGCCTTCCACGCCTTCCAGCCCAACCAAACCCTCTGCTGTCCGATCGCAAACTCGCCCCTCTCGCTCGCGAATCCAAAGTCGCGCAGGAACGCATTCACCGCATCGTGGGCGCTCTCGTGCGCCGAGACGCCCACTCCATGGCGGATGAGAAAGTCGTTCAAGTCGGCGTCGTGGAGGAAGTCCGAGGACTGGCGGCGCGCAGCGAGTTGCGGGAGCTGGAAGGCCGAGACTTGGGCTTTGAGCAGTCGGGCATAGATTTGGCGAGGCGTCATCGTCGCATTCGGGAGGAGGGAAATGACGTTCCACACGTTCGTGCGGGCGAGGATCGAGCCGAGCAAGTGGGCGGTCGTCGCGTTGATCTGCGCCGAGACGGGGTGGATCGCGAGCGGGTCGAGCAGAGGCTCGGTGTAGTCCTTCCCTGGCCCCTCCTCCTCACCCCGCGCAAACGCCTCGCAAACCTTGACCTTTGACGGACGGCGGAGCGGCATACTCGACACCTGCGCGGCGACAACCGTGTTCTCATCGAGTGGATGCACCTCAGCCGCGAGACTCGGTCCGCTCACGAGTTTCGCGACGAACGAGTCGGACGACGAGCGGAGGAGCGCGACGTGGTCCGGATCGAGTTGGTCCAAGTCGAGTTCGACAAAGTGGTGCGCGTCGTAGACGACTTGTTGGTCACCAAAGTGCTTGACTGCGAAAGCCGTGCGCGCGCCGGGCCCAGAAGGGTGCGAGACAAAGCTCGGGTGGGCAGCAAAGTGGTCCCTCATTCCGCGGAGGAACTCGTCGTCGGCTTCGTCCGCCCCGAGACCCTTGCGCACCATTGCCGCGCCAGTCTTGGCCAACCCACCGAGGATCCCACCCGGCTTCTCATCCGCTTTCCCACCGACCCTCCCGCCACGCATCAACTCGATCCTCCCCGTCCCGTCATCCGAAGGAAGCACATCAACGACCTTGACCCCGTCCTCTTGCGCGCGCGCAACGACGCCCAAATCTCCATCGAACGCGTGCTCGAGCGTCCAGAACCGCGCGAGTTCGGACTGGTAGTTGTGGAGAAAGTCGTCGAAGCCGTTCAACGCCTGAATGAGGACCGAGGTGCGCGAGCCAGGGCGGGAAGAAGAGTGGTTCGTGAATCCCGGCTGAGAGAACTGGACGATCGACGATCCGCCTTCGTTGTGCAGCGCGGCGATCGCCTCGTCGCCTGGAAAGAGTCGGTGATTGGCCGTCTCGACGACAAAGGCGAACAAGATCGAGTACAGCGCAGCCATGAGACTGTCGCGCTGTGCGTCTGCGCCCTCGGCTCGCAAGATGGTCGCCGTGACTTCCTTGCGGACCCACCTCACGCGGTTCGTCAATGCGCGCTCGAGGTCTTCGCTCGAGACGCCGAGGAGAGACGCTGCCCGCTCGAGGACATCGCGGTTCGTCACCCACGCCGGGTCGGACTGGAAGTTGTACGGGTCTTCGGGGTGTTCTGCGAACTCGAGGTTGCCGAGTAGGAGGATTGCCGAGAGGGTGCGGAGGATCGAAGCGACGTGGCGGGGTTTGAAGCCGAGGACTTTGAAGGCGGCGCGGAGCTCGTCGAACGCGATCGAGTCGTCCGAGTTGGGCACGCCAGGCGGGAGTCGGTACGTCGACGACTTCGCAAAGAGGTTGTACGCGCCCGCATCGTCGAGTATACCAAATTCGTCCTTCTCTTCGCGCGTCGAGCCGGCGACGAGCTGGTAGAACGCATGGAACGTCCGCTCGTCCTTCCCGAGCTTGGCGAACCTGGTCCTGTCCAACCCGTACGCCAGCACCTTTGCGCCCGCGAGTTTGCCCGCGTTCGAGAAGTGCAACTCGAGGAGGGACGAGAAGCGCGTTGCCGAGGGGTTCTGCTGTGTCTTTGCGCAGCCGAACGAGGTGAGGAGCGTTTGGAGCGCTTGGACCTGTTCGGCGCGGCGCGTGTCCTTCTTGCCCGAGGTCGAGAGGCGCAGGAGTTGCGCGGTGACGAGCTGCTGCTGAGAGGACGAGCCGGAACCCGAAAGGCCGCTTTGGGAGCGTAGGAGATGGGAGTGAGCGTGCGGATCGAGAGAAAGGGCTCGCTCGCGGACGCCGACTCACGAGTACAGGATCGACTGCGACTCGCCCGTCCTCCTCATGGCAAAGTAGACCCTGCACGCGAGGTCGTACGCATGGGGCTGGACGTCGTCGCCCCCGCTCCTCGCCCTGTCCCTCGGCGCATACACGCGCTGCTCGTACTCTGCCTTGCTCGCCTCGCTCACGTCGGCCTTGACCTCGAGCGGGTTGAGCGCGACGAGAGTCGAGTCGCCGCACCAAGTCGCTGCCCGGTCGAGGCGGTAGCGTTGTGCGAGAGCGTGGGTGAGCGAGTCGGGCGAGGGGACGGCGGCGGTGGCTGTTTGGGGCGGGGAAGCGAGGTGTGCGAGGTTTGTGAGGGTAGAGGGGTCGGTGTGGGCCATCTCGCGAGTCCCCTCGAGCCCTATGCGAGCTGGATGAGCGGGTCGAGTTGAGCGAGTCGCTTGAAGGGGTCCCGAGGCGGCGGTCGTCGGTCGCGCGGTCGAGCTGGCGGTGTGTCGAGTAGCGTGGCAGTCCCCGATCCGAGCAGGCGTGCCAGTCACACCCAGTCCCAGTCACAGCACGAGCAAGCGAGCGAGTGAGAAGTTGAAGTCGAGGACGAGAGGACGATGCGAGCTGGCGTCCGTCCGCACCCGCAGAAAATCGAGTGACTAGCCAGTAATTCACAATAGACTGTCAGAATACACCTGTACCAGGTCATGCCACACAGTGAGCCGTTGCGAGCGAGCTGGAGTGGTCCCCACCTCGTCGCGCAACTCCTTCGCTCGCTCATTCACACTCACACGCTCATACAGTGCTCGAGAGAGTGTGCACGGCCATGGTGCTCGTCCTGCACCTCGTGTCGTACATCGCAGGACTCGCAGGGTTCTGCTTCGCCCTCCTCTCGCTCGGTGCGCAACCTCCCATCTCACCCGTCACTCTTCACCCCCGGCTCACGCTCCGCCCTGCAGCAAACGGACTGCTCTATGTCGCAGAGGTCATAGAAGAACACTCGGCATTCGCAAAGACCGTCGGACAGCGCATCATCTACGTCCGTCCCTCCCTTCCCTTGCCAGTTCCGCCTGCACTGGCTCTCGACTGACGCCGTTGTTCGTGACACGCGTCGACAGGCAGAGATCGTCTTGTTCGGACTGCTCTACGTGGTGGATGGACTGCCGCTCCACCTCGTCGCCGTCGGAGTCGTCGCACACCTCATCTAGCGAGTCCCCTCTCGCCTCCCTTCCCCTTAGACACGCGAGCTAACCGTTCCACCCACACGCGGGCGCAGCCTCCAAAATTTCTCGCGCCACTGGCCCGTCATCTCGGTCAAATCCCTCACCTTCGTCCTCTCCTGCCTGATCGTCCTCCTCTCGCACTACCTCTCCTTCCGACACTTTTCCTCCCGCTCACTCGCAGCCGCCTCACACCACTCTTATCCGCGGTATGACCCGCGCAAGGGCCGGTACGCGAGTCAGGGAGCCCAGACCGAGAGCTTCTTGGAGGTCGCGACCTACTTTGGGGTTTGTGTCTGGCTCGTGCCGTTCTACCTCTTCTTGTCGCTCTCGGCGAACGACAACGTCCTGCCGTCGTCCGGTACGCTCGACTGAGTTCCCATTCCCGCTTGTCGAGAAGCTGACCCTCGGTCGCGCGCGCAGGCGAAGGCTCCTCCTCCTCCTCCCGCCGCGCTTCGGCCGCCCCCTCTTCCCCCTCCCTCTCCGTCCCGTCCTCCCAGTCCCGAAGCCCCGACTCGCCAACCCTAGGCCGGCACGCCCGCCACCGTTCCTCAATGATGAAATCCGCCCTCTCCTCGTGCTTCTCCATCATCCCCTCCTCCTTACGCCCTTCGACTTTGGCGCATTCCCTGCCGCTCTCGAATGCAGGAGCGGGACCGAGGATGGATGTCCCGAGGAGTCCGAGTCCGACGTTTGGGTTTCAGCCTTACGCGAGTGCGAATGGCGGAGCGGGAGGGAGTGTCGAAGCGAGGGAGGCGTATGCGGCTGGCTCTTCGGGGGTGGCAGCGGCGAAGCAGGGGCGACCGCATCTCTCTCTTGTCGGTCGGCAGGGGTCGAATGACCGCTTCCTCCCTGGAGCGGGAGGAGCGGGGGTGAGCATGTCACCTACCTCTTCACACCACTCCGCCTTCCCTCCCTCCCCTTGCCCTCCCCACCCGCACCACCCAAACCCGAACCCACTCTCAACTTCCCTCCCACCAAGTCTCTCCCTCCACGCTCCCTCCCCCCGCCCAACCTCGGCCTTACCGCCCTCTCTCTCCCCCTCAAATCCCCGCTTCCCCCTCCCCCTCCCTTCTGCCTCTCCCCAAACCCCCTCCTTCCCACCTGCACCGCGCTCTCAACCCCCTTCGCCCGCTCAATCGCGCTTCACTCGTCCTCTGCCCGCACAGGGAGGACCGCCCGGGATGGTGAGGAGACATACCGCCCAACTCGTGCAGCAACATACTGCTTCACCGCCGCCTTCTTCTGCGACGGGACAAGGGCAGGGGCTGGGGAGGAGGTCGAGTGAGGCGCAGGGTTTGAGAGGGAGGTTTGTGGGTGCTGGCGGCGAGCAAGGCGGCGGAGGCTAGACTTGTAGGGGGAGAGAAGGGGCCGAGGAAAGTGCATTTTGCAGTATCGTTCGCATCGCTCTTGGTTTAGGTAGAGGGCACTCAGAGGAAAAGCTGCTCGCGAAGGTTCTCTCGCTCGTAAGGATATCGAAGGTGCGCGACGGTGACTGCTGTTTGAATCCCGGTACATACTGCCTCTTTGATATTGCGAGAGAGAAGAGGGAAAAGGGATAGATACGAAAGAGAAAAGGCACAGCTCGAAAGAGAGAGAATTAGTACCACCGAAAGAGAGGAGAGAGGAAGAGGGTAACTTCAGCTAAGGAGAGCGTGTGTTGCTGGGTTTGCGCGAGGGGGTGTTGCTGCTGAGGTAAGGGTGTGCGAGAACGAGAAGAGAGAGGAAAGGAAAGAAAGGCGAAGGGGAAACGATAGGTACAACAAGAGGGGGTTGGGTCAAAGTGTCCGAATACGGGTGCGAGGCGGCAAGTGCGCTACGACGGAGCTACTCTCGCGCGAGAGAGAGAGCAACTCAGTGCGTCCGACTGCCCCACCGCTTCTTCTTCTGCGCCTTCTCGACCTCCTCAGTCCGCTTCTTGAGCTTCGCCTCGCGCTCGCGCTCCTCGCGCTTCTGGCGGTACACCTGCACGTCCTCGCCCAGCTCGTAGCCGTACTTCTTCAGCACGCGCGAGAACACGGCCGGGTCGACGCCGCCCTGGTACGCGGCGATCGCGAGACTGTCCTCGGGTCGCAGCGGGGTGTACGTCTGGACGATCGGCGTAGGCGTGATGGTGGGGCTCGCGGCGTCAGCCTCGACGGTCGAGGTCGGCGTGAGATCGTCGACGGCGCCAAAGTTGCCTCCTGTGTGAACAGGGACGGCGGTCGGCGTAGGCTGCGCGAAGACATCCTCGAGGGCGAGCTCTGCGGCGAGAGGGCGTCAGTCGATCAGTGAGGGAACGAAGAGAACACCAGATAACGCACGGTCACGCTCGCGGAGACCAAGGCCACCAGCAACGCTGCCGACCGCTCCAGCCGCCTTCGAGACAAGACCTCCCGCCGCACTCGTTGCGGCACCTGCGGCAGCACCGGCGACGCTTGTGGCGGCACCGACAGCAGACGCGGCGGGAGTCGGGAGAACCGACGTAACGTCGCGAACGACCGATCCTGCGAGACTCGTAACGCCCGAGACGACGGATCCGACCTCGGGTGTGACGCTGCCGACGACGCTCGTGACGCCCGAGATCACGCTCGAGACGTCCGAACGAACGACAGAGACGATCGACGAGATGGGCGCTGTGATGTGGAGGAGAGTCGACAGCAAGCCTGGGATCGGGCCCTTCGGCGACAAGGCGCCGCCAATACACGTGAATAGGCTGCCGAGCTCGCCGAAGAAGCCGACCAGTGCACCGAGGAGGCCTCCCTGGACAGTAGCTGTGGGCGAGCAGATCGAGTCAGCGAGGTGCACGCCTATGGAAGGAAAGGAGCGAGAACATACAGCCACCAGCGGTGATGACGACAGCTGCGAGGCCGCAAGACAGCGGTCAGCTAACGAGATTCGGGGAAAGTCGAAGCAAAGCGAATGACGCACTGTAAGGAACCGCCTTCTGCGAGTACTTGAACGAGGGAGCCACGTAGCCACCGATGGAGACCTTCGACGTGATGTCCTGCGAGAGAAGAAGCGTGAGACCGATGCTCGCTTCGAGGGATGGGGACAACGCACGATGTCGACACCTTGAGCGCTGTTGACGAGGAGCGGGAGACTGCCGGCGGCGCCCTGCGGAAGCTTGGCGAGGACTTGCTCGGTGTACGGACCCGGGTTCTCGCCAGCGTTCGTCGTCGTCGGGTTCGCGAAGGTGTAGTCGAACGTTGCGTAAACGACACCGTTCTGCGACGCCGTTCCGCTGAGCGTGAGGATCGTGATGTACGTCTTCAAGTTGTCGTTGATCTGTGCCAATAGGCTAGCGTCAGTAACATGCGCGACCGGATGAAAGAAGCAGCGAAGCGAAAAAAGCAGTGCAGCGCACCCTGAAGTCGAACGTCGCCGTGTTGTTGCAGAACGCCGTAACAAAGTCGACGAAGATCTGAATGTCGTGGACGAGCGGGATACCTTGACCCGGGAACGACGTCTCGAGGTGAACGCCCGTGAAGGCCTCCACGAGACTGCCGTACGGCGTAGAAGTGCCGTCTCCCTGAATCGTAAGCGGAATCTGGCCCTTCGTCTCGAGGTACTGCGTGAGGAGATCTTCGGCCGTAGCGTCTCCCGGGTTCGCCGGCTGGTAGTGGAACTCGGTCGGCAGAGTGTTCGAGCCCTTGTACAGGTCGAGCGGGTTGATGTAGGCTCGTCCGACCTGCGTGCCTTTGTAGATGACCTCGAAGGACGCGTCGTTCGTGTGGAGGACGAGCGGCGCAGGGTTGTCGAGGATCGTAGAGAGCGTGATCCTGAAGGAGGCACATCGTCAGCTCTGCTTCGCCGACTGAGTCGAGCGAGCCGAGACGAACCTGAGGAATTCGCCGCCAGGCGAGGGGTTGAACGGATCGCCAGAACCTCCGCCAATGACGACAGGCGCTGCAATCGAGTATCGTCAGTGACAGCGCGACATGGGAGCAAGCTGGGGCGCAACGCACTCTCGGGAATGGTGGCCTTGCCGCCGAAGCCGTTGATGCCTGGGAAGGTCGTCTGGATGTTCGAGAAGGGGATGCCGCTGATCGGGATGTCCCCTGCCTTGGTGCGTGCGGTGACTGGGATGTAGAAAGACGTTAGCAGTCGAGCCCGGAAAAGCGAAGACGGAAAAGCCGCACCGTTGGCGCCGCCGTGCAGGGTGAAGCCGACATTGCTCTGCAGCGTGATCGCCGCGAAGAAGTTGTTGTACGTGCCCTGGTTGATGGCGACGAGCGGTCCTGGCTGCCTGATCGCGAGAACGAGGTCCGCCTGCGAATTGTGAGGGAGTCAGCCAGGTGCGACTCTGCAGCGGGCGAACCTGCACGCACCGGGTTGCCAGTCGAGGTCTGCGAGCTAACGACGTCCTGGACGGGAACCTCGAGCTGTCCAGCGTCGCTGCCACCGTAGTTGATGATGAACTGGCAGGGAGAGGAAGGTCAGCAGCGAGCGGGGAGCGAGCGGTATGCGAGAACTCACGTCACCACCGGCCTGAATGGCTTGAAGCGAGAACTTGTACGGGTTCTGTTAGACAAAGAGGGTTAGCGACGAATCGCAGGTGATGCGGAGAGGAACGCACCTTGTAGGTAACGTCCGTCTCGTTGCTCTGGACGAGGGCGGCATACGCCTCAGACGGTTGTGTGACTGTGACGATCAGGTCCTTGATCGAGATGGCCGAAATGATGTCGAACTGCTTGCCCGGAAGCGTGACGTTGAGCGTGAGCGTCTTGAAGGCTGCCGACAGCCAGGAGACCGGCGAGCCGGGTTGCGCGGGGGTGATGACAGAGTCTCCCGTGACGTCGAGCGGCACCTCCTTGCCCATCAAGAACTGACTGAAGACCTCGCCGAGAGCGGCGACGCCAGCCGGGTCGTTGCGGTAGATGATTGTACCCTCGAGCGGGAGCGGCGTCGTCGCCATAGGAGCGAGCGTGAGACCGCTGCCATGGACTGGACCAATCTCCGAGCCGTGGTACGACGAGATGAAGTTGACCGTGCCGAGCTCGAAGCCGAGGTTGGACATCGACGGAATGGTCGAGTCGACGGTGAGCTCGATACCGTTGCTTGCATCGCCGGGGAAGTCGGGGTTCGTAAGCTTGACTGCGAGATTTTGATGATCAGTAACGAAGCGAAGACCGGCAAGTGGAAGGCTGCGAGACGCACCACCCGGAAGCTTGTTAAGCGCCTGGAACGTGACGTTCTTGGTGAGGGTAACGTTCGAGAAGATCGTCTGCAGGGCGTAGACCTGCACCGTGTTCGACGTAATGACCCAGGTGAAGCTGCGGGAGTGACGTGCGGGTCAGCCTCGGCACGAGGGGGTTCTGCCGCTTTTCGAGGATCATGAAAGCTTACCTCGGGTTGTTGAGGAGATAGCTGGCGAAGCTGGTAAAGCCGCCCTGGTCGGTAATTGTGAGGGTACCGGTCGTCTTGTAGTCGGGAACGCCCGAGCCGCCAGCTGAACAGATGGGCGGAAGCTTGATGTTGGCGATCTTGTTGCCCTGGAAGAGGACGTCGACGCCGTCGGGGAACTGCGAACGAGTGCGTCAGCGAGGAAGCGAAAGGAGCTCGGCAGTGCTCAGCGACGCACCTCGATAAGCGCGTCGAAGGGACCAGCGTTGAGGAGGCTACCGGTGAGCGCGACCTTGAAGCCGTTGTCGGTGATGTCGGTGACATTTCCGCCGCTGAAGGTGAGCTCCGCCTGGTCGACGATGTGCGAGACGATCGTCCGTCCGAGAAGACCGGTCAAGTAGAGCACCGAGTCGTCGAGCACTGTCGGAACACCGTTCTGCGCAAAGTTGAGGGGCGTGACGAAATCGTCGAGCGCAACCGTGGACTGGATGCCGAGGTCGGTCTTGAGGTTCTTGACCGCCGCGAGAATGATGTTCTGCACTTCCTTGGTCGTGCCAGTCGGCGTGCAAGTCTCCTTACCAGTGTTGACCTTGCTCGTGACCGACGTCGCCGTCGACGCCTCGCTGAGGACGTACTGGAACTCAGGCAGGAGGATGCCGAGGTCGACGCCGTTGGCCTTGGCGACGGCGATGAGGAAGTTGATGAGGAACTTCGGGTCGTCCGTCAGCTGGAACGGAACCTTGCGCGACGTGATGTTCTTGTGGCCCGGCGCGCTGATCTCCGGGTTGAGCGGCTGCTGGTTGATCTGGCCGAGGTAGAAAGTGTCGTAGGTGGCGTTCGCAACGAGGGCCTGCAGGTTGATCGACGCGGTGAAGGGGTTCGACAGGTCGAACGAGGCCTCGGCGATACCGGTGTCGGCGATGTCGATCGGGAACGAGAGCGAAGCCTTCGTGACGAGGAGCTGGTGGATCGGCGGGATGCTCGTCTGGATCTTGATGCTGCCGAGGGCCTCCTGAAGCGAGCCGTACGGCGTCGTGTTCGGCGTACCGGCGATAGCGACGTTCGAGGTGATGCCCTGGATGTAGTTGGCCAGGAGCACCATGCCGGCAGCGGTCGAAGCGCCGCCAGTCGGGGCGTAGCGGACCTCGGTACCGAGAACGTTCGTGTCGGGGATGAGCAAGAGGTTCCCGATGACGACAGTACCAATGATCTGGTCCATGAAGTCGAGGCCGAAGTTGACATCGTTTGTCTGCGGAGCGTGATGATCAGTCGCGAAGTTCGGAGAGAACGCAGAGCGGTGGAGACGCACGATGACGGTGATCTGCGACGGGTTGAAGAGCGTCGCGTCGGCTGCGAAGTGGAGTTGGGAGTGAGCGACACTCGGATAGGAGACGGGAAAGCGGCACGCACCGAGGATCTGCAGGTAAGTCGGGTAGCCGTGGTGGACATCGAGGTTCGAAACGACGGTCGGGCGAGCGTTGAGCGACTGGATGCCGGCCAAGCTTGTGCCGACGCTGAACGGAATGCCCGAGATGGGAATGTTACCGGCGTTGGTCTGCGCGGTGACTGTTGGAGGGGGGACGTCAGCGCACGCCGGCACGGCGAGAAACAAGGGAGCTTACCATTCGCTCCACCATGCAGGTTGAAGCTGACGTCGGCCGTGTTCGTAACAGCGTTGAAGAAGTCGTTGAACGACCCCGTGTTGAGCGAGGTGAGAATCTGCTTCTTGAAGTCGAGCACGAGCGTTGCGTTGTTGCCGGTCGACGTCTCGGCGCTGACGGACTTGGCGACCGGAAGCGGGAGCAGCGCGGTGTCGACGCCGTTGTAGTTGCTGCACGAGGGGGGCGAGTGAGTACAGGGTCGCCTTGCCGGAGCGAGCAAGTCACGCACATGTAGAAGTCACCGCCAGCAGCAATCGCCGTGAGCGAGAAGCCGAACGGGTTCTGGTAGATCGCGACAGTACGGTTGTTCGAAGTCGGCACAGCGTATGCCTCGGACTGATCGGTGATCTGGATCGTCAAGTCCTGGAGCGTAACCTGAGGGAGCAGAAGGAGGTGAGCGTGCAAAGCTTCGTCGGCAGGATTAGACGAATCGCACCGAGTGGATAATGTCGTAGTGCCCGCCAGGAAGCGTAACGTGGATCGTGAGCTTCTTGAACGCGGCCGAAAGCCAGTCGACGGGCGAGTCGGGCTGCGCAGGCGAGACGACTTCCTGACCGGTAACGTCGAGAGTCTGCGCGCAAAATCGCAGCGTCAGCTTCCGCTCGCTGGGTTAGGAAAGGACATCCGAAGCCCACCTGGTTGACGCCCTGCAAGAACTGCGAGAAGAGCACGCCGAGCGTGTTGAGACCCTTTGATGAGGTCTGGCGGAGAACCTCGCCGGTGAGAACAGCGTCGGTCGTAGCGAGCGGCGCAAGAGTGAGGTCATTCGCCGAAATTGGGCCGACTGAGGAAAGAGGCGACGATGAGCTGCTGCAGCGAAAAGAGGGAGGAGGAAAGCAACGCACCTTCGACGCCCTGGAAATTGGCGATGAACGTCGCCGTTCCAAGCTGAACGCCGAGATTCGAGAGCGAAGGAATGGCCGTCTCGGTCTTGAGCGCAATGCCGTGAGGCGAGTCGGACGGGAAGTCGGGACGCGTGATCGTGACTGTGTGGGCGAGGAGGGTCAGCTGCGCTGTCGTCAGCTGTTCAGACGACTCGATGCTCACCTCCCGGAAGACCGTCGAACGCCTTGAACGAGACGTCCTTCGTGAGCGAGACGTTGTCGAAGATGGTCTGCAGGGCATAGACGCGAAGCTTGTTTGTCGTGATCGTCCAGGTGAAGCTACCGCGAAAGCGTCAGTACAAGCCTCGAAGGCGAGAGGCAGAGAGGCTGTGACGCACTCAGGGTTAAGCAGGAGGTCCGTAGCGAAGCCGGTGAAGCGACCCTTGTCGGTGATCGTAAGCGTCGCCGTCGTCTGCAGGTTTGGAACACCGCTGCCGCCCGACGAACAGATGGGCGGCAAGGCGAGGTCGGCGATGTGGTTGCCTTTGTAGATGACCTGGACGCCTTGCGGGAACTCGATAAGGGCGTCGAAAGGACCAGCATTGAGGAGGCTACCGGTGAGCGCGACCTTGAAGCCCGAGTTGGTGAGGTCCGTGACCTGGCCAGTCGTGAAGGTGAGAGCCGTGCCGTCGACGATGTGCGAGACGATCGTCTTTCCGAGAATGCCGGTGAGGTAGAGAACCGAGTCATCGAGGACGGTCGGAACGTTGAACTGGTTGAAGTCGAGCGGCGTCTGGAAGTCGTCGAGCTTGACCGTCGACTGGATCGTCAGGTTCGTCTTGAGGTTCTTGACGGCGGCGAGAATGAGGCCCTGGACGAGCTTGGTGGTCCCGGTCGGAGCGCAGGTCTCGGGCTGCGTGTTGACGGTGGTTGTGACCGAGGAAGCGGTCGAGTCGAGGCCGAGGACGTAGTTGAACTCCGGAACTGCAGGCCGCAAGGTCAGCTTCGCAGAGGCGATTTGTGATGGAGAAAGACCTACCCAGGATACCGAGATCGACGCCGTTTGCCGCCGCGACAGCCTCGAGGAAACGGATGAGAGCTTTCGGGTCGGTGTTCAGGGTGAACGGAAGGTCCTGAGACGTGGCAGTCGAGTGGCCGGCCGTGCTGAAGACCGGGTTCGGCTTCGTGTTGACCTGTCCAAGGTAGTTGTCGCCGTAGGTTGCGTTCGCGAGGACCTGCAAGAGGTTGACCTGCGCGGTGAACGGGTTCTGCAGCGTCACCTTGGTGCTGGCCTTGTTGGTCGTGGCGATGTCGATCGGGAATGTGAGGGCAGCCTGCGTGATGAGGTTCTGCGTGTACGCCGGAATGATCGTGCCGAGCTGGATCGTCTTGAGAGCGGGCTTGAGCGAGTCGATCGGCGTCGTGCTGTCCGTGCCCTGAATGATGGTCGAACTGTTGACATCCTGGATGTAGTTCTCGAGGAGGAGCTGACCGGCAGCTTGGGCGTCGCCGCCGTGCGGCTCGTAGTGGACTGCGGTCGGGACGACGTTGACGCCCGGCGCGAGGACGAGGTTGTTGATGTTGGCCGTGCCGATTTGCTGGTTCTGGAAGTTGAGGCCGAATGCAACGTCGCCCGTACCGATCGTGATGTTCGAAGGGTTGTAAAGGTGGGCATTTACTGCGGATCGAAGTGAAGCGGGTCAGCCAGGCTCGCGAGATGAGCGGAGGAAGCGGACTCGCCGTTGATCTGCAGGTAGTTCGAGTAGCCGTGATAGACGTCCAGGTCCGAGACCGTCGCAGGCTGGGCGTTCAAGCCTTGCAGGCCCAAAAGCGAGGTGGAGACGGAGAAGGCGATGCCGTCGAGGTTGAGCGGGCCGACGGCGGTTCCGGCAACCGTGTCTGCGGCGCCGTGCAGCTGGAACGTCTTCGAGACGTCGTCCGTGACTTGCGTGAGGAAGCTAGCGAAGAGGTTGTTATCAACCGAAGCGAAGGGGACGTTCGCAAAGGCGAGAACAATCGTGCGCGCAACGACATCGGTCTTGGCCGGGTTCGACGGAATGTCCAGAAGGGCAAAGTCGCCGTTCGCGCGCTTAGCACGCTTGCCCGAGCCAGTGTCGGCCGAGTAGATCTTCGACGCCAACGAGGTGATGTCGACCGGGAACGCGAAGGGCAGGCCGAACGAGGCGATGGTGTCAGTCGTGGTGAAACCCGGGTTCCACGGGTCCGACTGGCTGAATTGGAGGGTGAGCGAGTTAATGTTGATGCCGCTGATGACCTGCAAGTTCTGCGCGGCGGGAAGGATGACCGGGATCGCAAGGTTCTTGATGCCCGTCTCGAGCCAGCTTGCCGTGTTGCCAGCGCTGTCGCCGTGGACGACGAGTTCGGAGGGAACGCCGTGGACGAAGCCGTTGAAGATGGTCGAAACGTCGGCGAGCGCCTTCGGGTCGGACTGTGGAATGAGGCGGCCGACGAGCGGGAGCTGGATCGTCGACTTCGGGGTGAGGGCGAAAGAGCCGTTTGACGCGGCAGGACCGATGTTCGTGGCGCCGAAGAAGTTCTGGAAGCCGATGCCGGCGAGCGCGACACCGACCGACGACGGGTTGGTCAACTGCGTCTGCAGCGTGAGGTGGATACCGCCTGCGGGGTCGTTGTACGGGAGGTCGAACGACTCGATCGTGACGAGGTTCTTGAAGCCGTTCATTCCGGTGAGCACGACGTCCTTCATGATCGAGATCCCGCCGACGGTGATGCCGAGCGCAGAGACCTCGAGGTTCTGGCCGTAGATCTGCCAGGTGAAGGACGGCTCGGTGAGGAGGTAGCCCGTAAAGTCGGTGAGGTGTCCGACATCGGCAACGTTGAAGGCAGCCTCGAGGTTGAGGTCGGCGCCAACGTCGGCGACGAGCGAGACGTTCGGCATCGCGATCTGACCGAGCGGCTGGCCGTTCCAGGCGACAGTGAGGCCTTCCGCGAAGGCAATGACGGCGTCGAAGGGACCCGAGTTGCGGATGTTGCCGACAAGGCCGGCTTGGAAGGCTGCGGGGGCGAGCACAGGTCAGCGGGCAAACTCGCACAGGCGAGGAGGAGGGCGTACAAGGCGTCGTCGGGTTCGTGATCATGACGGTGTCGACACCGAGGCTCGCCTCGTCGACAATCTTCTGAACAATGGGTCGAGCGAGGACGGGAAGGAGGAGCTGTAGGGATACCATCGTCAGCAGGTGTCACCGTTGAACGCATCGAGGGGACATACGGTCAAGGACGAGTCGGTGTAGGCGGCCACACCCGGCTGCGAGTACTTGAGCGAGGTCGTGTACTCGCCGATGTTGAGCGTGGTGAGGAGGTCGACGTTGACTTTGAGGCCAGAGAACGCCTTGAGAACGTAGCTCGGGAGGTCGAAGCTGTAACGGGCGGAAAGTCAGTCGCGAATCTTTCGACAGCGGAGGAGACTGCGAACGAACCCGGTGTAGAGGTTGCGCTTCTCGAGGCTGCGTTTGCTCTCCTGCGAGAAGACGAGAGCGTCGCCCGTCTCGTTGCCGATCTGGGCGAGACCCTCAGGCGAGCCGTCGAGGCCGTCGAGATAGCCGTAGGCGTCGTACTCCTGACTGCGCTTGACGCGGCGTGACGAAGTCGGGCTTGGCGTCGTCGGGACGTACTGGTACCCGCCGAGCTTGACGATGCCGTCGATCTGGTCCGTCGCCATCCCTTGTTCGACCGCGAGAGCGCGGAGGAGCGAGAAGATGTCGGGAGGGTACAAGTTCAGGTTGCTGTGACAAGCATGAGCATCAGTCAGTTGCTTGCGAAGGTTGCAGAAGGAGGGTGCGTGAGACGCACAAAGGTAGCGTGGGCGAGTCCGTGTTCGAGTGTCCCGCCGACGCAAAGTTCGTGTCGGTAACGATCGAACCGACAAAGAGGCCGAACGAGGTGATGTTGCTCTGGATGTTCTTGATGTTGAGCGGTGCCGTGAACGGGTTGGCGAGGCTGACCGTCGAGTCGGCAAAGTCGTTCGTGACGCCCGTCGTCGGGAGGACCGTCAAGTTGGCGTAGTTGAGCAGCTTGGTCTTGAGGCCGGGCAAGGTCGCGTTAAGGTGGAGAGCCATGAAGGCCTGCGTGAGCGACTCGGTCGCGGTCGAGCCGTTGAAGCCCGAGATCTGAAGCTGGGTGTCGTTGCCGGTGACGAAGGCGGTGAGCGTGTCGAGCGAGCCCTGGTTGTTGTTCGCCTGGAAGTAGCCGACGGAGGGGCGAGTCTGGAAGCCCGTCGTGAGGTGCAAGTCGGGCAGGACGGTCGTACCGAGGAAGCTGTCGCCATTGAAGAGCTGGAACGTGACGTTTCCAACTTGAAGGTCGAGGTTCGACGGGTTGGTAAGACCGACGGAGATGTTGAGCAGGATCGCATCCGGCGTGCCGCCGAGAACGTCGACGCTCTCGATGATCGTCGGGTACGTCTTGAGGCTCTCAAGACCGATGAGGCCTGCGGGGACAGTGAAGCCGATGTCGGTAAGGGCGACCTGTCCGAGCGGCGTGTCGGTGACGGCGCTCGTGTTGCCGACGAGGAGGAAGCGCGAGCCGTTCGTCGTCGTCAAGTCGTACGTGAACTGGTCGAAGGCGAGGTGGTCGGTGTAGGCGGGGCCAATCGTGAGCGGCGCCTTTGGCAGGTCAAGCGTGATGTCTCCCAGGGTGTAGCCGGCGTTGCGACTCGTGATGGTTGTGTTGGACGAGCCGTACGGCGTCGAGAGACTCGCGACGATCGTGCGGTTGTCGACGATGCCAAAGTCGTTCTGGAGGCGGACGATGTTGAGCGAGAAGCCAAAGGGCAGGCCAAACGTCGCAGAGACGGCCGACGAGTTCGCCTGCGGAGCGTACGGCTGCGACGGGTCAAACTGGAGGGAGAGCTCCTGGATCGTGATGCCGGTGATGGGCGCGATGCGACCAGTCGGCGACTTGAGCGGGACGTTGAGCGTCAGCGCCGAGATACCGGCCGTCAACCAAGCGATGTTCTCGCCTCCGGGCAGGTCGATCGACAAGCCGCGAGCCTGGACGGGGATCGTGTCGCCATTGAGGTACGCCGAGAAGAGGGTGCCGAGCTTCTGCAGGGCGGCGTTGTCGTTCTCGTACGGGAGGAGGCGGCCGACGAGGTGGACGTAGTTGACGCCCGCCGTCAAGTTGACCGGTCCCGACGTGTGCGCCGGCCCGAGAAGCAGGTCACCGTAGAAGAGGCTGACACTCAGGACACCGATCTCGATACCGAAGGAACTGCAGAAACGCGAGGTGAGCGGAATGATCGCGAGAGGGAGAGAAGGAGGAAGCGGGCGCACCTCGGGTTGGTCAACGAGGTCACAACGCTGAGCGAAATACCGCCTGCAGGGTCGTCACCCGGGAGTTGGAAGTCCTTGATCTCGATGTTGGTGAAGTTGGCCATGGCGGGAAGCGTCAAGTCCTTGGTAAAGTCGAGGTGGTTGGCCGGGATGAAACCGAACGCCTTGGCTTGGACCTCGGTCGACTTGAGGCGCCAGGTGAACTGGTCCTGCGTGATGAGGTACTGCGCGAACTCGGTGAAGCCGGGCTCATCGTCGATGAAGAACTTGGTCTGCTGCTTGATGCGACCGTGTCCGGCAGCGACGCCGATGTAGTCCAGGTTGAAGTGTCCGATCTGGATCTCGCGCGACGTGTTCTTCGGGCTGACCCAGTATGCGCGGACGGGGCGGTGGAAGTAGAGGTGGGCGGGGAAGATGCCGACCTTCTTGACCTGACCTTGGAGAGTGAGGGTGAAGGTGCTGTTCGTCGGGGAGGTGATGTTGGAGGCGTCGATGTGGAGGACCGAGGTCGAGAGGGTGTGAAGGGCGACGGCGCGGAGGATGGGGAAGACGAGGAGGAGGATACCGATGGCGAGTGCGCCGAAAGTGAGGATCGGGCAGAGGATGAGAAACTGTCGGCAGTCGTGTCAGCCTGGATTCAAGACAGCTCGTCGTCGACTACGCACCTTCTTCGACTTGTAGATGGGCTTCTTGGCGTAGGGAGTACCTGGAAGCGCGCGGAGAAGTCAGCGGGAGAGTGAGATTTCGCAAGCCAGCAAAGGCGAACGCACCCAACGCCGCGAGGAGACCGATGGGCATTCCGCCCTTGTATGAGTCGTCGAGTCCATCGTCGTACGCTCCTGCGCCTACCGCTCCCGCTCGTCCAGTCCCGTTTCCTGCGGTGCCGTTCGTCGACTGGGAGGAGTGGCGGGCGACGGGTGCGCCGGCTCCAATGAGGCCGGTCTGCGATTCTGCCGAGTGTCCGCCGGCAGATGAGCCGACAGACCCTGGTCGACGGGCGCGGAGGTACTGGTCCTGCAGCGGGAACGAGGAGGACGGGGTCAGCACAACTCGCTCGAAAGGTCGCGTTCGCCTGCTGCGCTCGTCGCACAATCTGAGCCACACTGTTCGACCTCCACGACCAGCTGCACGCTGCGAGTCGAGCGAGGGCGACGGCGGTCCTCCTCGCGCTGACCCTTGTCGCCGTCGCGCCGTCTCCACCGCGCAGCACCGCATCGCCTGGCTCGTGGCGCCTGTGCTAGCCTTGATGCATCCCAGGCAGTCGTTCTGCGTCCTGCACGGCGGCGCAGAGGGCGCGACACCACGGCAGACGACCCCACTCCGGCGAACTCGACCCTCCGTCCTCCCGCTCGCCGTACGGCCGCTCGCACCCGTCCGGCTGGCTCGGAAGGAGACTCACGTCGCCCATGGATGCTGGCTCGTCATGGTTGCGGAACGGCTCGTGCGTCGCTGCCGTCTGAGGCTTTGCCGGCCACATCCTGGCGACCCTTGGGGTAAAGGGGGAAAGGGGAGGCGGGGGGGCGGCTGTTTTGAGGTCTGCGGGCAGAGGTTAGTACAGCGGGGAGGCGCTACGGCGCGCTGGCTGGGCGGAAGGCGCTGCTGGCGAGGCGGCAGCTGGCGAGGAGTCGAGGGCGCAGTGAGAGGAAAGGCGGGGTCGAACTCTGTGGGCTCCTTCTTGCGGTCGAGGAGATTTCGCGGTGACCCCGGCGACGACGATCGAGCTGGCGAGCTTGCCGGTAGCGGGGGGCGGGTCCAAGTCGGCGGGCGGGAAGGGCTCAGCGACCAGGAGTAAGGTCGAGGAGAGGAGTGTCGAGCCTGCAGCAGCTGAGAGTGGCGGCCTTCGACTTTAGCGGCGCCAGAGGGCCCCGCCGTCTGCTCAAAAGGGTGCCCCGTCTCGAGCGGCCACTTCGCGCCGTCGATTGCCGTCGTTTCGAGACTTGCTCGTTTGCATCAAGAGGCCTTCAATTTCATGTCTCTTGATCACGCGCGCCAAAATGAAGACTCAGGGCCGTCTTCCTCCCTCGTCGCTCTCCTCCCCCCCGTCGACGCTGGAGGGCTCGCCGGCGCGGTGTCGGCGTCTTTGTGGCTCTCGCAGGCGACAGCGCTGTTCTTAACGACTTCCAGGCGCTGCAGGACGGGTTGTGGTATGTATGAAGGAGGATGGCAGGGCGGGGAGGAAGCCGGGCGAACGGAGCTCTTGTCCCTGACTTGCGCTCTGCGTCGTGACATCTCGCCGCCAAATTTCCCGACCGCTCGTCGACCGCCGCGAGCCATTTCAGCGCCTTTCATGTTCCGCCTGCCTGTCCAGGTCGGATGGCGTCTGTCGCCGGCTCGTCTGAGAGGCCGGAGGACTGGCGAAGAACACGGCGATTCCTCTTACAACACCTTGCACGACGCTACGAATACTGCTACAAGTCCTGCGTCGACCGCCCGATACGATAATACGCTCGCTTGACCCTGCGACGGACAGGAGCGACGTCAGGAGACATCGAGGAGGAGGAGGAGGAGGGAGGAAGGGGAGAGCTCGACGCACTCGTACAGGATGATGTCGCTCCAGAGGTACGATCCTGGCAAGGCGTCGGGGTGGAGGAAGTCGCGGAACTGCAACGAGGGCGAGTCAGTCACATCGTGGAGAATGAGCGAGAGAAAGAAAGCGCACATGGTTCTCCTGACCCTCGAGCAGTTTGCCCACCTCGTCCACCCGTATCCGCTCATCGAAGCCATAGTCTGTCCCATCCGCATCTCCTAGCTCTCGACCGATATGTTCAATGTCGTGAAGCGCTTCGGGCGGGAGGTGGGAATGGACGAGCGAGCCGGAGTTCGAACGGAAAGCGGGACTCGTCGCGAGCGAGCTGACGCGGAGATCGTGCATCGTCTTGCGAGCAAGAGCATCAAGAGGGGCGACGCGAGAGTAAGGTGTGTAGTCTGCCAGGAGAAGAGTCAGACTGGGTCGCGCAGGAAGCGGAGGAAGCGGACGCACTGTTGCGCTTCGGGTGATGCATCGTCCGCCAGCTGATGACGGGACCGTCTCGAATCCCTCGAGTCCCAGGAAAAGCCTTGGCGACCTCCTTAATGACCTCGACGATGTGCTTCCGCCACCTCGTCTCCCTCTCCTCGCCTATTGGCCCAAACGAGCGGTCGTCGTCGGTCGGGTACGGGCGCGGAATACCAGCCTTGATGAAGTCTTCCTCTGTCATCTGTCGCAAGTCCCAGTAGCCCGAAGCGACTTCAATGACGGTTGGCTGGAGGATTGACGGACGGTCGAAGTGAGCGGCGAGGTTCTTGATGAGCGGCAGGTCCTTGTTGAAGAAGCGCTGGAGGAAGGTGGCTGCAAGAATGGCAGTGTGAGCACGAGCGCTCGAAGGAAGGATTCGGTCGACGCACAGGGTCCGTGGAAGAAGTCCTCCGACTCGAACGCATCCTCGAGATCCTCCAAGCCCTGCAGGGGAGCCGTCAGCTTCGTCATCGCAGGACAATGAGGACATCGAACACACCCAGTGGAACGAGCTGACGATTGTCGCGCCGTACTCCTTGATGTCGCAAACCCAAGGCCGGGTAATGTTCCAGCTCTTGACGCGATCAAACTCCCACTGGTCCTCCTTCTTCCTCCGCTCCTCCTTTCGCCGCTTCGACTCTTCCGACTCGTCGCCGTTCGCGTCGAGAAGCGTTGGCAGCTTCTTCCGGTAGATGGGCGGACTGGCGGGATGGCGAGGCGTGATGTGGTGGAGGTCGCCGCCTACAAAGTCGCAGAATTCGGACAGATGCAGTCGCTCCATCGAGTCGCCTGCAGAACGAAACGAATGAGCAAATGATGCGAAAGAAGGAGAAGGATTTCACGCACCGAGCAAGACAATCGTTGCGTTCACCAACCACGGGTAGAACTGCCCCCGCTCATCCTTGTCACCCTGCCACCGTACAGTCGTGTCATGTGACCGCCTCGGCCCTCGCTGCTTGTGGAAGCCTCGTCTCGACGTCTTCCTCATTGCTTCGACCGAGTTGACGACTCCTTCCATCAGCCGAGAGGGCGGGCATGCCTCGTCGTACGGTCGCCAAATGTTGTTGAACTGCGGGAACTTCCGATCAGTATGCGCTAGATGAATACAGAGCGTGAAGAAACACACCTTGTTCCGCACGTCCACCTCTAACCGTCCCGGCTCCTTGAACGGGTTGCAGCTCCATTCCTCCGGTACATCCGTCGTCTCAAAGTCCACCGCAATCCGGTGCCGCGCAGTGTACTGCAACTCGCCCTGTCCCGTCTGCCAGGGCGTACTCGGCAAGTGATTCAGGAGGAGGACGAGCAAGCCCGCAACTCCTGCTGTCGCGACGAGCAGTCCCCCCAGTCGTCGTCGCCGCAGTGTCTTCGTGGATGCCGATTCGCCGCCAATGCCGTTCAGCGAGTGACTCCTGCTGTGAGCGAGCTTCTTCTCGACGAATGCGCCGGAGGAGTCGGCTCCCGCTGCAGAGGGCGAGGTCGCCAGGAGTGTGTACGGCGCTCGAGCAGTCAAGCTGCCCGTCAGCGGCAGGGCAGGCATCCCAGGATCCAGCACGGTCGAAGCAGCGAGGGAGGAAGTGACGGAAGAGCGGAGGAGGAATTGGCTGGACGGGGCGTCGGCACCGCCTCGGGACGCTCTGTGGAGACGTCTACGGCTGGGGGAGCTGGGCCAGTCGCCAGAACGCCAGAGAACGCCGAAAGAGGGAGGAGGCGAGTTGGCGGCGTCCAGCCATCTCTCTTTGACCTTCCTAACTTCGATCGAAGGGCGTCCTCGTTCGCCAACGGCGCTCATCCTTGCTTTGCTCGTGAATGCAGCCAAAAGATGTCTTTGCAAGTGTCCGAAGCAACCGAGGAAGCGAGAAGAACGCAAAAGTCTCCCTCATTTCGCCGAAGTGCTCCTCCTCGTCGCTGTCGCCCTCCCATGCTTGCGAAGCAGTTGCCAGCAGACCGACGGCCTCGCGCCACAAAGCACGAGTCAGAAGAGGATTGCGAGCAGGCCCTCGACGGGATGAGCCAGTGCGCGTCTTTCCATCCCTCGCAAAGTCTACTGCTCCTGCGCCTCGCCCTTGACCTCCTCCGCGCCATCCTGCTCCTGCTCCACCGGCTCACCCTTGTGCCCAACTGGCGTCCCCGCAAACTTCTTCCTCAACGCCTCGAACCTCCTCCGCTGCTGCCTGCTCACACTCGGGTTGGCCTTCCTCAGCGCCACCTCGAAATGCCTCATCTGCACGACCGCCTGTCCCTGCGCTTGAGGTAAAGCGGAATCGATAGCCGGTCCGTCGAGGTCGATCGAGTCGAACAGCTCGCGGAGAGCAGAGACCGCCGCCTCCCTCACCAACGCGCTCAAATCCGCCCCGCTCAATCCCTCACTCTTCTCGTCCCGGGCGATCTTGTCCAGATCGACGTCGGGCGCGAGTGGGGTCTTGCGCGTGACGGCGCGGAGGATCTCGGCTCGTTCGGGTGCGGAAGGGAGGTCGACGTAGAGGAGCTTGTCGAGACGGCCGGGGCGGCACATGGCTGGGTCGAGGATGTCGGGTCGGTTGGTGGCGCCAATGACGAAGACTTGTTTGCGCGGCTCGAGACCGTCGAGCTCGGTAAGGAGGGTATTGACGATTCGGGCGGTGGACTCGGACTGCGAAGAGCCTCTTTCACCGTCAGCTTCTCCTCCGCGGACTGAGCAAGAGATGAAGCCAGAGGGATAGCGTGACGCACGAGACTGTCGTCCCTGCGGGGGACCATCGCGTCGAGCTCGTCAAAGAAGACGATGCACGGGCTGGACGCCCTCGCACGCGCAAAGACCTGCCTGACCGCGCGCTCCGACTCGCCGACGTACTGCGTTCGCCCAAAACGCTCAGATGCATCAGCTCTGCGTGCTCGAGCGAGAACGAGAAGCGAATGCGGCGATGAGGCGCAACGCACCTTGTTGAGCAATTCGGGCCCCTTGACGCTGATAAAGTTCGCGCGACTCTCGTTCGCCACGGCTTTGGCCAGGAGCGTCTTTCCGCACCCCGGCGGGCCCCAAAGCAACACTCCACACGGTGCGTTCAGTCCGAGGAGACTGAAGACATCGGGCCTTCGAATAGGCCGAACGATCGACATGCGCATCTCTTCGCGAATGTGGTGTAGCGCGCCGAGGTCGGACCAAGTCACGTCCGGGACGGTGGTGAACCCTTCCCGCTGAGAGGAGGGCTGGACGATGCTGAGAGCGCGGGTGAAGTCTGAGTTTGTGAGTGCGATGCAGGAGAGTTGGGCGGGTGTGAGGGCGGTTGGGTGCGAGCGGAGGAAGGAGGCGATTGGGAGGGAGGCGAGCGAGGGAGGGAGAGTCGAGAAGGGAAGGGCGGGGATCGCAGCGGCGAGAGAAGGGGGGAGCTCGCTTGTCGGCGTGGAGGCGCCGGGCGTCGTAGCTGTAGACGCAGGCGCAGTCGCACCGTCCACCTCGACCTGCATCTCCGCATCGTCGTCCCCCTGCACCGGCTGACTGAGCGCCGCAAGCGCCCCTTCAACCGTCTTCATATCCACCGGCATGCCCTCCTCTCCCGCCATCCCGTCAACACCGAACGTCTCGAAAATCCGCTTGACAGCAATCACGCCCGCCGCGCCCGTCAAAGCACTCAAATCCGCCCCGACATACCCAGGCGTGTTCTTCGCCAAGGCCTTGTAATCAAAGTCTCCGCTCAACCTCAACTTGCTCATCAAGACGCGGAGGATCCGCTCGCGACCGGATTCGGAGGGGACGGTGAGGGCGATTTCGGCGTCGAAGCGGCCTGCGCGGCGGAGGGCTGGGTCGAGCGAGTCGGGTCGGTTCGTGGCGGCGATGACGACGACGGGCTTATTGTCGTTCTTGTCCCAGGCGAGGTCTGCGCGACGAGCGAGTACGAGCGTGCGTGAGTGACATCTCCGGAACACCGAGGTACCGTACAACCTCGAGACCAAGGCTAGCAGACGCCAACAAGCGAAGATCACGCCGACTCACCATCCATGCACGTCAGCAGCTGCGCGACAATCCTCCTCTCCATCTCGCGCTGGGCGTTCTCGCGCTTGGGCGTAATCGCGTCAATCTCGTCGATGAACAAGATGCACGGGGCTTGTTTCTGCACGCGCCATCTCGTCAGCCTAAAAAGAGTAGGGAGGGAGGAGGAGAAGGGATGGGACGCACGGCGGCCTCTTCGAAAGTCTCGCGGAGGGTCTTTTCGGATTCGCCTGACATGCCGCTGACGACCGAAGGCGCCGAGATCGAGATGAACGGGAGTCCGAGTTCCTGCGCGAGTGTTCTCTTCTGTCAGCGTGCGTAAGGAGAGATGGAAGCGAGCGAACGCACGCCGGCAATCGCACCCGCCAACATGGTCTTTCCGCACCCTGGCGGTCCGACGAGCAACACACCCCTCGGCGGCCTCACGCCCGTATGCAGATACACCTCGGGATGCATGAGCGGGAGAGCGACGAGTTCGAGCATCTGTTCGATGCACGAGTCGACGCCGCCGAGGTCTGCGAGACGAGTTGTTGGCGGGGCATGGGTCGATGAGGAAGCGGCGGTTGCGGGACGGGATCGTTTGGGTGTGGATGGGTCGCGTGAGGATGTCGATGGACGGAGTTTGCGCTTGCTTGCGGTTGGAGCGGGAGTGGTTGAGGCAGGAGGAAGAGGAGGAGGGGCGGTCGAGGTTGAAGCGACGGGAGGTGCCGCGTCGCTCGGCTGCTCGTCGCCCGCCCGAGTCTCTGGCTGTTGCTGTGGTGCACCCAACGGACTCGGCTGGTTCAGCGAGAGCGTCGTCGGTCTGCGGTACTGTACGCCGGAGAGCTGGCGGTTCAAGTGGACGAGCGGCTGTCGGCGCGAGCTGTGAGTTGGTGTACTGGGGTAATCGATGTGTGCGAGTCTACCTGTGATGCGCTCATCCCTCCAGCGTGCGTGCGTTGTGGTGAACGAGGCGAGTCGAGGTGATGAGGCGGTGTCCGAGCGAGCTTGGGCAAGTCGACCGCGAGCTCTCCCTCCTTGACCTCAGCCCATCCACGCCAACGAGCAGCTCAACGATGGTCAAGATCAGGAAGAGTGAGTCTACACACCACGCTTGACACGCCAGCGAACGAACGGCGCGCTGACATGCCCTCGTCCCGCGCCATCGCACCCACCTAGAGACCTCGAAGCGCACGACCACGCGCATGCGCGAAAAGGTCAAGCACAAGGTGTCAGAGGCTCACAAGAAACAGAAGAAGCACGCAAAGAAAGACCCGACCTGGAAGAGCAGTCCGTCCACATTCCCACCACCCTTCTCACTCGACGTCGAGCTGATCAAGCCATTCTCCCGCTCACAGAGAAGCCAAAGGAGCTCGGCATCCCCAACAGCTTCCCCTACAAGGACCAGGTAATCGCAGAGCAGCAGGCGGAAAAGGCCAGGGTGCGTCCGGCGTCCTCTCTCTTGGTCCGCGGGCTCTTCTCTGAACGCAAAGCTGACCTGGATCGAACGTCTCCGCTACGCAGGTCGAGGCTGAAAAGGCCGCTCGCCGAGATGCCGCCATCGCCGCCAACAAGCAAGGCAGCACGCTCGCCTCGACCGCCGCTCTCGCTGCCGCCCTCGCCGCCGACTCTGCAGCTCGGGAAGACGCCCTCGCACTCGGCGAGTCGATGGACGAGGACGACGAGGAAGCGCAGGTGCAGGACGCGTCGCTCAAATTGCATGCCAAGAGCTTGCGAAAGGTCCTCGAGATGAGCGATGTCGTTATCGAGGTCTTGGATGCGAGGGACCCCGTCGGGACGAGGTGCAGGGCGGTCGAGAGGGAGTTGAAGGCCATGGATGGAGGGAGGAAGAAGCTCGTGTTGGTCCTCAACAAGATTGGTGCGTTGCATGCGATGCACTGTCTGGAAGAGTTTCGCGGGACTAACTCTCGAGTTCGTCGCTCTTCCTGTGTCCTGCGCGCATTTCTATGCAGACCTCGTCCCTCCCGCCGTCGTCCAAGCCTGGCTCTCCCACCTCCGTCTCCAAGCCCCCACGATCCCCTTCAAGTCCTCAACCCAACAACAGCGCTCCCACCTCTCCGCCTCGTCCTCCTCGACTCCCCAGTCTGCCTCAGGCTCGTCGACCAAGCCTCTGATGGAGCTCATCAAGGGCTTCCGGTTGAACCACGCCGCTACCGCTTCGGGCGAGGGTTCGTCCAGCTCGGCGCCGGTCAAGCACTCCTTGACAATCGGACTCGTCGGACACCCGAACGTCGGCAAGTCCTCGCTCATCAACACCCTCAAGCGTTCGAAGGCGTGCAGCGTCGCCCCCACGCCCGGATGGACGAAAGAAGTCCAGGAAGTCGTGATTGAGAAGGGTGTCAGGGTGTTGGATTGCCCCGGTGTGGTGGTCGAGATGAGGGGCGAAGTGGAGGGCGCGTTGAAGGGGATGATCAAAGCTGAGGCGGTATCGGACCCGAAGGCGCCCAGTACGTTCCAGCTCTCCCCGATTCGCGCTCTCGAGAAGCTGACCCGCCAACGCGTGCGCAGTCGAAGCCATCCTCGCCCGCTGCTCGCCCACCCACCTTCAGATGCTCTACTCAATCCCCTACTTCAACGACACGACCTCCTTCCTCCTCGCCGTCGCACGCGCCAAAGGTCGCCTGCGGAAGGGCGGCGTCCCCGATCTCGACGGGACAGCCCGCTCTGTCCTTCGCGACTGGGTCGCAGGACGAATCGCGTACTACACTGCGCCGCCTACGAAGGACCAGACTGAGCGTCTCAAAGCCGCTACCAGCGCCGAAGCGGAGCAAGTTGGGACCGTGAGCGAGACGGACGTCGGTTCTGCGACGCTCCATACGACTTTTGCCCCGGCTTTCGATCTCGATGCGTTGTTTGGAGAGGCGGACAAGGTTGCGTTCGGGGAGGACGGCGCGGGAAGTTCGGTTGGCGAGATGAAGGCTGTCAAGATGAAGGAGGGGGCGTTGGGCGTCGAGAGTGACGATGCGGATGTGGGATGGATTGTCGAGGACAAGCCCGAAGAGGCGGAGACGATGGCCGCGGACGACGACGGTCTCAACCTTGATGACCTTGTCGACGACGAGGAGTTTGGCGGTTTGGACGAGGACGACGCAATGGAGGCCGAGGACGAGCAGCCCGCCGCTGCTCCTGCACCTGTCCTGCCGAAGGGCAAACGCGCCGCGCCTTCGTCGACAAGCGACATCGTCTCTGTCGCCCCGCCCGCCAAGAAGAAGAAGGCCGTCAAGAGCGTCTCCTTCTCCTCCACCCCGCTCGGGCCGACCGGCTCAACCTCCGCGCCCGCTCCCTCGGCCGCCGCAGCGAACACCAAGCTCTTCACGTCGGTCGAGGCAGAGGGTGATGTCTCGCTCAACAAGAAGAACAAGCGTCAGGCGAAGAAGGACAAGAAGCGCGCTGCGAAGCAGACTGCCAAGATGGACGCCGAAGTCGGAGCTGCGACGCGCGAGTTTGGAGAAGACGCAGAGTTGCCCTCGAAGCCGAGGGAGGCGCAGACTGTCAAGGCTGCCGGGCAGGTCGGCGGCGCGTACGACTTTGCGGAGTTCTTTGCGGTTGGTGGGAAGGGCGGTGCGGCAGGCGGGAAGAAGCGCAAGGGCGCGAACAACGACGACGACGAGGAGATGTCGTAGGCCGTCTTCCCTATTCCCTCTTTCGCTCTTGCACGTTCTTTCCCGGTTCTCACGGTTGGTTTTCCCCCCTCTTGCATTCGTTCCCGTCTTCTCACTTGTTCATGTAACGCTATCGTTCTTTCACGCACACGACGGGACTCTCGAGCGAGCGGCGAGGTGGCGAGATGAAGAAGCTGGTCTTACGCAAACACAAAAGCTATGAACGACAAAGTAGGGGAGAGAGCATCACGGCTCTAGCGGGAGACGGGGGATATGACGATGCGAATAGGCGAGCAGGCGGAGGCGAAGGAAGAAAGGGGGGTCATTCGCCGCGACCTTCGAGTGCGCGGACGATGCCGAACGAGGCAGCTGCTGCAGCACCACCGACGAGGAGGGTCGAGATACTGCCGTATGCATAGCCTGCGCACCGTTCCGCGGTCAGCTCGAAGCGGAAGAGAGAGATGAGGAAGGGACGCACCCGAAACGCCGATTTCCGCACCGCTCACGTACGCCTTGACCGCTCCAAAGAGGAGCAGCACGACGCCTGTGATACCGACGGACCACCACAACGCCTTGATGGCGAGATGGAAGAAGAAGTACGGCGCGAGGGGGATAAGTCCGCCGAGGAAGTACGACAAGCCGATCGTCAGTGCCGAGATGAACAGCCGCGCGTCGGTCGTCTCCTCCAACCCCTCGCCGAACTTGAGCAAGAACGCCGTGAGTCCTTTATCGTCGTCGTCCGCGTCCTTGTCGGTTTTGGTAGGCAACAAGCGCGCGCGTTCGGGGTCGGAATTTGTGAGGTTCGTGAAGCGAGGACGGCGGGCGATGGCGTTGAGGCATTGGCGGGTGATGGAGAGCGGTGCTTCGGGGGGCGGGAGGGTCGCTTCGACGGAGAGGAGCGCGCCAGCAATGCGGCGGGAGAGGGCGTCGTCGACGCCGAGTGGGGAAAGGATCGCATTGACTTCGCGCTCCATCTCACCTGCGCAGGATCGCATCACTCGTTCCTGCAATCTCGACTCGTGAGCTCTGGATGCAACCTGACATGGAGAGGGACGCGTAACGCACCCGAGTCTGCTTCTTCAAGTAGCGGTAGTGATCACGCTCTGCCTGCGCCGACAAGTAGCCACCGACTCCCATACTCAGCGCACCCGAGACGAGTTCTGCGATGCCAGCCGTGACGACGAGCTTCGACGAGCCGAGCGAGGAGAGACCGGCGGTGAGGGCGAAGGGGACGGTCAGGCCTGTGGGGTTGTCGGAGTCAGCTGGTGCATCGTATCGTGGAGAAAGAGCGGGAAGGACGAACCATCCGCAAGGCCGCTGCGGCACGCAAGGAGAGAGGGTTAGCTCGTTCACGTCGCCTCGGAAGAGCAGACGGCTCGCACATGATGATGTCCTTCACGACGTCGGGATTAATCAAGTGCCGCTCGTCGTCTCCCTTCAGATCCCTGCAGCACACCGTCCGTTCGCGGTTGTGCAGGTCGCATTTGGCCGCTGTGAGGGGTCGAGGTGGGTGCGCGGGACGGAGAGCGGTAGGGGTAAACGAGGGTACGTGTCGGCATCGTGAGAGGGAATCGGGAGGATTGAGCGAGTCGCAGGTCGTCCAGGGGATGTGCGAGGGGAGTGAGCGGGTCGGCGAGGAAATCAAGCCACACATGTCAGCAGCGGCGTCGAGCGTGCCAGGCGGGGCAGGGTGAGCCAGTGAGTGTGCACGCACCCAGTGGGACTTCTGCGTTTCCGTCTGCGCTCGCCTCGAGTGACCAGACGGGCGCGTTGGATGCGCCGTCCGCGCGGTTCCTTCGAGGCGGGAGGGCGACGGCGCCTGAAGGGGTGTTGCCAGCGACGGACTCGCGTGAGGTGGACATCACTAGCAGCAGCTCTTGAGCGGTGAACAGCAACAGCGAAGAGCGAGAGAGAAGCGGAGGAGAAAGTGGCGACGACGGAAGTTCACGACCTCGCCAAAAGACTTCATCGCCCAATCACACCGCTTGCAATTCTTCACGCCTACAACACTGTTCGTGAGGGTCTCTGAGGGCGAGTCCGTAGCCTGGGCAACTGCCTGAACCAGCCAGAGTCGTGCTGGGACGGGCCAAGGGGGCGTGGCGCTCGACGAGGGGTGTTCGCGCGGGTAAATACGCCGTCGTGCATCGTCTGCGTGGCTGGAGAGTCTCGAGGAATTCTGAAGTAGAGATAGATGACCTGCGTGTCAGCGGAAAGCAAGCAGGGGACGTGAGGAAAAGAGGCGGACTCATTCGAGCGTCAAGTTGCGTCAAGGCGTCGTTCTCGCTTCGGCTGCGATACTCTCGAGCACCTCGAGCATGACTTTGCTGTCTGCGCATCAAGGAGTGTTAGTGAGTCGAACACATCTGTATAGAGCCTTCGCCGAGACCCTCCTCTCGTCGACCGCCCACAAGCAAAGACTCGACTCACTCGTCATCAACCCATGCCCCGCCCCCTGCACAACCCTCACCTCGCACCTCCCTTCGACCTCCCTCTGCAACCACCTTACGCTCGCCTCGCTGATCCGGTCGTCTTTCTCGCCGTACCAGACCTTCATCCGATGCGGGACGTCTGCGTAGCTGAATCCGAGTTGACCTTGCCCTGGCAGCGAAGAAGAGGAAGAGGCGGATGAGGGCGACGTCCGTTCAAGGAGGACGAGCAAGTCCGCTGTTGACCCGCGGAGGGACTCGGCGTGTGAGGCGCGGAGGAGGCCGTCGATCAATGCGGCTGGAGGGATGGCGGGGCGTGGAGAGTCGGAGAGAGCGGGGGAAGGCGTGGTGCGTGAAGCCAGGGAGGAAGTTGAGGCGGTGAAGGATGCATGAGTGGGCGAGTGCGGCGAGAGTGGGCGGAGAGAGTGCGGTGAAGGCGAATCGGGTCGCAGGGGAGTCGCGGGCGGAGAGAGCGTCGATTTGGGCGACGAGAAGAACGAGTGACGGCGGACTGGAGTCGACGGACTTGGAGGTGCCAATCCGCCCGAGGTAGGCGACTTCGGGCTCGAGCCAATGTCGGACGTACGACGACCGAAGAACGAGACGGGTCGCAGCGAGGAACGGCGGTCGCTTGTGGGCAAAGGCGAGTCGAGAGTCCGCGCGCGCGAGGGAGACCCTCGGTCGCCCCCGCTGAAGAGACCGCCCAAGCCGCCCATCACGCCTTTCGACCCGCGCCTCGTCACGAGCTGTCCGTCCGGACTGAGCAACCCAGGCGACTCCCGCGGCGAGACAGGCACTCGTCCCTCCGCCTCCTCCACCATCCTCCCGCTCCTCGCGTCGTACCCAACCGGCGAGTGCACCAGCGTCGGTGGAGCGCCCAGCCTCCACCCATGGACCTTCCACTCTGCCGCCTGCGCAGTGCGCAATACGCTCGAAGGAACGTACCTGAGGTACTTGTACGCGCCAGCGAGCGAGTCGGCTGAGGAAGAGACCCATGGCGCGAGGAGGTGGAGCGAGCCGCGGACTTTGGGTGAAATCGAGGGATGGAGTGAGGAAGCGACGGCGTAAGGTGCGCCGGCCGAATGCGCGAGGATGGAGAAAGTCGAGAGGTTAAGGTGGTTGGCTGAAACGAGTTCCGCCACGACCGAAGCCCACTCGACGAACCCCCGCTGCGAATCAGAAATATCGCTCGTCTTGCCCAGTCCCCATCGGTCGAAGCACAGCAGCCGCAGACCGAGCGCTTCGGCAATCTCGTCGTACAAGGCGACGAGATATCGCACGGACCCCAGGCCGAGGAAGACGAGGACTGGGTGGCCGGAGGGGTCGCCGACGTCGGCGATGGAGACGGACAGGCCGGCGTTGGGAGGCTGGCGAAGGGTAATGATTCGCGTCAGGCGTGGAGACTTGAGCAGCCGGGCCAGCTCGCGCTCCGTTGCGAGGGTTTCCGACTCAGTGACAGGCTGCGGTGACGCGATACGAGCGTTGTACGGCGAGTCCGCGGTCGAAGCGGTCGAAGCCGGTGTGAAAGACCTGTCGTTCGTCGGGAAGGCGTCGTACACTGCGCCACTCGCTGACTCATGGAAGCCGTTCGCAATTTGCGGCGCTCTAGGCGTCCGGCTGTCCTCCGCCTCTGCCTGGACAAGCTTAGCATGCGCAAGTCCCGCGGCCTCAATCTCTGCCGCGAGCGAATCAACGCTGTCCTTCTTATCCAGCGCCCGAGGCAGCTCGGCATCGATTGTGTTACTGCGGGCTGGCGGAGTGGGCGAAGGCGACGGCGACGAGGGCACAGCAAGCGACTTGCGCTTGTCGAGGTACGAAGTCGGCGCATGTTCCGCAATGATCTCCTCGATCGTCTTGGCGCGCGAGTGTGAGTCGGCTGAAGTGGCTGCGATGGGAGAGGAGGGGAAGGGAACGTAGGGGAGCGAGGCCTGGCGGTTGGTCGGCGAGGGGTCCTTACGTGGTGGAGGGCTGAGCTTGAGAGGGCGAGGAGGCGACTTGGGCGGGAGAGGCGGAGGTACCGAGAGTGCGTCGTCGGTTGCCGTCGCTGGGGAAAGCGGCGACTTGGCGTGCGCTCTCCTCTCCTCAGCACCAGGCGAGACGCTCGACTTCCGCCTCGCTCCAACCTTCTCGCGATACGCCTCGACAATCTCGAGATCCGTCCTAACAGACCCATCAGGCTGGACGACCATCCACGGTCGACGTTCGACAGCCCGAAGCGATTCTTGTCGAATCGCATCTGGAGCGCCGGACTGGTCGAGTCGGCGCTTTGCGCGCTCGAAAGCTGAGGTATCGTCGTAGGGGGCTAGTGCAGGCGTCGCTCCAGGCGAGAAGAGGTCGACTGGCGTGCGAGCGTCTGCAATGGGAGACGCTGAGCCGGTGCCGCCCATCTTCCATCCGCTCGCATCACCCGCATGAGACGGCGACCTCGGCCTCCCTCTACGCTCCATTCCGCCGCTCCGCTTCTGCAACCCGTCTACTAACGCATCCATCTGCGCTGACCCGACCTTCGGAGTCCCAAGAGACGGGATCACGGGCGTCTTGCCGCCTTCCTCGTCTTCCTCAGCCAGGACAGCGGGGGCGTCCCGGCGCGACAGTGACGAGCCACTCATCTGTTCCCGCAGAGGTCGCTCTCGAGTCGGCTGAGTGTCGGGGACTTCGAGGCCGGAGACGCAAGAGTCGGTCGACGGTCGACGAGAAGGGAAGATAGACGAGATAGGCCGTCCGTAGCGCATAGACGAGGTGCTGAGACGTCGCTGCGCCGTAGTGGAGGACGAGATGGGCGCATCGGTGGTCGAAGAAGAGACGGCTGATGAGGCGGAAGTTTCGCGAGATCGAGAGGTGCCAGAGGAGGGGAAGGGCGGCTTCTCCGGGTCGAAGAGCCAGCGTCGTCGAGATGTCTCAGACAGCTTAGTCGCTTCCGCAGTCTGCTCGGTCGACGAGTTAGAACGAGGGCGAGGGAGTCGGTCTTCGAAGCTGACTTTGCGAGGTAAAGTCGGAGGTTTCGTCTGTGAAGGGAATTCAAGAGTTTCTCGTCCCGCCTTACAAGGTGGTTGCGCCGGATGCTTGTCGTCTGCTGCAGGCGGCGGGGGCGAGCAAGGCGCGAGGGAAGGTGGAAGAGGTGCAGTTGAGGCAGGGCGCCGCCAGTCCTTCACTTCCTTCGCCGGCTCGTCCGCCACTCCTTCGCCTAGCCCCGCATGCCACTGACTCGCCAGGAAAGACGATTCCCTGCGCCCATCTCTGCCGCCTTTCCCTGAGAACGCTCGCCCGAAAAAGCCGACCGATCCCTGCCGTCCTGCGCTCGCGTCCGTCGGCATCGCTCTTCCGCAACGTCCGTAGCTTGATGTTGAGCTATTTCAATGCGAAGGACTGGGCGATGGAGCGAGAGCGAGTCGAGAAAGATTGGTGGGGAGAGGCGGTCTGGGCGGTCGTCTCGCCTTCGTAGCGGTCGACGGCAGCTGTAGATGTATCAACGAGTGTCGCGGTATGTATTGGCTAGGTGCAAGCTGTTCAGCGCAGCTAGGTGAAGCGGTGAGATCTGGAGACGACCAGCGAGATGAAGCTGCGGCGACACGACATTCTCCCGGTGAGCAAATGAGGGTATATGCAGCAACTAGAGAGCTCACTGACCAGTTTCCGCCAGTCTGCAGCCCGCCAGCGCGTGCGTGAGCGTATGCGACGTCGGCAACTCGTCGCTTCGGCTCTCTCGCTCTCACGGTCCGGCTCGTGTGCGCTGTTGCTGGATTCGAGCACGCTGAGAGACTCTTGGACTCCTACTGCACCTCCACCTTCACCCGCGCTTTCACCGGACTCGCTGTCGCCCTTCCTCGCCTCCTCCCCACCATGTCATCGGCGAACGACTTGGAGACCCTCGAGACCCCGCACCTCTCGCTGGAGCTCCTCCGATACGGCCACCACTTCCACTCGCTCGTCGCCAAGGGATCAAAGCCGGACGCGAAGCCAGTCGATGTCCTCGCCGGTTTAGCGGACCACACCGCGTACCACCACTCCGTCGGCCGTGGCTTCCTGAACCCGGTTGTTGGACGTTATGCGAACCGCCTGCCGTCGGGGGAGACGAAGCTGAACACGGGCGCAGCGGTGCAACTCGCAGGAGCTGAAGGAGGTTCGTCGAGACTGCCTCTTTACGCAGAACGAACGGAATTGACCCTCTATTCGTCGACAGTCTGCCTCCACGGCGGCTCCGAAGGACTCGACACCCTCCCTTGGATCCCTATCGCCCGCCAAGACTCGACCCTCTTCCCCCTCGAAGACGAAGACCACCCCATTCCGCCTCCTCCCTCCGACCCTGACGCGCCCATTACCGAATCGTCGTCGGTTCACCGCCTCATCTCGCCTGGCGGAGCAGACGGTTTCCCTTGCTCGCTCGAGATTGAGGCGCTCGTCACTGTTTACGCGCCGAAGGGTGAGAAGGGAGTGAAGACGGAGGCAGAGGTAAAGGATGGACGCACGCTTGGAAAGGTCAAGGTCGTCATGCGCGCAAAGATCCGCGAGGATGGCGATGAGGACATCTCGAAGGGCACGCCGGTCAACCTGACGGTCCACTGGTGAGCTTCCATCTCGTGTCTCCTTCCGCTTGCGAGGTTGACCTCCGTCCATACGCAGGGGCTTCCGCCTCGACAACTGCCAGGACTCTGACGCGCTCAATCACTACCTCTATATGGACGTGCGTGATCTCTGGCGGACTTTTTCCTCGACGGAGCTGACACCTTCCGAGCAGTCCGACAAAATCGTCGCACTCGACGACAAGGCTCTTGCGACGGGCAAGATTGACCCGATCAAGAAGGGCGACGCGCTCGACTTTTATAGCCAGGGACGCGGAGGGCCGCACAGGAGGCTTGGCGACAACTACCCGTCTGGAGGAATCGGTGCGTTGGCTTTTCGCGCTCAACCTGGGACGTCAGTTGACTCATTCCTCCCTAACCCACCCTTTTCACAGACCTCAATTTCCTCCTCTCGCATACGAGCGACCTTGCGGACCCGCCTCCCAAGCCTCACCTCCCAACCTCTCCGCAAGTGATCCTCACCGCCCCCTCCTCCGTCACCTCCTCAAACCTCCCCCGCCTCTCTCTGCGCTTCACGTCCTCCGCTCCGACCGTTCAGGTTTACACCGCCGTCGGACTCGACTCGAACGGACCTGCGCGCAAGCCCATCCATGGTGGTCCGACGGAGATCAACACGACTGCTGAGACGGGTGAGAAAGCTCGCTCGGACGGCCAGGGGTACCCGAAGGACGGTATCGTCTTCCTTGAGTTCCATCACCCGGTTGGGACGGTCGTGCACACGGCGAAGGAAGGCTTGGAGGGGGAGACGGAGCTAGGGAAGTGGTTGAAGGAGAGGGCGCAAAAGCTTGGTGTTGACAAAGACGGAGACAGGAGCTGGGAGTACGACACGGTGCTCAGGAAGGGGCAGGTATACGAGAACAGAACCGAGGTCGAGATTGTAGAGCTGTCGTCGTGAGTCTCTCGCTCCTCTCGCCCAATCCCCTTCGACTCTGCACATAGACACTCTCGAGCACAACGATGAATGCAAATAGATCAATCTGTTTCAGAAATTGTCGGTCCCGGCCGCGCGGCGACTCTGGGTGGCATTCTTCGCCGTCGCTCGAATCTGCCGGCAGCTGGTTCTGCTTCTGCAGCCATGCGAGCTGCCCTTGCTCCGCCTCGCTCAGAAGGAGATGGTTGAACGTGTGAGGCGAAGTCGTTGGTCAAGCGGGCGATGCTAGGAGGCGAGCGCAAGTCTCGGGGCAGCCCTTTGCAACCGAAGCGACGAACGGGGGCGCGGGTCTCCGTTTCGAGACGGCGGGTCGGCATGGGGAAGCATCTCATGCTGAAGAGCGTGTTGGAGGTGTTGAACTGGAGCGATTGAGCAGCTTTTGAGGGGAAGAGGACTGAATTGGTCGTATGCAGAAGAAAGAGCGATACTGCGCGAGTCTCAGCGGGTCAGCGCGCAGGTAGGGGTTACAGCAGGACTCAAACATAATCCAGGCGCCACCGCTCAGTCCACGACTCCCTCAATGTGCCGCCCTTTCCTCATCTCCTTGTCCTCCGAGTGGTTCAGCAGCTGGGTGCAGCGCCTCTGCGAGCCGGGCGGCGGTACTAGCATGCCAACAAAGCACTTTCAGGAGCACTCGCAAGCGTCTAGCGTCCCACGAAGCGGGTAAGCGGCGTGTGTGAGCGGTTCAAGGTCAAGCGATGAAGGTTGCCTCTGTCCACTCCGCTTCAACTCGCTCGACGATGCTGTGGGGACGTGTACCACTCGGTATTGGCGTCAGGACGAAACTGCTGTCCGTCACGCCCGCTCTGCAACGACCGGCGGTGTCGCTTCTCTCGACTTTCGCTCCTCCACCGACTGTTCGCCAGCACCTTGACGCTCTCGAACAGTTGCTCTACGTTCGCATCCCTGCGCGGCAGTTCGTGTACAAGCCTAATTCGGCTCAGCAGGTTGCTGCCATCCTCGGCTTCAAAAACGCATACAGGACTCCCAACATCCAACGCACTATCTGCACGGCCGAAGTCGATGGACGAGTTGGCGCCATTCCACTCACCATCGAGCGCATTGCCGAGTCCTTGACACATCGCTATTCCACCGCTGTCCTCCGTCAAGTCGCCGACCTCTTCTCCGACTTCCGTACCCGACCTCCCAATGGCGGCCTCTACCTCCCGTCAAGCCTGTACCAGCCCCGCGCGCCGTCTAATAAACCATCGACGTATGGAAGCGGAAACGAACTGCAAGATGATCTGTTGCGCGATCTCTGCGAGACTGACAGCATCTTGCACTTCCTCGATGGTGAAGCATGGATGTTCGGGCGCGGTTCGTGGCAGATTCGAGCGGACGTGGTGCCGGTTACGGACGCCGATTTTGAGCTGACCAGGGAAGGCGAGTGGGACGGCGCCGTCATAATGGCCGAGGCGATGACCGACAGCCGGTTCAGGAGAATGCGCACGGTATTGTTGGGTATGGGGGTTTTCCCATGCATGGAGGAGACCAGTAGGGGTGTGCCTCGTTACTGGGATGAAGCAAAAGGGAAATTGCGGGCCCTCAACTCATACCTCCGAATCGCCGTCCAGGTGAGCTGACCTCCTCGCTTCCCTTACCTCCTCAGCCTGACACATTCTTCCACTAGATCAACTCGACCATCACGAGTCGAATCACACGGTCCAAGTACCATGGCCTCGCGCACCCCTACATCCCGCTCATTGTCACGAATGGCTCGCTCTTCTTCGTCGTCCTCGGCAAGATCGACGCGATAGACGGCAGGCTGTACGGTCGAATTGGCTTCACAAGGATAGAGTCCTTCGCCGACGTCCCCTTGCGCGCTCTGCTCTTTGCCCACGCCCTGATGCATCGACTCGACCCGATTCTTCCTCCTCCTCCCGGCTTCGCTCTCGTCCAAGCTTTGAAATCCACGATCCAGCCTTCTGACGCCTTCACGTCACGAGCAAAGGCGGAGGAGGCGCTTTGTGGACCCGGAATTGCGAAAAAGGCGGACGACAAGACGAGCGCGACGGGGCAGCAGGAGTCGGACGGCACGGAGGGCGGGAACAAAGGCGACGCAGGAGGTCGTGCAGGAGGCGTTGCAGAAGGTGGCGTGCCGCGCGGTGTTCGACATTTCTCCGCGTCGTCCAGCTTCGTGATGCGGCCCAGGGCGAGAGAGGTTCGTTCGCATCCACCGCATTCTTGCGAGTAGCTCATTGATCGATTCTCTCTTCGGTAGGAGAAGGAGCCCGCGCTGCCGGTGCGTCCTCGTTTGTCCTGATTGATCTCTCGTGCGCTCAGCGACTGACGCTGCCCTGACGGCAGGCTCGCTTCAATCTCGTCGCTGCTTGGTGGGGCAACGGCCGGGGTCGCTCACAACCAATCACCTATGAGCTCGTGACGGTAGGTCTGCTCACCCGATTCCGGCGCTTCCAGCTGACTTTCTTCCTCGCAGGCGCGACACTCGCTCCCCGCCAGCGAACCCATCCCGACCGTCGTGATGGACCAGCGCCTGAGCAAAAAAGGCTCGCTTTTCATCGCCAAAAGTACCGCGACTGACTTCGTCTTCAAGGAAGTC